CCCTCTCTTGTCTATTGACTATGACATGTGTTTGAGTCAAAAATACAAACACAGAATGTCAGAGAATTGATTTGTGAGTCAGAAATACAGCTATTTATACAAGAGATTGAAACCGCCACGAGAGACGAAGATAGATAGACAAGCAGAAAGGAAAAAGGAAAAAGAACTGTTGTGTTGTAAGAACAGCTGCTCTGCACAGGTACTCACAGACCTGCATTGATCTTTTCCAGCTCCCTTGTGGGTCTCTCTGTAGGAATGAACCAGAAAATGAAGATAATATTTTATCCTTAGAGCTGCAGCTTCCACCGCTCTCTACAAGATGATACTCTGACTTAGCAAGGAAATATTTTATAGCAGTTTGTTTTCCATGCTAACCAGTGTTACCAGGCTACTGTGACGGGTGCAAAACAGCATTCAAGTTTACACCAGGGCTCGTCCTTAGCTGTAAACCTTTTATTTAGTTTTTCAGGTAACAGAACAGAATCAGGTTCCCTTAAAGGGAAGAAATATTAACCTTGGCATCTCGCCTCTTTAAAATGCATTGTTAATTAAGTTGGAATTTCAGTTGTTTTGTGCAAAATAAACACCACCTTGCTTCCTCTTTTGCTTTGACTAGAGTGCAGCGACTTCTCTCCAGGGGTATCTGTGCTGCTGCTGATCTTCCTCTGTCTCGAAGCCATCCTCTTCCTCACTTTCACAGCTGTAATGTTTGGTACGCAGATCCACTCCATCTGCAATGATGAGACGGTCAGTATCCACTGCAAACTTTGTTCCTCTCAACAAGTTGTGTGTGTGTGTGTGTGTGTGTGTGTGTGGCAGGGAGGGTCACTGTAAGATGAATAGTTTAATACATTGTTTTCTCAGATTAGGAAACAAAGTATCAGTATGAGACCCCATGTTTTTTATTCCTCTGGTTTTAATTTAATTGTGTATCTTAGCATGCTAGTGAGCCAAAGCAAACAGACAACTTAATGGGGAATCTTTTATTCACAGAGGGGTTTGAATGTCTTGCAGGAGATTGAACGTCTAAAGAACGAGAAGCCGACATGGGAGCGTCGCATGAGGTGGGATGGAATGAAAACGGTGTTCGGGGGTCCGCCCTCCCTGCTGTGGTGCAATCCATTCACAGGCCTGCGTCTGCGGCGCTTACTGCTGTTGACCCACGGTCGGCGTGGCGGTTCTGAGTTTTCTGTCTGAGAGAAGGGCAGGCTGATGCAGTTCACCAACACTTGACTGTCTCTAAAGCAAGATTTCTTATATGCCCACTGGCCGGGGCTTAGATAGACCTCTGCTCCTCGAGGCTGTCCTTCATTTGTGGGTGACAGGGGGAGACGAGCTGCTCCAGTGGGACCCCAGTGCATCACAACCCCCACTGAACGTTTGTATTCTCACATGCTGATGTAGACCCAACACCTTTGGTCAGCACAAGTATGCTGAACAACTGGAATATTGTTTTTTTAACATGAGCAGCTTTTTGGTTTGTTTGTGTGTTTTTAGGTAAAGCATGCAGTATGTAACTCAAGTGAGTCTTTTATTCCTTGTGAGACCGTCCAAGGTGCCGTTTGACCTCAACTCATGCACCTTCAGTACACAACTTCAACAGTTTGTTCTCTTTGCTGCACACATGAGATTCAAGATTAGTGGTTGAATTTTTTGGAGGGGTGGATCAGCAACATATCTCTCATAATCACTGGACCCAGACAACTGGATCTCAATGGGGAAATGCTTGAAACTGCTCGGTTGGACACAGACAGGGGAATCACAGTCAAGGACATGCACTACTTACATGGCCCTTGAGTAAAGGACTGGGTATGGAGCACAGTGGACATCAGACATGGAACTGTGCGGCCTTGATTTGCATGTATAACAGCTCAATCAGTCCACATCTCAGCCAGAAAATCAGGCTTTCACTATCCTCAAATGAATGGACAGGCTACAGTGAACACAAGCCTCATTCTTATTCAAGAGGACTGAGTGGCTTTTCCCGTTCATCTGTTCCTCTCATTTGTTATGTTTGGTCCCTCCTTGAGCTGAAATTGTTGATTGTTTAGGTTACTCGGGCCAGTAGAAATTCATTTTCTGTTGAACTGCTGAAGCTTCTCTACCTTTCATCAGAGTGACCGCTCCTCAACAGCTGGCCGTTATCACTCTCTGGAGATGACTGCTGTAAATCCGACTTTTTTTTTGGATAATTACAAATCACTGTTTGAATTAGTTTTATGTATGTGTACATAAATTTGCCATTCCGCCACTCCTACATGCTGCTCCACATATCATTCTCGACAAACAATCAGTGACCCCGCAGACCACGGATATGCCTCCCAGTGTTTTCATAACAAAGTGATTCAGGTGGAACAACTTTGGCTGCTGAAAAGGCAGAATGTTATTAAGTTTGAATTGTTTTACTCATACATATTTGTCCTCTGTGGAAAATCAGAGGCTACTTACTGGACAGCTGGATAAGACTTCATAGCATTTAAACTCTGAAAAACAAGCTTACAAACCCCCCCTCGAGACGCAGCCAAGTCTCAGACATGGTGGCTTTGTATTCTCCTTGGCCACCGTGTGGTGCCACATTTTGAAAAAGAGAACTTAAAACACTAGCACAACCTCTTTTGGCTCATTGTGAGCTCATTCTGATCCACAGAGCCAAGCTCCATTGTGCAGTTGGCCTGTAGAATTGAAAAGAAACTGCTTAGCCGAGGTACCAGGCTCATTATACAAGCTTTAATACTGAACAAAGTCTCGGGGACCTCGGCAGATGCTTGCGAGGCCTTTCCTACTTCACTCCAGAAATGTCAGGCCTGTAACATCTTGTGGCAGGGCAGTAGCAAATACTATCTCCGTGTTATTAGAACATGTGTCCACGCCTTTTAAAATCATTGAGTCAAGTAAATTTATCAGTTTCAAAGGTTCGTGTCATCATTGCCATATCTATGTGTTTTCTCATTTTGTGACAACTCGTCTCCTATTTTTACATAATCAGTGGGCCGGTTTGCACTGGATGAATGTGGCTTTTTGAATCTAGAGTTCAGTTTGACTGGCGGGCTGGTATTATCAAAGTATTTTCAAATCTAGATTCTCAAAGTCTCATTTTATCGCTTGTTGGACAATATACTACTGTTTGTTCTCATCTGTGGTTGTCAGGAGAATCTCCACTGTTTACACTAAATGATGATACCTGATGCTCTATGGCTATAAAGTTTAAGGAACAAGCTATCATTAGAATGTAAAATATATCTATTTTGGGACTAAGGGACACAGCACTAAAAGCTAACTGATATCAGGGGATTTTATTAATGCTGGCCTCTCATTTCTCATTTTATTCTGCTGGACTGCATCACCTCAGCAACAGTTATCTGAATAAATGTAGGGGGACTATGATTTTTCCTTGAATTCCATTATCCTAACATGCTCAGTGTACTTTTTAATTTATGGAGATGCAAAATGTCAAAGTCAAGTTTAGCCAAACACACAGTGTGTTCATTAAGATTATATACAAGCTGTCTTTCATTTATACACGTGCATAAGACTAATCAGAAAACAGGAACACCCATGCTGTGTAGTTTGGCAGATGCATAAAATAGGTTGCTATTTAAGCAACAATTACTAAAAATAATTGCAGGTATTGGTGGCAAAATTACACCCAGAGCCAATGAGAGGCCTAGAGTCTAAAAAACACAAAATGCCATTAGAGTAGAAGCAAATATCTGAAGCAAGACTTGAGGTAAGAGTGCCAGGACTACAGTGCTAAACCTTTACTTGTATGTGTATGAAGTAGAAGAACAACAGAGCTAATTATGGATTGACAAATATTGCTGTGTTGACTGAGTATAAGCGTTTGATGTTGACTGGTATAATTGCGTTGGGTTGATGTATTTCACAATAGGTAAGTCCTGTTTCATGACCAAACTCGGATGCTGTGGATCATAATGTCTTAAATTAGGATTCTGTTACAGGGTGTATAGTTTTACATTCATACTTAACAATAGAATCAGTAAATAGTGGGAGAAGATTGTTTGACAATGTGCACAATTGAGTAAACCAAGTCTATCAAAGGTTTTTCTCATAGTTGGCAGTTAAAGAGGATTTATGTAGAAAATATAGGACAAAGAACAGTTTGTGAAATATAGTAATGATTCTTAACAGGACGGATGTTTGATCATAGATTTACCATTAACATTGTCATGAACAGCTGAGAGGTTTTGTTTCCTGCTCTCCTGGGAGAATGTTTCCTCAAGAACAAAAGTCCTTCAGCTTTATAAACAAAGTATACAGGTTACTATTAACAATATATAAATGGAATGTTTTATTACTTTTTTTTTTTTATTAATGTGTCAATCTTATAATGTCATATCTTTAATGTCATTCTTTTACATAATAAACTTGATTAAATTAAAGCTATACATTGTGATTGACTGACCATCATATACAACTACCTTTCTCTGTTCCTGGCTATGTTCCTGGATAACATGGAAAGTGTTTCCACAGAACATGCTGCAGATCTGCTAGATGCAAAAAAGAAGTCAGAGTCAGAGCAGTTCGCCTCAGTGGTTGGATAGAAATTATGATTCAACTGAAATTGGGAACTAAGTATTTCAGCAGCATCAAAGAAAAAAAGATCCAGTAAAGACACATGTGCCCTCCTCAGTAACAAATTACAGGCATGCTACTGAGTAGGCACACAAATGTAAACAAAGGCAACAATTTCAACACTGGAACATTAAAAACATGAAGTGTGTATGAGGATATTACAGCAATGTGAGGGTGGCAGTGCTAACTAAACACAGCTTATTTAAAACGTGCCGGATATGTGTAATGATGAAATAATGTAAACGTAAGGTAACAGGAAATGCACAACCACAACTTTTGAAAAGAAGGAACTTTTTAAAAAGCCAAAGTGCTGTAACGATACGTCCTTCAGTCCTGTGGGTGGCAGTATAATGTTTTCTGGTGGTGTGAGATCGACCTGTGAAATCAGAGAAGAAGTCTGGTAAATTACCACTGCACTAGGACTCCCAGGCAGCACTCTTTTCAAAGCCTTGATCAAATTTTGTCTCATTCAGTTGGACTTGGAAACTTTTGTTATGTTTCATTTCAATTCTGACCCTTAACCTAACGCTATTTCTGTATAGTTAATCTACGTGTTTAAACAGAACTGGAATGAAGCGCTGCCTGAAAAGCTGAACTGAGGGAATTAAAATCCCTGGTTGAGCCTTTTCCCCGCTGTTGGGCCTCACTGAGGAGAAATCAACTCCCTCCTGCTTCCGTTGACATGGTGTGAATATGGCGGCAAAGGAAATTGTAAACAGCAACCAAACTGATGTCGAATATGTGGTTAACCGCTGGGTAGTGGATTATTATTTGTGTCTTGCGCTGGAGTTGTTTCAAAAGCAGCAATACGAGGACTTCCGCGGCATTAGAGATGTCCTTAACAGTGAGTAACAAACTGTCTCTTCACTTCTTGTCCATTTAAGCTAGTTTAGACTTTGTTTAGCTAGCTCATTGTGTCCGACCAAGTTTGGTTACTAAACTGTTTTGTTTACTGCATGTTTACTATCTTCAAATGTCAGTTTTGAATTGTAGCTGACAGCTAGCTAGCGTTTGCTTAGCCTTTCAAAACTGTCTGAATAAAGTCACAGTGCGGCGGACGGTCCCGGACGGTCCCATAGAAAAGCTCCGTACGGAGGTGGGTTGAAGGCAGTATTCGGCAGGAAGACCACAGTGTAAAGTCGGCTAACGACTCAGTGTATTACTCTAGCAACTACTCTCTGACTACTGTGTTTGTTTTGTTTGTTTGTTTGTTTTTTCAGAGGAAATGTCAAGCTCATCCATTGTCTCGTTACAGGTGTCATCATGGTTCGTCCTTTCGAGGCCACCGATTCCATGACAACAAAGTTGGGAGTATTGAAGTTTCTCTCCCGGATAAATGAGGGTGAAAGTCTTGGTGAGATCAACATTAATACATTAAGAGTCTTTCATTTAACCTGTTGAAACCTGCAGAAATCCTAAATAAACAAACAAACAAACAAGAAATCATGGCAGGTACTCTCTGTAACTTTGTTAATAATGTGTATTGTTAGGGATTTAATTTAGATGCATTAATGTGTACAATGTTCTGTCTGCATATTAGAAAACGTTAAGATAAGCTCTGTGAGAGAGAGATTTTAAACTAATGCCTGATGTGAAATGATGTTCAACCCAACTGTAAAACTCATTTAATCAGTCTGGAGCATACATCCAGTCTTACTGTCGTATTCTGACCCACACACTACAATGAACACTGCTTTGTCTCTGCTTACAGAACTGTTATTTGAGTCCGACCAAGCATTAAGTCCTCTGGAATCAGCCTTAATTTTGCTGGAAGTAATCAACCAGGAATGCACAATTCCACAGCAGGAGTTAGAGGATGTATGCACTTCACTTAAAGAGATGGTAAGTGTTTTTTGTTTTTCTTCTTCTTATTATTATTATTTACATTCATGTTTTAACATTGGTTCAACTCTCAACTTTTGCCGACACAAGCAAAGAAAATAATTGTTAGTTGCAGGCGTAGTGTCCATCTCACCCTCTCTGGCCTAAGATAAACCAGCTCACACCACCCAAGTGCCTAACAAAGGAAGAAGCTAGACTTGTTTAAAGATACTTTCATGTTTCATCAAGTTTTGACTTAACAAATTGTTTTTTAATCTCTGTCTTTAGATTGTGGCGATTTTCATCAAGAACAATAACTTTGCAAAAGCAAAAAAGGTGCTGAACAAATACTTTCCCAAAACAATGGTTGGCAAGGTGAGTTCAGTAACTAAAGCAGTATGTTTACTCAGTAACTCCATCATTTCCATGAGTCAAATCAGCATTTAAAGGACCAGTGTAGGATTGTGTATAACATGGCGATGCAACTCCGTGGACCATAGATAAAAACAGCTAACAAAAACAATTCTTATTTTAAGGAGATTATACACTAATGAAAACATAATTATTGATATTATTACATTTCTACCATATTCTGCCAATAGATAGATTCAAATAGAAATTTAAAGTTGTATCCACATGTGTCTCACTTTGAGAAGTTGTTTCGAACCAGTCTGCTTCCAAGCTGACGTTGGAGCAGTTCGTTTGTGGTGTGAAAGAAAAAAAATCAACCACAGAATTTTATGATAGCAAATATGTGATTTTAGCACAATTTCAAAAGCTTGACTACTAATAAATCCATCAACTGATCATGAAATCTGATTTGATCTGCCTAAGCCATGTATATTTATGCAAATCATTTAGTGACAATTGGCAGAACTGTCCAATCAATGAGTTACCTGACTTTTTGTGTAACTTCATGTTTACTCTTCATATGGTCATTGGTCTTGCTAATTGTTATAGAAAGATTGCAACATCCATTGTGAGCAAAAGTGTGGTGTATTGAATCATAATCATCCACATAGCAATATTAAAATTAATAAAAGTGTTAATACATTATGAGCATACTTTGACTAGTGCTTTAATTGTCTGCATCCCATGTGTTTCACATTACTGAATGTCTGTTCTCTGTAGAAAGCTATATTCATGGAACTCATCAATCGGAAGAGTAAAGCACATGAAGTCATCGAGCAAATTGACTTCCAACGGTTCAAAGTGGAGATGTTTGCCTTTTGCCAGAAGCTCTGCTCAGTCAGTGTTCCCTTTCTTCACAAGGTGTGTTGCTTGTTGCTATTAAGGCTTTCTTTATGTTGAGGTATTTCAGCTGCAACTGAGCATGGATGGTTGGATATTAAAAGTCTGGGTTTGAGATTTTATTCCCCTTTGGAGCTGATTTGTCAACAGCACTAATTGTCTGATTACAACAAAAGGTTTTTATAAGTGTATTCAATTATTACTTAATCATGAGTAAGAGATTAAGACTTTGAAAGCCTCCCCTGTGAGGACCTTAACATTTGTTCAGCCAATCCACAGATCCACTGTTAATTTGTTGGTATGTGTCGTTATACTTGTTTGTGTTTTTGGTTTGTGTATGTGTAACAGGCTGCAGAACAGCTTATTGATAAAAGACTTGCGGAGCCAGACGACAATGCAGCTGGACCTGGCAGGCAAGACAAAGCTGGCCCGTCCACGAGTCCACAAATCAACATCATCCAGTTTGTACCTCTGTTCATTTCAAACATGATCGTCATTACAAAATTGTCATAGCAGCATGGTCTGATAAGTCACGTAACATTGTATCCCCTACCCTCTCATCGAGGGACTGCAAACGGGCCACTTTGTCTCCAAATCATCATCATTCTTCCATTATTGGAAGCATCTGATACCCACCATAAGCAGCTACTGTTAACTTCATTTAGCACCCATATAACCACATATTTACTTTGCTCACAATATCCAAGAACAGTATTTTTTTTTTTAGGTCTCCAGGCTAGAATTGTTTCGGTTTGGATCTGAACCTTTCCTATCCTAAGCTCTTAGTCTCTGGCCTAAAAGCCTGATCTCCTCTTCTTGTTTCTACTTTATCTTCCAGTAAACATACAACAAGAAGCAGGCTGGAGGCAACCTACAAGGCTTTGGCTGCAGGTTCAGATCAGAGAACATTTGATCAGCTGGAGGAAGAAGTGGGGAGAGAGGAGCCGACAAAAAAAGATGATCTCTCCCTGCGCCTCTCACCTTCTCCCGTTAAGGGCACCAATCAGGACTCAGAGCAGGATGGGTTATTTCAGAGAAACTCAGGCAGCCCCATGGAGGCTTCCCCAGCTGACCAAGCACCACAAACAGATGCTGTCCCTCAAATACAGGAAGGTTCACTCTCAAAGACCCCCTCAGTGCCGAGGAACAGGCGGCTTTACACTGTGGCACAACTGGTGGTTGAGCCGGACAGCCAGGGAAGCTCACAGTGCACAGCAGCTTCTCAGGAACTGGAGGCTGAGGTCAGAGCAGAAGAACCACAACAGTCACCAGCTATACCCAATAAAAATGACCTACAGAACCCAGTAACAGACAGTGAGGTTGCCATACCCACACGGAAACGCAGGTACAGTTTAGGACATAGTTTTTAGTCACTCTTTACAAAACAAAAAAGGTTATTAAACAGGGCCTGTTACTGTATAGCTTCACAATTAGTCGGGATAATGGTTTTGACTGTAGTGGTGTTTCAAGATGTTGGCAGACAAGCACAATTTTTAAGCTACTATCACATGAGGGCCAGAGGCTTATCTGAGCATGCTACAAGCTAGCAGTGTTTATGTGAAAGGTGTAACAGAGTACATCTACATGCAGTACAGAGCAAAAACAGTGAATTTTACAGGCACTATTCAGAAATGTTTGAAAACAGGAATTAGTTAGATTGTCAGTCTCAGATCACTTGAATGTAATTACATTTTCTGTATATTTTACTAACATTTTGATATAGTGGAATATATAGACATGTTTTACACCTCGTCTAGTTGTGGTCCTGTATTGTTCAGTGAGTATATGGCACTGAAACTGCTTGTTTTGTCGCACAGAGCCACAGCTAGTTTTGAGTTGTCTACTACAGACAGCGAGGAGGACTCCCATGACTCTGTGGCTAATGGGGAAACTTCTGTGACAGAACTCCATAACCAGTCCAACAGATCTGTCACCAGGTAAGTCTGAATGTACAATATCACCGCACATAGGACTACAATATATGTATTAATACCATACTATTTGGGCCGCCATGCTGAATTTGAAACATCTGGCAAAATAAAAAGTTCCAGAAAGAGGAATCCAACTAGGCACAAACTTAAACCCTTTAGCATCAAGTAGACATTTGTTAGCAGACCTGACAGACCTTAACTGCTATATGGACACAACACTTCAAAGAACTAAGAGGTGTTGTGCCTGATTGGTAATATCAAAATGTTCATGGCTCATTACTGATAGACAGTGAAGTTTCTCTTTAATTTTTACTCACTGTAAGGTAAGTTTAAAATAGGTAGCTCAAATCATCAGTTTAAAACATGAATTTGACATGATTTTAGTCAAAAACAGATGTCTCCTTTTCTGGATGATCTTTGACTGACTCAACTCTCGTCATGCAGGAAACTGGCAAGGCAGTTATCATCAGACAGTGAGGAAAACCCACAGGAATCAGTGGCTCCCCACAAAACCCCAGTGCAGAAAACTCTGAAACAACGGGCCAGCACTGGGGCCAGCACTGGGGCCAGCACTGGGGCCAGCACTGGGGCCAGCACTGGGGCCAGCACTGGGGCCAGCACTGGGGCCAGCAAGCAAGTCCAAATCCAACATTGATTTTATGCCACTATATTAGTTTATGATTCAAGGACTGACATTTAATAACCATCATATATTTATGCAGGGATACAGGTAATACAGATGTCTGTATCACAGATTCTTCATTGGACAGCTCGCCTGAGCTGTTCCCTCAGCACCCCATCCCTCAAACGAGCTCCACCCCTCATAGGAGCTGTGCTCAAGGCAAAACTCCTTCTACTTCCAAATGGTGAGTGAAGATCTACAGCTCTAGCTAAGAATGGATTAAGTTACCTGTTGTTGTATTGTAGCAGAACATGCAACAATTGAATTAAAATAATTAATTACAATTCTGACATTTTGATTAATTTGCTTTTTCAAAGTCACAAATTTGACGTGTCTAAGTCACACAGAAAGTACACATATATGTAATAACTGGAAAGAGATTTAATATTAGCATCACCACAAACCACACAAACACTCACCAAAATACCTTTATAGCATATTTAAACAACAGTTTTAGAATTATTTAAGATTGTTGTTTGATTCATAACGGTAATTGATAAACAGCTGTGAAAAACAGGAAACTCTGCTCCTGTTTACAGGAAACAGCTGTACAAGAATGCAAAAGAGAGTAAGGAAACCTGGAGCGATGAAGAGTCGTGTGTCCACCCCAAAAAGAATAGCGGTAACATTGCAACATCTGCTTCTTATTAACAATGTGTAAATCTAGTTGTACAACTCTTGTTCATGCCATTTGTTTTTCCAAAAGATTCGCACAACGAGAGCACTATGTCAACTTCAGGCAACAGAAGGAAAGTAAGTATAACAAGACTTGTTTGCAATTCTAAAAAGTAAAAAATTATGTAATGAATTAAAAGAAAATAAATAAAAATCAGTTGGCTACATTCACAAGTTATATTGTGAGAGAATATCAAACAATGACAAACAGTGCCATGGTTAGCTAATGGTAAAGCTTGATGTGAAAAGGATAACGTTGATTTGGTTGCTTCTTGCACTCACAAAAAGGTTGATGCTTTGCTGCCAGCCTGCAACTTCCATGTGTGATTGTTCTAGCAGCCAGAACACAAGCAGACTTCTCAATTTATCAGTTTGTCGTATTACCGGGCAAACAACACTTACAAAACAAAGCATTGTCTGTTTTTGGGTTGGCGTGTCACTGCATTAGAAAGCTGAATAACTTTATGTTCCTGTTGTGTTGCAGAAGTGGTCTGAGAGTGAGACGCAAAAGTTGAAAGAAGGGGTCAAAAAGTTTGGAGAGGGCAACTGGAGTAAGATAAAGGCATATTACTCCTTCAAGGATCGAACAAATGTCAACCTTAAGGACAGATGGAGAACGCTGAAGAAGTCAAACGTGGTGTGAGTAGAGGACATCACACAAAGAACTTTTCCACCTCCATAATAATTCCCTCATTCCTCAAAGGAATTTTATTTTCAGAGTTGAACCTTGTTCAGTCTTTTTCCTGTTTTGTCACTAAATAATGTTTTAAGCTATTTTATAGTTCATGATACTTTCCAGTTCAATAAATGTTCATGGTTCAATTTGAAGATTATTGGTATGTATTAATATTAAAAGAAACCTACAATGGTGTGTGTGATGCATCTCTGCAGCCCTATATACAGTAACAATCCTACAAAGACTCATACAAAGACATTGTGGATTTATTTGAAAGATGACATTTACAAAAGAAAAACACAGAAAAGCATTCCCCTTCATTTGAATAAGATTTGACTCAAAGCCAGAGTGAAGGGGGTATCAGGAGTCTGTGACAAGGGAATCATACAGATGGCAGATTAGCTGTATCCCAAGGTGAGTCAATAGAGAGGTCTCTGTTTGAATCCCAAGACTGTGCACTGGAAATATGGGCCTGTTGTGACATCTGCTATTTAAAAGGTGCCCTTGAACCAGACACTTAGATCCAACCACTTCTCTGTTGAGAGAGAACAGCAGCTGTTCTGGGTCTGAATTTTGAGTGGATGTTGCTGGGTATGAAAAGGATTAAATGGGGCATTTGACAGTCCAGTTGCGGATGCATCTTTATGTTAACGTGTCTTCATTTCTAATGAACTCTCCCACATCGGCCTGGTGGAATACTACAATGGACATGGGATCCACTCGCCGACATTCCTGGGTGGACTTGGCTGCCACACCGAAACCCTGAGAAATGAGACACACAAGTGGTTCAGTGAACGAGGACGGAGAAGAAACTTCTTATGAAGAAAAACAACTAAAGGCCACAAGAACAATTGTACCATCTCAGTGCAGAATAAGCATTTGTGTGAAGCATATCAACAATTACATATGCATTATTTGGCACAAGTGGCCCCAGTGGGAATACAAGCAATTGATGGTACACTGAGTATGTCCTAAACCACGTCAGCAACACTGCATCATAATTACAAAACTTACCAGGGGCACATCAGCCATGGAGTAGACCACAACTCCCTGGTACTGCTCGGTGTTCTCAGTGATTCTCCCGAGTCCAGATTTTAACACATGGTTCCCATATAGGAAGGACTGCTCTGCTCCAGGTTTCACCCACACCTTAAACTGAAGGCGTAACAGAAACGTTTCAAGTTATTTATACATGCAAGAATGAGTAGATAGATACTTTATTTATCCTGAGGGGACATTCAAGAGTACACCTGATATTACTGGCAGAGATCAAATGTTTTAAAACTAGGATATTAGTTGTTTTCCTATTATTGTTCACATATGGTACTTATTACATTTATCTAGTTGCTTAGTAAAGCCTGAACCAGCTTTTTAGCTTCTGTCAGTCAATGTTAAATATTTCAAGGGTTTATGGGTTTTAGTTGAAATTACACCAAGCTGATTCTGGCTTACTGATTACACTCGAATTAAAGAGAACCATCATTTATGTTGCGACTTCTTCATGTGGCACACAGCAGAGACCAGCTGTCAATAATGATCTATACAGGAGTGCAGAGTGGTATTCTGCCAACAAGGGTCACATCCCTTTAGGTCAATAAGCCCACTTTGATAAATGTGTCGCAGCAGAGTACACTGCTCTTCCTGTGAGTGTTTCAGAGACTGGCAGATGATCCTGTGGTGCAGCTGTCATTTCACACTGAGTTGTCACTAAATATTTGTATTGCCTCACTTCCTCTATGTCAGCATTGCCTCTCCCACTACCTTTAAAAGGGATGCACCCAGACTCACCTTGGCGTACGGGGCCAGGAAATCCAGAGCTGTGATGTGCAGACGGAACTTTGTGGTCTTTGTGAACTTTCCAAAACATGTCCCCACGGACACGAGCTTGTCCCGGGAAATGTTTGTCGCCAGCTTAAGAATTTTCTCACTGTGGGACGAAACCCGATATCACATGAATTTCTAGATGTTAAGTATGGAAAGACAGCAAAACATGCATGTTGATATATCCTGGATTACCTCATGTAGTACACACGGTCATTGTGTAGCCTGAAACAGTAGGTACCGTCCGGTCGGTCCACTAGGAGCTTTATGTTTTCACCGATGCTGTTGAAAGAGAGAGAGAAGACATGCATCACACACACACAGGCTAACACGGATGCTAACGGGCTAGGTATCATTTGAATCGTAACATGCGCACACAGTCTGCTTTAAGTCCTCTTACTATTTCGACAACTTCTCAAACATCGTTTTCGTCTCTTCCTCCGTTAGTGGTCTCATCCTGAGTGCTTAAAATCAACTTTTTTTTTCCTCCACGTACACTCGTGTCTTCTGAGAGGAACGTGAAAACGTGGGTCAACACGGAAGTAGTCACACTCTGTAGCGGAAGTTTGGTGACGTAACCAGCGAGCTGAGTTCCGGGTTTTTTTGCATTCTTTAGCTTTCAGTCGATCGCTCGCTTTTACTCCGACAAACCGGCCCCCATCTGGTAAGTTTATTCACTTTAAATTATATTAACTGTTGGAAATAGGTTTACTATAACGTTGGCGAGCAGTTCCGTGGACATTCATTCGTTTAACATTTCCTTATTGTTGAACATTAAAGTCACACTTTCGAAAACGGGCTCAGTTAGCCTGGTTAGCTAGCTGTCAGTGGAAAAAAACACTGACCTGCTGCTATTAGCCAGCTAGTGAACGTTAGCTTGTGAGCTAGCGCTGTTAGCAGCTGATAGCGCTGTTAGCAGCTGATAGCGCTAACGCTGGTTGGCTGCAGGCGACGACCCCGCTCTACAAATGCACTTCAATTGAAATCAGTTCAGAACCGCCGGGACGCCATCAGTGACTCCGTTAAATCTCATCCAGTTGATTTCTAGCTCCGACTCGCCGTGTGAGAACGAGACTGTTTTTGCCGCAGCGGTGGGAAGTTACATAAGGTTCACTTGTTTGTAAATACCGATTACCTTCGCGTGATCAGAGGCAGAGTAACTAATCCCTTTCCACTGTCATTAAGATCAACATGTAGCACCTATCTCTCTCAACCACTTTCTGGCAGCTGGTGCTATGAGTCATCTGCATGTAGTGCACAGTAACAGTTCAATGTCGCCGATGTGTAATGTCAGCCTGAGGTACAAATTAGGAAATCTACCTCGTCAGCGAGCTCGGTTTATTTGGCAGATCATTTGATCCTCCTGTCACCTCCTGTCTGACAGCAATAATGACTGGGGGGGGGATCCAGTTTTTTTTCTTCTGATGCTGCCAAGTAAAGCTGTACACAGCAAATCAATTATATTCACTTACATGACACATTTCTGAAATGTCTGATCCTGCTCCTGCTCACTTACACTTTAAAAATTTTGATTGGTTCATTAAAAAAAAAAGAACTGCAATGCTGTTTTCCTGATAAAAGTTGGCGCTGAAGTTTGGGAAAATTCAGTGAATTCCCTCTTTGTCGTGTACATTTCTCCTGGTGTTCTTATTGTGCCTTATTTTCCCATTAGCGTGTGTACGTACATTCCTTGAAAAGCATTTCAAGATCCTGTACTCTTATAGGCAATCGTTTCTCACATATGATATAGGATATGAAGCAGTCACGCAATGTCAAATTCTAGGTACTAACAGCATAGCTATTTTCAGTCATGTAGTCAAATGATGCTCCGAACTGATTTAAATACATTCACTTGTCTTCCTCCTTAATGGAATAAGCCTCTAGATTATTTCAGCTCCAGGGAGATATTAATTAAAATGGATACCTTATCAAGGCTGCTGTATTAATAACAGCATGATGAACACTGAAACATCTGCCGATCGGTGAACCATGAAAGCCCAAGGTTATAATCAAAGGCTTTTTGTTTATCTCAAGAGATGACCTACAAAAGGAAAAGTGAAACCTATTATTGATCACTTGGGCAAACCTGTGTGTTAAAGTAGGTGGCAGCTCAGGATCCCACACACTGAAACACAGTACACGCTGACCCAATTTCTTTCATTTTGAGAATTCAGTTGAAGATTTGTACAATACTCCACAACAAATAAAATGCTTGCAATTTATTTCTCTCTTTCAGTTTCTCACATTGTACAGTTTAGTACTGAAAGTGGACATACAGTCAGTGTCTTTTATTTTATTAAATTGTAAACGGGAGTATTTTTCATTAGAAGAGTTATACAAGAATTTCTCAGCGTTGAGGTTTGACCTCATTATCTGTGGGTCTTGTGCTATATACGTACTGTCATTAGTCTTGCCTGAGGAGAGACCTGCTTAAGTGAAGGTATGCTAATCACAATACTGGCTACTAAACTATACAACTGTAATAATACTTTTCACTTCGAGAAGTTGCTAATCCAAGTCTACGATTATTTCATACAAAAACAAAGTCTAGCCATGATGGCTAACCTTGACATTAATCCCTAATTTGTCATTGTATGTCAACAGTGAAATAAATAGTGATTTGTTTTTTTTTCTGTTGACAGGAGTGTGCTGCGCTGTGTTGGGAGAACAGTTCTCGTGCCAACGGTTTACCCAGGATAAGCCACAGGTCTGCGCCTGTCATCAGTTTCCGGCGTGTGTTGTGTGTGTGGCTCTGGTAACACTGAACAGGAAGACGCACGCAGAGAGACGTCTGAACTGAGAGAGGAAACTGTTGTGGCTTCTTCATCAGCCTCAGAATGACTGAGTTCTGGGTTTGTTTCAGCTGCTGCATTGCAGAGCAGCCACAACCTGTGAGTATAAAATTAAAAGGCAAATTGATTGACTCAATGTTTTAACGTCGCCGCCTTGTTTAAAGTGGAAGCTGGTATGAAATGTGTTTTAGATAGACTATAAGTTAATAAACAGAGCAGTACTCTCTGGTGTAATGCAGTGTGCTGGCGCATATATCTTAAACTTCACTCAAGCCCTGAAAATAGTGAATATTCCCTGTTCTTTGATAAAGTTTCGTTAAAAACACAGTGGTTGTATCATGCCTGAGAAAGTATACATTACATCCTCTTTCTTATAAATTTAAAAAAGAAAGTGGCAGGGCCTCCTCCAGCTAACCACATCCCACTGTTTGACACGACAATTGCTTAGATTCAGCTTGGGTTTATTACTGTGGCAGTGAACAACCAGCTGCTGTGCCTCATGGTAGTCAGCCAGTCTGCCTATTTAACAGATAAGATAAAAGGAATCATGGATGTCGACCTCTGTCTCAGTTTTAGCTCCACAGGGCAGGTTTCAGCAGATAAACAGGAGAGGAATGAGTAGGCTCTGTTTTGGTTGGTGTTTACCTGTTCACCACCCCCACTGATTAATAATATCATGTCATCTTTAGGTTTTTTAAAAAAAAATTATGTTTATGCTACTCTTTCTTAGAAACGACGGCGACGGATCGATCGCTCCATGATCGGGGAGCCAACAAACTTTGTTCACACCACACATGTAGGCTCGGGGGACATGGGCATTGGATTGGCATCCGTAAGTTTTATCTCCTCTTAATCAACCGACAGAGTAAAGCAAACATATACGTCTTCAGTCTACTAACATTTACCCCTTGATATTTACAGGTGGACCTTGTTCAGGCTCAGATGAAATCTAAAGGGGGCTACGCGCACGGAGGGTCTGAAGGTTCCCAGTTGTAACGAGGTGAGAGATTATTTCATTCCTGAGCGGAACTGATATTCAGCCACTGAATTTTCACTACCTCAAAGCCGTACGAGCCGGGCTTAGATGCGTTTTATGCAAATTGCTGTTTCATACTGCTAAAGGTCAGGTTTGTTTTTTGAGGGGAATTTTAATTGCTTACAGATTTATGTAAAACTGTGATCTAAACATGCAAAAATATTCTTTAGCAACATTCAACAGAGCACTGCAGCATTCGTGGTAAACACTGATGAGTAACCTGCAGTATGTGAGAAGGTCATTTGCCATGCAAACAAGTAGTTCCTCTGTCTTGCGTGCTGTAACCAGAAATATAGTTGTAGCCTTTAGCCTTTACACTTTTGATATTGCTCAAAAAGAAAAAACACCCTTATGGAAATTTAAAGACTTGCCAGCTATCTACAAATAAGTCCCCTACTTGACTCCACCCATCCTCTGTCATAACTAATTATGGCAAATCATGCTTCATGCTTACACACAACAAGCGTGTCTTGTGTGGCTTTAAAAGGAAACTATTAAAATACCACACGGCACATATTTATTCTGTGCTCGATATAGTCATGTTTTATTGGGGGAATTTAGCCCTCCCTCCATGAAGGAATGAATGCCCTTTTCCCTCTTGATTAGCTTTGTTGTGCTGATAACCACTTCTATTTCCTTGTGACAGTGACTCAGCTGCCAGTGAAATGATGATGTTTTTTCATTTGTTACTTACAATACACTGGCCTGATGTGGTCAGTGGAGTTGCTTTCTACCGGCCTCAGGCAGCTGGTTAACTGTTAATGTTGCACCCTGCCTTATATTTAAACTCCCACTGGATGTTGCCATGGTCACTTGCACTTTTTTTATTTTTGGAACCAGTCACCCTTCAGGTGCCTAAACAGATTCAACCCAACAATATCAAACAGTGGGTGGAACAAAAATGACAGACTTTGACCAAAAGAGTCTCAGATTTGATGGTAAAATTGTGTGATGAGGGCTTAAGCCACACCCCTGCTATCAGTCGCAGTTAAGATCCTAACATCTGTTCCACTTTTTCCCCCGCAGCCCTTCACAGTCTTGTGGAAACTACTGTTGTTGATATGAGGAAGCATTTTCAAAAAGCAGTTCTGTCTGTAATGGACGCAGGACCAAAAGATGAAACTACTGCTTTTCCATGATGTTGTATATATTTTTTATTTTCCATTCCTTTTTTTTTTTTTATTATGAAAGCACTGCTATCCATTTGCTGCCATACTGTTGCACTGTAAAGAGTAACTGTTAAAGAGTAGATAAGAGGGTTTAGAAAGCTCATAATCTCAGTCAGACGTATGCTTGAGTGTATGCATGAGGAAAATAGTTTCAAAAATATTTTGCTGTTGTAGCCCAATTGGATGCCTGTATTTATTATCTGATTCGTTAACGGACCTCATGGTGGCTGGGCCACGCTGGAGATTTGGAACATTCAGTTTCCTTCTTTATTCTCAGAGGTTTATCAAAGGACAGGTAGAGGCGGCAAGGCAAAAATCGATACGTTTATTGTTTTATTCTGAGAAATACTCATGATTCTCTGAGTTGCTTTCAGGGTTGAAGATTGCTGTCTTGTAATAAACTTGAAATGAGTAGAGTACACTGGATCATACATTGTACACTCACTTACACTTGCTTAGGAATTACGCATTGATTTCAACTGTTTTTTTTATACTCATTTAGATTGAACCATATAGAATTTTAATAAACTATGAACTTCCTAATCTGCCTTCTGAAGTCATTCGTTATTTGTTTTATAAGTATCATATGGCAGCTTGAAGCTGCAAATACTGAGCTTAGTGGTTTCAAGATGATTAATGTTTTTAAATTTTTTTTCAAGGCTTGTATACCAACAGTAGATCAAGAATCAAACTTTGGAAGAAATCCCCACCACTGCAAACACTGCCATGAATGTGGGTCAAGTTTGATACAGTTAGCAGTATTCTCAAACCTGTAGTTTACCTACGGTAGTTAGTTGTAGCTACGGTCCATTTTTTCCAGCACAGTTTGTTTTGCATATTGTGTCTTTTCATGACTTCTAGAGTATTTCTCGCTCTTTGGCCGAAACACAATTTGAGACAATTTTGTCCCTCCGGAGGTCTCAGTAGTCTCAAATGCTGCACTTCTTAAAGCTGACAAATGCTATTAAATCACATTGACCCAGATTGTGACCCTCATTTGTAGCAGTGTTTGGGATTCAGTTGCTTTATTGTTAAAAGATGTTCCCATGTGATGTTCAAATTATTCTGTCAACAAAATTATAAAAGGTATTAACTCTCCATTTGAGCCCCTGTGTTGATTTACACCCAGTTTGTCAGTTTGTGCAAACCCCTACCCTCCCTTTTCAAGGAGATCTAATTTTCCTATCTTAAGGAAAAGTAAATAAGTGCAGCTCTTATTGCCTGATCTGGTTGTCGGTTGTCTTAGTAATCAGACTAGAGTCATTGTTGTCGTTTGTGGTCCAAATTTCTGATCCAGGCTCCACTGAAAATACCTTGATGAAATCAGCAGATAGTGACCGAGCAGGTGCAGTATGAATATTAAACGCACGACCCCTTCTACTTGGGGTTCTGTAGTGTTCATCATGTACACACTGCTCATCACTACTAACAGTGATTATAAATCACCAGCAGGCCTGGATCTATTAATACATATGTGATTATTTGTCTTCCATGTACATCATATGATTTACTATTCCAACAGCAGAACGTGGTTGTATTATAAAGTCAAGCAAAAGTCTGTGTTTACCGGTGTTAAATGAGTGCTATTGTCATATTTATGATACAAGAATGAAATATTCGGTGTATGTACAAGGCGACGTAAATACCTGATTGATATTGGTCGCATTTCTCATATAATTTACAGCCTTAAAACTGCTGGTAGCCATTTTCCAGACATTCACAGATTTAATAATGTGTTTCACCAGACTAAAATATTGTCACATCTGTTCCTCTTTAAATGTTTCTGTAGTAATTCCTGTGTGAAAAGAGATCCACATATATGTAGACTAGTTTGTTTTTTTCCAGCTCTGGGCTACATGCTGTAGTATGTGCAGACATACTGGGATTGCAGTATATTATGTGACCAGCAGGCTGTGCTAGTGGACTGGTTGAATGTGACTTGTTGTCAAAATGTTTCCTTATGGGATTCCTGTCATAGGACTTATTTTATGATGAAACTGTAAATACATAGCATAAAAGTATTGGATCCATGGTTTATATGTATTTAGGGTCATACATATTTTCTGTATACCAATGAGAAGGACGAGTCGGAGCATTGTTTCTTTGTTTTGTTTTTTCCTCAGGAACTGCCTGATAATGTAGTACCTACTTTAAGGGAAATTCATCTGTCTCTTTTCTGCATTTTTCAGAATAAAAAATGAGAAATAAATGTTCAATGTTGATGTTTGACCAGCTGTGTGTTCCATGTTTTCACTTCAGGCCCAAACTCCACATCTATTCTGTGAGGGATTGATGGATTGAGGAAAGCACAAACAAACACTGAAAATATAAAAGTATTCTTGTAAATCGCCTTTACTTATTGTATTAATACTCCACTACAAGTCATGATTTCAAAGTCCTATTTAGGTATTATATTGTTAACAACATATAAATTGTATTTTTAGTCCAGTGGTTCTCAAACTGGGGGTCGGGCCTCCTCCTAAGGTTCACCAGATCAATCTGGGGTATCTGTTTTAACCTTCTTTTAATCTTTAACTTTATCTTTTGTTTTTGTGAAATAATGAAAAATTCCTCATTAGGACTTGAAGGCTTATTTAAAACAAACTGTGGCTTAATCTTTAACGATGTTTTGTATTGTGAAAATCCGGTCTTTGTTATTAGACATTTAGTTGTGCCTAGCAGGAAAAGCACAGGTGTAATTATAGGCTGTGTTACATTCAGACATGTCACTCATAGTGCACGGTGACACACTGGAATGGAATTACTTCAAAGAGAGCCGAAATGTGTGTTCTTATTTGCTCCTGTGCTTCTCCTGCTATGACAAGTCAAACTATCATGGAAAAAGGCCTGTAAAGTATAGGTGACTGGTGTGAAGATATATGGCCCATTTAGTTAATGAATAAAGTATGACTGTATTTATATGAAACTGTACTATATTCACTTCCATTAAGTGTAGTTTCATATGAAATGAAATATCCTCATTTATATTAACCTCATACCTCATATATGTATATCATTCCCCATATGTTGAGCTGTCAGCAGCCTTTAAAAGCAGTGTTTTTGCAGTCAAACTAAAGAGAATAGATTTCACAGGGCGAGTCTTACCAGACTGGGTGATTAGTGGAGCACTCAGGACAAATGTTATCTAATATTTTATCTAATTACTTCTCTCCAGGCGCTGCCACAGTGGGTACAGTGCAGGCTTTATGAAGGTACACACAAGCACAGTCTGAAGCCATCTCCTTCAGTTTATGCAAAGGTTTTTTAGCTTTTTGTAAAGTCAAATGAACTGGGAGTCACTCATCTCTCACTGCCAATTACCATAATAATTTTACAATATGTGGATTCATGTGCAAGAAGTGTCTGAGACAATAAAAAAAACCACGCCAAACAAATACATACACACTGGTTGTAAGGTAATGTGCTTAAGTTGCTTTTGCATACTGTAAATGCAAGATGAATTTAAAAATACAAAACAAACACAAAACAGGTTGTATAATAATCACAACAAAACAAACTGCACCATCTGTGGTCTCAAAAATGAAAATATACATGTTTTTCTTTGTCATGAGCATCTCTTGGAGAAATCTTTATTTATAAAAGTGGTAAAATCAAAGGCATAAAGGGAAATGAATCAAACACATATATACAGACAAAAATATATGTATTGCAATTTAAGTAAACATGGGAGTTTTAAACTCCACTCACATAAACACAAACCTACAAACTGTTAAAGCCAAATGTCCTGAACTTCATTCCCTGTATGTTGGCTAAACTCAAAGACACAGAGCAATCACTGATCCTGCACGGAAGCGAAATGAGATCTGTTTACTCTGTATGCTGGGGTGTGAGCTTGGTGTCGTTTCAGGGAGTTTGAGGCACTGAACCATAGTGAACCTAAGTGATGATGACAGAGGTAAAGCTTGGCTTGGAACAGGATCTTCATCTCAGCATGCTCAGCAGAGAGAATGACCGCAACTGACTGACAGAGCAATATTCTCTGTCCGATCCCTCCTCTCTTGTTTCTACTTTTCAGTGGTCAGCTCAGCAGACAGCAGGAGGGAAAGACAGTCGAAGGTTATCTAGAAAGCAAGAAACAGATAGAAAGCAAGAAACATATAACACCGTTGGTGCACAGCTACAGCGCCAGTGTTTGCTGATGTGCGGACCAATCTGAGAGCTCCTTTATGTAGTTTGGACCAAGCAGATCGTTGTAGTTGTCTGTGTGCAGAGAGTACGGGTTATCATCACCAGAACCTGAGGAGCACAAAACAATATGTAAACTCATATGCAAAGACACAAACAAATGGGAATAAGATATTATCAAAACATTACTGGATTTTAATTTTATATTATTTTACAACAGGGGCCATGTGATTATTCACACACACACACACACACACACACACACATTCAAGCAAGCATTTGGCAAAACAGTTTTTTGTGGTCTTGAGAAACAAACTTTATTTGATGTAATCATGGTCTTTCCCATAATAATTGTTCCCACAATAATTGTTCCTGCTGTGCATATTTGTCTCTATCTCTGTCTTTCTCTCTTTACCACCCAACCCCCTCCCCATCTGTACCTCCCTCCCTTCCTCTCTCACTGTCTTTTTTCAGCCAAGTGCTTGCTCATTGTGGGAACTGTTTTATAAGCAGTACAGTCTAGATCTGCACTATTTGAAAAGTGTCCTGAGATAAATTTTGTTATTATTTTGTGCTATACAAATGAAATTTAATACTAGGTACTGATGCAGATCTTTCTCAATTAATCAATTATTTAAAGAAATCCTGAAACTGTCAGCCAAATATGAGCCCTAATACACACAGACAATATATACTGTATGTGTAAAGTGTCTTACAGTGCCAGTGGTCCCACAGTGTGTGTGTTCTCCATCCTCGCGGCTCCCCAGTCTGGTTCCAAAGGTCAGCATTGCTTAAGTGGTCCATAAGCTACGGGAGACAAAATACTCACAGTCAGTCAGACAGCTACAGCAGTGGTTCCCAACCTGGGCTTTGGGACCTCCACCGGGGGTCGCTAAAGTTTCAAAGGGGGCTGTGAGAGCTTCTTGATTTTAAGGGGTGTAAAAAAAACTTCGATAAATCAATATCTAAGCATTTTGTTCATTTCTGTGAGGAAAACTAAATGAAATTGTTATTTTTAAAGTTTAGATTAATATTTAAGATCTAAACTAAAGACCTAAACACAAGCTATATTGACAGCGCCTTCACTGTCTGCTAAACATTCTTGTTGCTTTAGAAACGTATGCAGTTAAAACAACAAAAGAGCTAACAGAATAATGGCCAAGTTACAGGTAAAAGAAAACACTACACATCTGTACAAAAAAAAGTCTATTAAGTATGTATGATTCTTAAAAAGCATACAGACAGAGAACTGTACAAAAATTCCTAAACATATCAGGAAAACTCATCTCGGATTGCTCACAGGAAATAATCTGCTCAAAATTCATCCATAATGCTCATTTTACACAAACTTCCTGCAGTTATTGCATTCACTGTTTGGTTTCACTGTACAGTGTATCAGTTATTATTGTAATGCATTGGATGTAACATGAAATGTCATATAAAATATGTCAGTCAGGGGCCATCAGTTTACTCATGATATTAAAGGGGTTCCATAAGGAAAAGGTCTGGAAAACACTGTGCCACCTACAGAACCCAAACTGCACCCATCAATATTTAACTGATCTGGGGCAGCGCAACCACATGAAATTCAAAAGAAATGGAGGAACTAACTTTTGGGATTAAAAAGTGGATTCATCTTCACTCTCCCTTCTCAACCTGTCTGCTGCAAGCCACAGCGGTTGCCATGACAGGAAAAAACACTCAATATTCGGTCAGGAAACTAGTATTCATTGCATTTAGTCAGTCAGTCAGTAAATGAAAGGTCTGATACCTTAAACACAGCCTCATTCTGCTCCTGGTCTTCGGGTTTGGCTTCCCACATCCCTGCACAACAACATTAACAGTCATTCTCACAGGGCCAACAGTGAGAGCAACAACAAAATACTTTGTAACAACAAGCGACTCACCGTGTGTTTGAGTGTTGCCAAATGTGTCTTCTGTATGGGTCTCCACCTTCTGTGGTGTGTCTGAAATGGGTCTCACTGTGGTGGGTTGCCAAGTGTGCGTGGGGTATGCATCATCACCTAAACTCGCCTGTCTTTCTCGAGCCCTGCTGAACAACCGGAGCCCTGAGAGTGGAGAGGACAGTGCTGTCACACCAGGGCTGTTGAGGATATGTTCGAAGTACTAAATACATTTTAAAGGAATGTCTTACCTCTCCTGCGTCTGTGTGTTTGTGTGCTGGGCATCATCCTGTAGACTCTGTAGGCATTGCTGCCTCTCTTCCTGCTGTGCTCCTGCAGCTCACAGATGTCAGGCAGAGAATTTAAGGCACAGCGGAAATTCGCCTTCCATGTCTTGGGATCTGGTTTGTCTTTACCCGGACAATAGCGTCCTGAAGTGAACAAGTGTACAGATTTTGGGTCAGGGCCCTCATTAACCATCCCTGATGTTTTCTTCTCTCTGTGCTGTTTATATAGGTTTCTATGCAGATATACCTGGCCCAGGTGTGCTATGTGGTGAGTTGATTAATAATTAATAGGAATATGCAACTTGTAAGCACAAAACTAAAGAAAAAACCTTTATACAGACATTATCTTCAAGACGTGGCCTCAAGATTAGTTAATTAAGCAGGACCCACCTTACGGCCTTTATTATTGTAATGGATAGTTAATATTGTGTTTCAGTGGTGCATAGTTGTCGATTAAATTAGCACAAACACAGCTTTTGGTGTGTATATCATTGAAAGTTCAGCCTACCTGAAAACACTTTTTGCCCACTCATAGTCAGTTTAAAGAGGAACTTACTGTAGCACCAGGCTGCGAAGCAGGAATGATTGTGCATCACTGCAGCGAAATGAGAAGTTAACCAACTGGAGGTCAACAAAAACGATTTCCAGTGCATATTTCCTGGCCTATTTCTATCCGTTGTAGAGATACACAAAACAAGGTGCATCAGAACAAGCTGTATGACTATGAATCAACGCTTGTCTGTGAGTCTGACAGAAAGAAAACACAAATAGAAGCACCTCAGGGTAGGATTTCTCACTGTAACAGCTATTGTTGCTCCTTACTCATATTTAGTGTGATTTGAATCTCAACCAGTCCTGAATATAATTGCCGGTCTCAGTGATAAAATCATTGGAGCTTAAAAACATCTACTGTGGTTCATTTACAGCACACATGCTGCAACCTCCCACTGTCATTAATGACAGAGCCTGGGTGTTGTGTCAAAGAGCAGCTGATTATTATCTTTTTTACTCAATTGATGATTCAGTTGTACACCCTGTGTATTTATATTATTAATTATATATTTTTTAAATGTCTTCAATACTGAGTTATAGCATAGCCATTCTACATAGAACCTATTTTTTACTTCAGCTGTTCAATATGTTTTTTTTAGATCTTGTGAAGAGCTATCCTGTTGTACTTTGACAGCAATACGATCACCGTGCACATTCACGGCAACTGAACTGGAGCTTTCCCATGATGTGATGCAGTCACAAAGCGTAACTTTCCCAAGGCTGCTGTGTGTGTGTGTGTGTGTGTGTGTGTGTGTGTGTGTGTGTGTGTGTGTGTGTGTGTGTGTGTGTGTGTGTGTGTGTGTGTGTGTGTACACAATGACTTTACTCAACTTGTTCCTCAGAAAGAGGTTCTAGAACATATAGAAACAAGATCTAGTTATGAGATTATGGAGAGAATGATTAATTATTATTAGATTATATCCTAATAATTGGAATTATGGGCATTTGTTTCATGTTCTTTGTATTCTGGACACAAAGTAATCCACAAAAAGAGCAAAACAAAGATGTCATTTGTCATTTGTACTTGATTATGAGATGTCTTCTGAACTTTGCATGTAAAAACATAAATAGAAATCTAGGCAGCAACAGGCACTGGTGCTGTAAATAGTGGCACTGAGGGGACTGCAGCACCCCCTAAAGCTGACATAATGAAAACCATTATTTCATAAAAATGTTTAAACTTATAATGATTATATCCTTTTTTACTGGGATTTACATTTGTACCCTGGAATTTTCTGGCAAGAAAGAGGTTTTTATTAGTTTTATCTGCTAAAAAGTTATACAATCTGTGTATTGAATTGTATTTAGTATTGAACTGTCATTAAAGGGACTTGTCTGTATTGAACTGAAAACCCTAAAAATGATAACAGTTTAAGTCTGCTGCTGAGATTACCTGGAAGAATAGTGCCTTGGTAGCAGCTAATGTGGATGTAAATAAACACATTTGTACATTTAATTGGCACACACTGGTGTTATTAAATGTTGCTATGCAATCTTCATCACATATCAAGAACCTTGGAATGTGGTAGATCTAGAAAAACATTAACAATACACCCATGGCAGCTCTTCTCTGGAAAAACTTCCACTATGCAGGAAACAGGTTTGCAGACAGAGCTCATCAGGATACTTGGAATACATTTCCAAAATGCAGTGAAAATGGCCAAATGCTAGTTAGCATTAAATAATTTATAACTGCTGGGCAGGCACATTTTTAACTTTAGATGACACTTAGAAATGTATCTTTTTTTCTTCTTATTAAGGATAATGAAGCCATACAGTAAAACTAATATTCAATTAGAGATGTTAACAAATGATATGCGTCTTAGCCAGCAAGCTGCCAGTGCAAATGACAAATGACTGGCAAATACAAACAAAGACAAGAGGGCTTAACGGCTCTTAACAGGGAGTAAAGAGGTGGTCGTTTGTGGTATGTATTAATTATTCATTAGTTAATTGGAATTATATATATATATATATATATATATATATATATATATATAGGGAATATTGATTAATACATTTGGCACATTGTATATTTTGAATTAGAATAATCATTAAAGTTATTCTCATTAATATCATGATATTGCTTCCGACGATATAGCTCAGCTGTAGTGCTGCGGCTCTGACCTAAACAGTTAATTCTGTTAGTTGTTTATAAATAGAAACCACAAATATAAATATTTTTCCTGTGGTTTTAGTCCACAAAGTATTAGTAAAGATAGAATAAGCCGTCAATCCTAATAAGAGGTAGGTATAAAACACATGCATGTCTGTGCGGCTCCTACCAGTGTGCATGGCCCAACTCCTGAAGAGTGTAGCATCTCTGTCAATACTCCAGCCATGACGAGCGGCATGCTTCCACGGGATTTGAAAAATTTGTGCTGACTGTAGAATAAAATAAAAGAATAAAAGCATTGAATAGTATAGGTTACAAGAGTATTTCATGATTCATGCTTTATTCTGCATACACTTTCCAAACTGATTTGATCTGCCACAAAATGTTTTGCACCCAGGTGTGTGTGCGTGTGTGTGTGTGGGATGAGATTGAGATGGAGGGGTCTACCTGGTCCAGCCAACTGACTCCTGGATACCTCCCAGACTGAATCTGCTCCTCCAGCCATGGCCTCAGCCTCAGCCGGCCTGGTTGTTGCATGCTTCAGGTGTCCAGAAAGGTGTATAGATGCGTCACTGGCTAGCAATAACATACAACTTCTCAGGAGCTCAGATTAAATCAGGTTACTCTGGGACAGCCTTCCTCCTTCACTGCATTCTTCCAATCAACGACTTTCCCAGTTATGACAATCCCCTCCTCCTCCCAAACTGGCTCCTCCAATTACAGGAAATACTGTATATATTGTATACTTTAGGTTGTTCTCTTCATAAATGAATCTGAGGTGGATTATGATAGCGTAAAGAGTTGTGAACCTCCTTGTACAGGTTTTTAATGTTTTGCCTACAGTTCTACTGAGGACAGCAAGTTCAGCAAAATTCAAAATCTTAAGTATGGTTATGTGTTGCATTTAATTATTGGAATTGGAATTTAATTCTGGCATGCAGGGGTCACCTGTCGTGTCAAAGTTAGAGCTAAAACATGTTGGTGACCATGCAGTTTTTCATGTGGTTCCACTAGAGGTTACTGTGGCAGCAGTGAGACAGTATTCATGTAAGACCATCAGGTGGAAGCAGAGTTAACACTGTATGTGATACTTCTGCTGTAGCCTACTTGTTGCAACAGGTTTCTTTACTTTTGAAATTCAAATGAAAAAAGGATTATTCTGTTTAATGAATCAAAAACGCCCTTTTATACGTGTGTGCCATCTTGTTAACACTGTTCACATCCACATTTTTGGAACAACATGCAATTTGATACCATATCATATATTGTTTGTCATATATATTGTTACTGATGGTGCTATGGTTCTTAGTGTGTTGTTGTTTGTGTTGTTTTTACCTCTAAAAGCACTTTGTAAACTTATTTTTAAAAGTTGCTCAATAAAGTTTGATTATGTAGCTTCAGTCACATTAAAGTATATTATTTGTAGATAACTCACTATATATGAATGCCAGCCAAAATACTGTCTTCATTTTAGTGGCACTGAAACAGTATTCCGCAACAGTCATTCTCATGGTACAGTTTTGAGAACATATGATAACAATTAGACATTTCTGCTATTTTACATTATTATAAGATCAATTGATTGATTTATTATGTCACATTATTATACAATTGTGTAATTATATTAAAAGGATATATTAATATATTTTATGTTACAGTAGTGTATAAAGTTATATAATATAATCTTTATATTATTATATATTATATTATGCCATTTTATAATTATGTTATTTTTGTTTATATTAATATTAAGAAAATATTTAGTGGTCAATTAATTTGCACTTTTAACTGACAGCTGACATATCTAATTCTAAAAAGTCCCACCTCTCTGCCCTCCCCAATTTTTCTATGCCACTTTTTAAATATTTCTCCCCAAATGATGTCCTCCCCCATAAAACAGCTTCAACAGGAAATATGTCTAATTAAGGAAAGATTGTACTTAAATACAACTTAATACAACGTGGGACACAATAACGAGATAAGTTAAACTGCTTGAGGTCACAAAAACACATTTTCTCTTTTTTTAATGTTCTCTGCTGAGACATCAAAAATCTCCTCGGTCACAACAATACAACTGCTTGTTGTGTATTTGAAACATTAAAACTCAGAAACAACATCTCTTTGAAACAAACACAACTCAGGATAATCCGCAAGCCACAAAATGTACAACTTATTTGAACTATTCAGAACCAAAGAAATGTGCCTTACTAGTCATTTGTATAACTGTTTGTATTAGTATATATTTGTTTTACTTCTTCCTAGAGTACCACCGTTTTACAACACATGTGCATATTAATTCCTTTGAGTTACACGTCTCTGCTCCAACACTGTATAAGTGTGTTTCTGTAGAAGTGCCGTTGTGTTTGCTGCGATACTGTTTGAGGGTGACGTGTGTTTCTGTGGAAGTGGCTCACCAATTCCAGAGAAGAATGAGAAGGAAGTAATTTCACAACCCAGAATAACAAAAGCGCCACATGACAGATCTTTGTCGTGGCTTGTTTCAGACAAAGCTTTTTTTGTCAGCTGTGAAGCAAATTTTGTGATTAAAGATGATTTCCCTAGTCAAATGTAGCTCAGAGATGGCTTGTCTGTTAACTAATAAGCCTTACTAATACTAAAAAGTGAATACATAATTGTAATAATAATAAAAATGATAAACTAAACTGAAAGGTTAGACACGAGTCTTCCTCTCAGCTATATACAACACACAAGAAATACATTTTCCATGAGCTATGTCAATTTAAATGTGATGAAAAATGACCTTAGTTGAATATGACATGTGAGATAGATGAGCTGAGCATGAGCATTTTCTTAACACATTTAAAATAAGTGCATTCTGTTTTTCACAAAAGCTTTACATAATTGTTGTACAAAACCGTATGGATGTTTCACATCAAAGGCAGCCATATACAGTTGCAAAGTGCTTAAAGCTCAAACAAATATTATATGTTCTTAAGGTTCAAAGATGTGACTTCTTTGAATGCAAACCAAAAAATATCTACAACACGCTTTAGAACAGTCATATCCCATGTCAAAACACCAATTGAATTTGATCATATCACATGATCTTCATTGTGACTTGCACGGGCAATGTCATTGAAATAAAATTCCATAAAAACAAACATCTGTTGATAAATATCATGTGGTATGATTGAATGATTGATTAGGAACAGCTATGGACCTTGAGTTAAGAGCGTTACTGATTTGAACACCATTTAGTCTGTTCTATCATCCTCTTCCTCCCTCTCATTTTCGACTTTTCCCAACAATATTTATAATTTAAAGAAGCACTCACATAAAACAATGAATGCATTCATTCAAATTCAATGCTACACACTCTGATAGCCGCCGTCTGTGATCACTGGCATGGACTGGTCGGCAGAGATCAAAGAGATAAAAGGTCTTTGGAGCTCAGACAGACACTGGCCTGCCTGGACGTTATTAATAGAACTCGGAACCACTGGGCTAAAGAAGCTTTGAGGCATCTTGACAAAGGATTCCTCTGGATATTTGCTCAAATGTTCCTCTTCCTCACCACCTCTCTTCTCTGGAAACAAAATATCAGGCTGATCCACAAGATTTTGAAATGACTGGTAGTCGTCTTCCACTGGAGGAAACCTGTGTGAGCCTGGAGGCACACAGCCGTAGCAGGGATTTTCCTCAGTTTTTCCATTTAGCTTTGCGGCACCACCAACCGCCTCATCAGAGCTCTCACACCCACCCTCAACTTTGGACACAGGGTCACATGACGCAATTGTGTTGGTGCCACCGGAGATGGAGGACGAACTGGAGTCTTCTGCATATGAAAATCTCCCAGAGTCTGCAGTGCACTGCTGATAGGACATGTCTGTTGGCATAAGAGCTGAAACCGCTGGTGATAAAGAAACAAGCGGGCAAGCTGGTACCTTTTGGTCCGCACTGATCACAATGTCACCCTCACTAGGATGGTATCCAGAGTCACAAGGCATTTTAGCTTGCGGCTGGTCTTCAGAGCTGTCTGTCGTAATCTGCTGTAGGAAGCTGGGAATGAGGATGGAATAGGTTTTATTTTCAAATACAGATGATCCAGAGCTCATGTCATCAGCTCTGACACCACAAAGGTTGTAGGGAGCCGAGAATAAATCACTGTCTTTGTTTGATTCTGGAATAGGGATGGTGGTCAAAGGCGATATTGGGCTTATATTGGGAAAGGCTTTGCCAAGGGCATCCTGAACACGGGCTATAATGTCAGCAGGTTCTGTGTTAGCATAACTGAGACAAGAGGAGCCAGTGCTGATTCCACTGCTTTGCTGAGGGCTCCCAGTGCTGATGTCTCTCAGTGACCCCTTCCACCTGAATACAGAGGACCTGGTTACTTAAACTACCTAATCAAAATCACATATAAATGGAAATGTATCGTATTGTTGATGTACCAGTGCAGCCATACTGACCATGCTTTGGTGTCATCTGGATCAGGGAGCTCAACATATACAGTGGAGATGACCGTTTCCACAGGCTTCAAGACCTGCGACAAAAGGGACAAAAATGATTTGAACTACCAATGTGAAACATTACAGTTACAGGAGTGAATTTAGAAATGTCCTTTTCACAATAGATTCTACATGAACTATTTAACAGTACAGATGTTCAAGTTTCTGAATGTATAAGGAGAGGTTTAAAGTTATAAGCACTACCTCTCTCTCTAGCAAAAGGCAGGAAGCAGCAAAAAATCACACTCAAATAATAGACAGTGAATTAACAGTTTTATGAGTCGTGATCAATTTGGCGTGTATCCAGTCCACCAACCAGCACTTATTTTATTGAGAAATCTTAATGTTTGAAACAGTCAGACTCTAATTCCCATGCTCTTTCTCACTGAAAGAGTGCAGCTGCCACGGAGGCTGAGCGAGCTGAGCTGAGTGTAAATTATAATGTTTGTTCAGTATACAGTTTCTCGTTATTGTAGTTTGGTGTAGGGGGCTTTTAAGCTTAAGTTATTCAAACTGCCAATATGTACATTTTTAACATTTTGTCACCACAACAAAAACACTAGGTAACTGCTAAAGTATGATAAGGTTGTCTGACATTGACAGTTGTTGCTTAATTGTTTGGTTCATGGTTGAATAACAGATAGACACGGGTGTGTAATTGTAAAGTAATATAATTGTAGTGTGTCACGTAAGTCATGTAGTGTGACCAGACAAGATGTCAGTCCTAGTTGATTTGGTGAAACCCATAGTTACTAGTGGTAGGACAGCAAGTGTGGTTTATTACTACAGCTATTCCCATTGAGCAGTCAGAAATGCAACACAAGTGTATTTGTTTATAGTGCTGCCAAACAAACTCAAATTTTTTGGAAAAGAGATTACAGCCATGTTTTGATTTCATGCTGCACAAAAAAATTCCTGTGGATCCCTCATGCATGTGAAAGCAGTCTGAATCCAGTGCAGGAATGGCGGATCCCGCCACTATCAATGAAAACCACTATAGAGAAGTAAATACTGATTAGATGCAATGAATAGCTATTGCTGAAAAATAACACTAAACAATAAATTGTATGATTTTGTGAAAAACTTAAGAATTGTGACTCCATGTCCACACTTAATGTGTCATTAAAAAACAGATGCAACAACTGAAGCTTTTTGGCCAACAAGTTTACATCAATAGGTGCCTTACCTCTTGCTCACTTCGTTGCAGATTAAAAAGATTTGGATATTTGCCAACGTTGTCCTGCCACTTTGCTTTTAATCTAAAATCAAATTTACAAATAAATCCACAAAATTACACGACACATACAACAAACACAAACACAATAGAGGAGTTACAGGATTTAAGCCTTTTACGTAATTCACTTACAGAGAAACAAGACAATCTTTTATCTGCATGACTTACTTTGCATAACAGCCATACATGGCAACAGTGATGATGACTGCAGCAATACTGAGGCTGGAAATGACAACGGTGAGGTTGGGAGGGGAGGCAGCTGTGAAGGAAGAAGAATTCATCTTTATTTCTACTGTACAGTGGAGAGATGAACAGCAAATTAGTGCTTGGTATATAGCTTTAAATCTTGAACCAAAAGTGTTTTAGATTAAAGCCCACAAATGATTTGCCCAAGAGCGGGCCATCAGAGGACACAGCTGTGAAGTAACACGTATGAAGTAAGTTTGGTAATGACGTGAGAGATAAACAGTAGAGAGATAAACTAGAGAGAAGTGCAGTATCCACAATTACAGCTGGTGGGACTATTCAACATCTGTAAATACCGTCTAATGCATCAGTAATTGATATTATCAATTCTTTAAAGTGTCCCTTGATTTAATATTTATTTTGATACGAGTGGCCATGTCTCATTACAAATGTCGATTGTACCTTACGTGCACCAGTAATGCCCACACACTCTAGTTTACAGACAAATTAGATTCAAATATGGATTAGGTTTCTACATCCTGTATTCCAGAAGCATGAATACGACGTTTTGTTCACCTGAAAAAAGAGCTAGGCTTTACGGTGACTTGTGGTTATTTTACATATTTAATAGGTTTCTTTTTTGACAAATTTTGTGTATTCCTCTCCCATTTGGTCATTGTTTTAACTGCGTACTTCTCTAATGCAGTATGAGGCTGTTTAGCAGAAAGTGAAGGCATGAATATAGCTTGTGTTTTTATCTTAAATAAAAATCTAAACTTCAAAAATAACAATTGAATGATAGGCCCTACTCTGGTTAGCTTTTCTCTGGTGATTAGGTGAAGAAGGGCTCTTTTATAACACACAGTGCAAGGTTTACACTATCTTTCTCTATGAATATCCACCTGAGGTTAAATATGAACACTAATATTATGTTACTGTATAGCTTAGATATATCCTGTCTAAGAAAAAGTGTCAAAAAGACTGTAAAGACGACACTTACGGGTTGTGAATTCCATCTCATTACTACTGTCACTGAAGCGGTTGCTCCAGTTTGTGAAGCTTTTCACGCTAACCACATATGTTGTACTTGGCTCCAAGTGTCGACCAAGTATTTCATGGTAGTTCAAACCATCAACTATAGTTGGTGTGACCTTTTCAGATACCTGGAAAGTAGAAACAATAGTTATACAGGAGGGTTTGGCAATCAACCTCACGTGATCAAATGCACACATCTGTCTACATCTGCAGGACAAATGAGCTCAGTGTTAAACAGTGCCTATGATGTTGCTCTTACCATTTCTGTGTCTCCTTTCTTACGATAAGTCACATTGGCAGTCAATGTTTCACTGAAATAGCCATCCATGTTTTTCTTCCACATGACTTGAAAATTCCCATTGGATTCTTTCACTGACGTGATTGTCGGGGGTTTGGGCTTTACTATAGAAGAAAGAAAGAAAGAAGTAAGGGGAGTGTTTCTCTGCCTCCCTCCTGTCCCGTCACAGGGTTATTCTGGGTCTGGATCAGTCTATTTCTGGCAGCTGCTGATTTAAATACTTTCATTCAGAAGAAGTCAACTTACTGCCGTCCATGATGCTGATGATTTTGGACCCCATGCTTTCACCTCCTTTCCAAAGTGTTGCCATATGAGACCGTTCATAAATAATTAACATTTGGAGAGAGCAACAACACTGGCCACTGTCACACTGCTTGAAAGTGCAATTCACCTCCCTGTTATATACAAGATAATACACAAGATAATACACAGCTTACTCTCAATAAATTAAAAATGTACAATTGTGGCTTCTCAGACTGATTTAGTAGACTTTTTAAATATTACTAAATCTACACTATTTTGGGGAAATTCATCATTTTATAACTCTATTTAATTCCTCATCCAAAACATATAAACAAACAATATAAACAACAAACAATAAAAACAACTCACTTGTTGTCGGTGTCCAGGACAGTTAAATGGTACTCAGTGCAGTTTTGTGCTTCAAACTGGCAAAACATCAAATTCTCGAAGTCGTTGGTACAGTCAAGATTTTGGCTTATTGTATTGTTAGAACCTGCTTGAAACAAACACATACACAAGGATAGTTGTTATGAGAATGAGATATTGCCTGGTTAGACTGTTTAAAAGTCTACATGTCCATCACGTACCAGAGAGTGTTACTGCAGTCGCAATATGTCCTAGAATAAGCAGCAAACACACCCTATCGCCAACTCGCCTGGAAAAAAACACATTCCAGATATTTACTTTACTTTAAAGCCACAAGTTGGATGATTTATGCGATACAGGAACAGAAAGAAAGATTACCTCTTTAACTCCATCCTGAAACGATGTATTCCACTTACTTTCTTGGAAAACAACTACTCAACTCAGCTACGTGCCATTCTGTGGGAAAGTGAACGCGCACTTCCTGATATGGAAAGCTCTTAATGGATATGTTGCGAAACTCCTTCAGAGGAAGTGCGTCCCACTCCTATTTCCTCAAAGAGAGATTGCAACATACGCACTTCTGGTGACAACACATTGTGTAAAATACTGTGGAGCAAATACCAACAAAATTAGAACGAATTATGAATTTATGGTAATGGGGCCAATATATGGATTAAAAGTGGTGGATTAATCCATATGTAAATGTGCACTTACCTAACTGAACGCTATCTGTTGCCATTGGCACTACTGTGCAGTGGGAATGTACCTTTCGTAAATGACACACTGGCTTTCCTCTGCAGCTTTACAACATATAGGGAAGATTATTTTGAAATTCCCTGACCGGATGTACACAAGACTGTACTCAGTACAAATGAAAATGAAGGTTCCAATAAAGAGCATTTTTGAGACTGGCAGTCAGATTTTTTAAAAGTATATTTTATATTTTTATTATCATTCTCTAGTTCAAACAATCTCATGGGCCAGATGTTTTTGCTTGCGGGCCACATCTGGCCCGCGGGCCGCCTATTGCCGACCACTGCATGTCTGACCAGTGCAGCTTTTTAGTTCTGATCCACAAAGCACATTTTTAACTTTTATTATATTTTGCATGTATTTTCGTTTATATTCAGGTGTGATTTATCCAGTGAATGTCTAAGTGTACCGGTATGTTTGCTTATTCGTTGTTTTTGTGTGAGTCATGTGGTTCCTCGTTTTCTTGTGGGACAGGAAAAGAGAACAATTAACAATTAATAGATTCAAAAAATAAACATCTTTATCATGATATTATGTTATCAACTGAAACATAAAATAAACTTGGAAAACGGGGGCAGTTTTCAGGGGAACTTTCAGAAGTTCAGAATTGGTAGTACAAAACAAACACATATAATAGTCATGTAGACATCTCAGTGTCTCAATAAACATGTGCAATAATAATGTTTGTTTTGTTGACAAATTTCACAAAAATTGAGAAAGACTAAAACTGAAGACATTTCCTCTATATTTTGTTATTTCATTTTAGTAATATTGCTTCAGTTATACATTATTTTACTTTTAATTTATTTTAATTTTAATTTATTTCAGTAAATTAAAGGGTTTTTAACTAGTTTTAGTTTTTAGTTTAGTTTGAGTAAACTATAATAACTTTAGTTCACATGGAACAATTATGAGTGAACTTCATTATGCAAGAACATCTTTATGTGTGTGTGTGCCTCCTGTTAACTGGAACAAGTCAAATGCAGAAGAGTTGAATTTCACAACACGTCTCTGTGTTGCAAAGCTGCCCTTCTGCTGACACATACCTATTCAACAGAGACACAGAGATACACATGTAACCCTGGTTAGTTTTAAAGTACTGTAGTTTACAGAACCTTTGAATGCATCTTAGTTGTTTCTCGTCTGGTAGTGGAACTTCTGAGCTTACCTGAATGCATCACTTGCAGCTCTCGGTGTGTGGGAAGGTGAGCGACAAAAAAAAAGAGAGAAACCTCATGCAGCCGGGGAGCAAAGTGTCCTCATTCGGCGGCCAAACGATGATATTTTGTGAATGTTGTGATAGAACTGTTGTTAGAAAGTGAGTGTGAAGAGATACTTACCTGGTGGAAGTGCAGTCGATCACGGGAGCGACTCCGACGGAGTGTTTCCTCAAACTTTTCTGAACTATTCTGGCTGTTTTTTTTGAGGGACGAGTTCTTCAATTCAACTGTGATCCATATCACCCGCCATGCTGCATGGAGGCTCTTGGTTCATCGGGACCGCAGTGTGGACATCAGTGTGGTAGGACAAGGCTCAGTCCTGAGGAGTGACACATTTTAGTTGCACTTTTCGTTCTGAGATCTCAGTGTTTTCGGTTTATTTTTTTTTTATCTGTTGCTAAAAACAAACAAAGGAACCTAAAGAACAATTTCTCCTTGGAGGACCCTGGAAGACAATAAATAAACTGAAACAAACAACGGAAACCAGGGAAAAAATAAGGACAATTGAACCCATTAAAGGGGGGAAAGAAACATTTTAAATTTGTTTTCTATATCGGTACTTACCTGGGTCAGCTAATTTTATTTCATACTGTGAATTTAATTTATGTGGAAAGAACTGCATTTCATTTAATGAGTGTAAGGCTGAACATTTTATGTTGGGGAAAAAATTGAATATTTGAATATATACATTTATACCACATTCTGTGTTGTGTGTTATGTGGGCTGGAGATCAATTGCTCTCTTCTTCAGTGCTACTGCCAATCTCCTTACCCAAACCTAGTTGATCAGACAGAACCCAAGGAGACTGAGGAAAAGGTTACACACAGAAGAAATTACTACTAATAATAATCATGATGATGACAACGATGACAGTAACAGCCATAATGATGATGAATGATGAGTCAATGCTGTATATACTGTGAAAATGACATTAAAAAGACTTTATCTCTATCTTTTTCTAAGGGATGGTTCAGGACTCACTTGATCCAGCCCTAACTATAAGCTTTATCAAAGAGGAATGTCTTAAGCCTACTCTTAAATGTGGAGAGGCTGTCTGCCTCCTGAACCACAACTGGAAGCTGGTTCCACAGGAGAGGAGCTTGGTAACTGAAGGGCTCCTGTTCTACTTTTAGAGACTAGAGGAACCACAAGTAGCCCAGCATTCAGAGAACGTAGTGTTCTAGTGGGGTAATAGGGTACTATGAGCTCTTTAAGATATGAAGGGGCCTGACCATGAAGAGCTTTGTAGATAAGGAGGAGGATTTTAAATTCTATTCTTATATTTACAGAGCGCCAGTGCAGAGAAGCGAATACAGGAGAAATATGATCTCTTGTCCTAGTTCCTTTCAGAACTCGTGCTGTAGCGTTCTGCATCAATTGTAGCGTCTTAATGGTCTCATTAGGCCAGCCTGATAATAAGAAGTTGCAGTTATCCAACCTTGAAGTAAACAAATACATGGACTAGTGTTTCTGCATCTGTCTGTGACAGGATGTGCTGGATTTTTGCAATGTTATGTAAGGGAAAAAAGGCAGTCCTACAGGTTTGCTTTATGTGTGAGTTACAGGACATGTCCTGATCAAAGATAACTCCAAGATTCCTGACGGTAGTGCTGGAGGCCAAGGTAATACCATCTAGAGTACAAATATCTTTAGATAATGAGTTTGGGAGGTGTTTGAGGCCAAGTACAAGAACTTCAGTTTTGTCTGACTTTAACATCTGAAAGTTGCAGGACATCCAGGGTTTCATGTCCTTAAGGCATGCTTGTAATTTAGCTAACTGATTAATTTTATCAGGCTTGATCAATAGATATAATTGAGTATAATCTGCATAACAATTAAAGTTAATGGAGTGATTCCTATTAATGTTGCCTAAAGGAAGCATAAGGTGGATAGAATTAGTCCAAGCACACAACCTTGTTGAACTAACTTAAGTGTTTCATTGACATGTACAAACTGATACTGTTGATCTGATAAATAGGACTTAAACCAGTTTAGTGCGGTTCCTTTAATGCCAATGGAGTCAAATGCTGTACTTAGATCTAACAAGACGAGAACAGAGAAAAATCCATTTTCTGATGCAGTTAAAAGGTCATTAGTAACTTTCACCAGTTCTGTCTCTGTGCTGAGATGTACTCTAAATCCTTACTGAAAATCAGGACAATAGGAAAATAGAGTAGGCTTTTAAAGAAGAGGTTTAATTACAGCTATTTTAATAGAAGGTGGAACATATCCTGATAATTAAGACAGATTGATCATATCTAATAAAGAAGTGCTAACTAAGGGTGATACTTCTTAAGCAGCCTTGTGTCTCTAATAGTGATAATTTTATCATTAAAGAAGCTCATGAAGTTGTTGCTATTGAGGGATATAGGACTACATGGCTTAATAAAGCTTAGCGTAGGTTCCAAACCTTCTCATTAAGCCTCATCCATTCCACTCAGATAATAAAATGAAGGTGAATAGTATTAAGAAGTATTAGTAGCATTAAACACTCAGAAGATTGAATATCCTGGTTACTCAGACTAATCCATAAACATCAATGTGGACAATTTCCATTTTACACATTGGAACTGTTTAACTTTTTCCTAGAATACCACAGTTTATTCATATACACAGTAAAGTTCCTTTGAGTTGCACATGATTAGTGCAGTGCACGTCAATCTGGTGTTGACAGGGACGGTTAAAGTTGCTGTGTGTTTCTGTGGAAGCCATGCAGTTCCAGAAAAGAGCTCAGTATCAAGAAGTTATTACACAACAATGACACGTGAATATCAGCTCCGCATGACAGCTGATTCTTGTGGCCTGTCTCGGACAAAAGATACACAGATACAATTTCTTCGTCCATTTTTTTCCGCTGGCTTTGCTACATATCTAGAGTCATTTGGTTATTACAAGCATTGGCATACATAATATTTAGTGGGTTATCCTGTTTTAATTAGATATTAAACAAATATACTATATAATTAAATAATCTACCACAAAGTATATGACTCATCCATTAACTCATAGATCACAAGTATCTAATGTCTTAGACCTAACGGTCTAATGCTAAAAGAATAAAACTATTACAATAATTATGCAGACAACATACAGATTTATATAACAATATCACCATCAGTAATTAGTCCATTAAAAATGGCAAAAAAAGCCCCCCAAAAAAAAAAGCCCTATATATATATATATATATATATATATATATATATATATATATATTTGTATTGGCGATCTTATCTTGATTTTATTTGATTAAAAAGTTGTTTTATTATAATTGATTTTAGCCTACATTACCGAATAGTTTATCTGTTTTTAGTGATTTTAATTTGCTGCCTTTCCTCTTTACAATAAACTGTTTCAATTCAGCAATATTCTTGGGATGTCTGATGCTAACCGCTCTCTTGAGGTCATGCCACAGCATCTCAATTGGGTTGAGGTCAGGACTCTGACTGGGCCACTGCAGGAGGCGTATTTTCTTCTGTTGAAGCCATTCTGTTGTTGATGTACTTCTGTGCTTTGGGTCGTTGTCCTGTTGCATCACCAATCTTCTGTTGAGCTTCAATTTGGTTTCATCTGGAACATCCAGGTGCTCTTTTGCAAACTTCAAACATGCAGCAATGTTTTTTTTGGACAGCAGTGGCTTCCTCTGGGGTGTCCTCCCATGAACTCCATTCTTGTTTAATGTTTTACGTATTGTAGATCCGTCAACAGAGATTTTAATAAGTCTTTAGCTACCACTCTAGGATTGTGCTCTTGCAGACATCTTTACAGGACGGCCACTCCTAGGGAGAGTAGCAACAGTGCTAGAACTAGAACATTTTCATATCCTACACATGCTATGCCCTTTTGAATTTTTATTGATTTTGTGTTTTTCAAATTTCAGGATAATGCTAGGAACAACCCCAAGACTACCCCCCAACAACATAAATATATATGATAGGCCCTACTCTGGTTAGCTTTTCTCTGGTGATTAGGTGAAGAAGGGCTCTTTTATAACACACAGTGCAAGGTTTACACTATCTTTCTCTATGAATATCCACCTGAGGTTAAATATGAACACTAATATTATGTTACTGTATAGCTTAGATATATCCTGTCTAAGAAAAAGTGTCAAAAAGACTGTAAAGACGACACTTACGGGTTGTGAATTCCATCTCATTACTACTGTCACTGAAGCGGTTGCTCCAGTTTGTGAAGCTTTTCACGCTAACCACATATGTTGTACTTGGCTCCAAGTGTCGACCAAGTATTTCATGGTAGTTCAAACCATCAACTATAGTTGGTGTGACCTTTTCAGATACCTGGAAAGTAGAAACAATAGTTATACAGGAGGGTTTGGCAATCAACCTCACGTGATCAAATGCACACATCTGTCTACATCTGCAGGACAAATGAGCTCAGTGTTAAACAGTGCCTATGATGTTGCTCTTACCATTTCTGTGTCTCCTTTCTTACGATAAGTCACATTGGCAGTCAATGTTTCACTGAAATAGCCATCCATGTTTGTCTTCCACATGACTTTAAAATTCCCATTGGATTCTTTCACTGACGTGATTGTCGGGGGTTTGGGCTTTACTATAGAAGAAAGAAAGAAAGAAGTAAGGGGAGTGTTTCTCTGCCTCCCTCCTGTCCCGTCACAGTGTTATTCTGGGTCTGGATCAGTCTATTTCTGGCAGCTGCTGATTTAAATACTTTCATTCAGAAGAAGTCAACTTACTGCCGTCTGTGATGTTGATGATTTTGGACCCCATGCTTTCACCTCCTTTCCAAAGTGTTGCCATATGAGACCGTTCATAAATAATTAACATTTGGAGAGAGCAACAACACTGGCCACTGTCACACTGCTTGAAAGTGCAATTCACCTCCCTGTTGAATACAAGATAATACACAGCTTACTCTCAATAAATTAAAAATGTACAATTGTGGCTTCTCAGGCTGATTTAGTAGACTTTTTAAATATTACTAAATCTACACTATTTTGGGGAAATTCATCATTTTATAACTCTATTTAATTCCTCATCCAAAACATATAAACAAACAATATAAACAACAAACAATAAAAACAACTCACTTGTTGTCGGTGTCCAGGACAGTTAAATGGTACTCAGTGCAGTTTTGTGCTTCAAACTGGCAAAACATCAAATTCTCGAAGTCGTTGGTACAGTCAAGATTTTGGCTTATTGTATTGTTAGAACCTGCTTGAAACAAACACATACACAAGGACAGTTGTTATGAGAATGAGATATTGCCTGGTTAGACTGTTTAAAAGCTGTCTACATGTCCATCACGTACCAGAGAGTGTTACTGCAGTCGCAATATGTCCTAGAATAAGCAGCAAACACACCCTATCGCCAACTGGCCTGGAAAAAAAACACATTCCAGATATTTACTTTACTTTAAAGCCACAAGTTGGATGATTTATGCGATACAGGAACAGAAAGAAAGATTACCTCTTTAACTCCATCCTGAAACGATGTATTCCACTTACTTTCTTCGAACGTCTTGATATGGAAAGCTCCTACTGGATATGTTGTGAAATTCATTCAGGGGAAGTGCGTCCCAAAAAATACGGGGGCAGTTATCAGGGGAACGCTCAGAAGTTCAGAACTGGTAGTACAAAACAAATACTCTGGCTCACAGTCACATAGACACCCCAGTGTCTCAATAAACATATGCAATAATGTTTGTTTTGTTGATGTAACCAAATTGAGAAAGAGTAAAACTGAAAAATGTCTTGTATATTTTTAATTTCATTTTAGTTAGTTTTGTAAGTAATATTGTTTCAGTTTTTGTTTGTTGTTTTTTGCTTTATCCATCATCCATGCTTTATCACCATCATCGGTAGTTATTCCATTGAAAATGTCAATAAAAGCCCTTGTAGCCTACTTACTTTGAGTATTTACTTGTTAGTCAAAATGTGTTTTATTATAATTTATTTTAGCCTACATTACTGAATAGTTGATCTGTTTTTAGTGATTTTAATTTGCTGCCTTGTGTGAAGCACATAAGGTTTTGGAAATTGCCCTATAAATAATTATAATTATTAAAACATTAACTGCAATAGCCAGTATAGATCTCAGATAAACTGAGACAGTGGCGTCCCTCTGAAATGTATAGCAGTAAAAGTATTAAGTAGCACAGAATGGAAATACTCAAGTGAAGTACAAATAATCTACCATAGAAGTGTAATTAGGTAGGCTACAGTAGTTGAGTAAATACCTTTATTGTGATTTTGCTCTGCTGCACATGGATTTCTACAGTTAATGCTGGATTTCCCTCTGTAGGCCGGATTTAGAGAGACTTATTGTGAAAGTCCCAGAGCGGATGTCGCGGGTAGCCTGGTGTGTGAGTGCTGCTGCTGTGCGGATGATGATTAAAATGTCTAACTTCAGTTCTGACAGTCCACCACGCGTAAACAAGGCCTGGATCGCTCTGAGACGACTTGACAAAAACGGTTCGTAGGTTTCTGTAAGTTTTTTTCGACTTTGCGAGCAGTGAAAGGATTTCTGAGACACTGCTGTGGCCTACTCGGTTTGTGCGTCTGTGTCCATGGCAACCTGTTTTACCCATTGAAGTGGAGATTATGCGCTCAGCTTCTCCTCAAACCATCATACAAATCCGCACTTTACAGTTTACATTAAGTTTTTGTTATTGTTGTTGTTGTTGTTGTTCTCAACTTCAACTTAAGTAGATGGTGAAGCTTATAACAATGAATGACCAAAGAGGAAAGGCTACAGCTGTATTTGACTGTCGAGTGTTATCAGCTCTCTGAATGGCCGCCCACATCTCAGATTAGTTAAGTGATTTAAAGAGGCTGTTTAATAAAACCAAATGATTCCTGCTCCCTGACCAACGTGTGTGTGTGTGTGTGTGTGTGTGTGTGTGTGTGTGTGTGTGTGTGTGTGTGTGTGTGTGTGTGTGTGTCTGGAACTAATAATTGTTTTTTATTATCATAAATTATTCATCAGCCTAATGCTTTTTCGAGTAGGCTAGTTTAAAGCATTAATAAGAACACACTTTTGGGTTGACACGTTGTGAAAATGAACGCATTAATAAATGCGCAGGTCTGCAGATGTAATTGTCATTAATAAAGGGTAGGCTAATAGACAATCGGTTGAGCACTTACACACGTTAATAAAGTCGTTTTCTAATTCAGACGCTTACATACAAACTTTAATAAAGGACTGATAACAGGTTTTTTGTAATAATCCAATTCTAGTGTCAAACTCTGCAAAATAAGCCACAATAAGCAAACCACATTTATAAGTGCAGGGGGACTTTAATGGGTCCAAATTCTCTGCATTCCCATGAATAATGGCTTATAACTTGCATATAAAGAATTAGAAAAATATTTGTTAATAACTGATAAAGCTACTACAGCACCTAAACACTTTTTAAAGGGTGGTCTGTTAGAAGGTGGCAGCCTCTCATGTTGTATCTGCTGCAGATGACAGAGTGGTTGCTCTTCGAGAAGTGTCCATTCCTGCGGCAGCTGAGGTCACCATGATCATACAGGTATGTTTCTTTTATTATTGTACCTGCAATCTTTTGGGAAGATTTTGTCTTTATTTGATTTAATTGATAACTTCATTACATGTACTAGTTACTGTGATTATTCTGCCAACTATCACTGTAAATGTGTTGTCTCATGCAGATTACATGAAACTATGGACCTGATCGGTTCCTGTTCATGTATTGAAAAATATCAACAAAGAGAATTTATGATAAATGAATAAATAATAACAAACAAACAAAAGAACCAACAGAAACTCTCTGGCTGTTTAATATTTTATCTTTTGGTATTGTATCTCTTTTCAGATTATCTCCACTACCTTTGGGCTGAACTCTTCTAATGTCATATTCAAGGTACAATGGCTCATTTTCTCTCATGTTAGTGATGCAGGCGTCTTTCTGAATGTTTGAAAGAAAGAAAAATCTGTTTTTGGTTGTAGCTGAAACCATCAGTATGGGGTTAAAATTCTTAAAAACACATTGATAATGATGGATCCCTTCTTCTTGTGTCTGTTTGCAGATAAGGAACCACTGTGGCTGTCTGATTCCTCTGAACAGCTCGATCCCTGCGAACAACAAACACATGTGAGAAGTCTTGATTATAGACATTTTGTTCTATATTTCTAAACATCTATTCACTACTGTACTGATGTCAACTGGTGAAATGTATTTTTCACCACAGGCCTTATGTACTTGAGGTAGCAAAGATCTTTCAGCATGGTAAGAGCGAACTCATCTTTTGTTCTCTTTTTTTATAAACTGCAGGTCAGGATGTGGGCAAGGGGCTGTCATTTGGGCTTCTACATTACACAACAGTGTTAATAGAATAGAGTGATATTTCGGAAAATACAATTATTCATTTTCTTGACAAAATGATGAGAAGAGTGATACAGCAAGCAGCTGGTTAGCTCAGCATAAGGACTGGAAACAGGAAAACAGCTAGCCTGGCTTTGTCTGAAGGTCACATAGTCTGCCTATCAGCACCTCTAAAGCTTATTATCTTGTTTTTTATCTGTTTTGTCCAGATTATACAAGCAAGCTATAAAAACCCTGAGCTTTAGAGGTGCTGATAGGTGGATTTTCATACTTTTGGACAGAGCCACGCTAGCTGTTTGGCTGAAACTTTTTATTTATTGTACATAAGACCTTAGAGTGGTTGTGATCTTTTCATCTAACTCTTGGCAAGAAGTCAAATAAGAGTATTTCCCAAAATGTCATATTATTCCATTAAACTACCTACGTTGATGGTGGCACCATCTCTGGCATCAGTGGCACCTTTGTATCCAAAACTGTTTTTTAAGTACACATAGTAGTTTCTGCAGAAATGTAATAGTGCTCCCTTAATTGTGCTTGAACACATTATCATACACATTTCTTACATTACTTAAGTGAAACACAAATTCAGCCTAAATAAAAGCCAAAGTTCTGATCTGTCTGTGTGGTGGTTGTGATTTTTCTGTTCGCAGTGCTTCCCAAACCCAGAACCATTCCCATGACTGTGATCAATAAGAGCATGAAGACCAGGCTACAGACCATCGACAGGAGGGTGAGGCACAATAACCACATAGTAGTAATACAGTAACGTGGTGGTTTGGCAATTGTACAGTGTGAGTGGTTCACAAGAACTAATACTGAAGCATTTACTCAGCAGTGCTGGTCCAAAATAAAACTATAACAATGTTTGGAGGAGAAAATGTTTAGCTCTTATTATCAACCACGTGTGCTTTGTAATAGCACTTTTATACTGTCAATTAGGAGATGATCTAATGTAGAATATGAATTGGGCAGTGGTGGCCTAAAGGTTAGAGAAGAAAAAATAAAACACACCAAATGAAACATCTGACCTCTGACCAGAAATGAATTTAGATTCCATGTTTTATTACAGATTCAGAGACTGGAGGAGCTTCTGCCTCAGATCAAACTCAGGCGCAGCGAAAAACTAAGCCAGGTATTTGAACTTTCCTTTAGGGCTTCTACACAGCCACTCTTGATAATGGTAGTAGAATTTTTTGTGAAAATGTGACAATATGAATGGGATAGTTTGTGTTATGATTAAACTGCTATAAAGACGTGTGTTACATGCATATGCATCCCTACATCCATCTGACTATGGCTTCTCTGTCCTGTCTCAGGACATTGAATGTCTCAACCAAAAGTTGAGGTTTCTTCATAAGAGGATGCAGGTGAGTCATTCTGATCAAACATAATAAGCATCCAACTTCTATTCAGATTATCTTAGATCAATGCACGATTTTAGGTACTTCAAAGTTCAAGGAACTTATAGTTTAGCTGCAATGTCTCAGAAACAACATTTCAAAGGAGTGTTTGCATGCATTTTCCAGGTCTCTGCATTGTTTGTGCAGTCTTTATGCTTCTTACTGAATGTCGTTGTTTTTCAGTCTCACATTTGCACACACTGTCCTACTCTATTGCAGGTGGCAGAATCTCGCAGCTGGAAGGGGATGCTGACCAGAGCCCCTCTGTGGTGAACAAGCACCCATATTTCTGGCTGGCTGGCTCATAGAAGACACCATCTGTGGGACCTAGAATCACACTCATCACCCTCGGAACAAGCCGCAACTTAACCCCGCACATGCATGCATGCACATGCATCATTGTTGGGCTCTGGTACTTAAACAAATTGCATAATACCCATCCAAAATTCCAATTAGCTAACTTTATGTTCTAAAAATCTGAAAATCATCTGGAAATCTGAAAACATTTTGGGTTATGTCACTGTTCAGAGAACACTCAGAAATGGTTATATCGTGAAGACAGTAGTAAAGAGGATTGGGTTAATAATGATTCTCACGCAAACTCTTAAGTTATCATTAAAAACACTGCACATATTGAGCCAAACTGACAGGGATTTTTCAAACCATTTGTAGTTGAGAACGAGTGTGGTTCACACAGGTAGTGTGGTTGCTCTCTGTGTGAACTGGGTTTAACTGGAACTCTTCAATCTCACCGCTAGATGTCACTAAAACCCTACACACAGAGCGCAATGTCATATTGGCCTGATTTATGATCACTGCTGGCTAACAGGATTGAGGTCACACTAATTCGCAGTAAACACACTGGAGAATTTAGGTGTTTTATCAAAGTGCTAGCGCTGTTTTTTATCTATTATTTTGACCTCTGATCTTCTGTTTTTACATGTTTTACATGAGCTGAAAATGAAAACATGGTACCTAAATTTAATAGCAGCTTTACTTTGAAAGTAGTGATATGTGAAGCTATTGTTCACTTTTTCATAAAAGCATGAAACTCAGTACACACAGAGCCATTGCAAAAACACCTTGTGGCAGCTATGACGGTCATTTTACTTTCCACCATAACTATGTTTTTTTGCATCATATCTGTTGAGCCAACCATGATGTTTTTATGTTCAATGATACCATTTACAATATCATAAACTGCTCAGGTGAAAAGGTAATGGTGAATTTAGAGACATACAAAGGAAATCAAATATCTGAGAACCTATAGGGTTGACTTTATAATACCATGAGTGCTCAATCCTTTTGTTCATTAACAAAGCAATAAAGTGACTGTAAAGAGTAGAATAATATTCAATATGATCTTAACAACTGAGCCTTAAAGGAATAAGTCAAACACAAAGATTCACTCAAAAAAATGATTTTGTTGTTGTTGTTGTTGTTGTTGTTGAACCTTTTTTCACCGTCTCCTGTGCAGTGACACAGAGTTGGTCACTTTAAGGAGCCACCTCTCCACCTGGTATAAACCTAGAGGGGATCATGTATTTGGTCACGTGTGTGTGTGTGTGTGTGTGTGTCTGTGCAACTGTCTGCATCTTCCATGCCACTGGGCTGATCAGCCTAATATTTTATTGTTTTTTTATTTATGACTGTGTGCTCAAGGACCTTTCGTAGTTGTGATTCACAATTAAGGTTGTTTTGTAATTCACAACCTTTTTTTGACTGGTCTGTTTAATACCATCATTGACTACTGAGTCATCACTCCTCAAAGGAATATGTGCCAAGGGGCCCAGGTGTTATGCTTCAGTGTACATATGCACTGAGTGGCCTGAGGATCCTAGTGATCAGCTCATGCTTTAAGCACAGTGGGACTCAGGGACCATCACTCAGTAGAAGCTGAGGGTCTTTAGTGGTCAGCTCACTCAGGGGCCCTCACACTGTAAGCACTGAGGAGTCCAAGGGCGCTAGTGGTCAGCTTACATTTTAAACACCACAGGTCTTGGGACCCTCACATTGTAAACACTGATGGGTCTGGGGGGCCCTAGTGGTGAGCACACATTTTAAACACTAAGGGACCCACATGCCATATAACAGAATAATCACATATCATGTTTTAATAAACAATTATCTTTACTTCATTCACATGTCTCTCCTGATTGAATTATTACTGTTATGTATCAATGTCTGTACATGTTTCTGAAGATACATTTATTTATTTAGTTATTTATTTGTAGTAGTAGACTAGTAGCAATTGAACTGTGTCCCTGAACAATGGTTAGCCTTATGCTAGGCTCATTAATGACATTGTTTAAATTCTACCATCTTAAAAGTAAAATTAGCATCATTGTGGCTTTGTGTTAAAAAGTCTGATATCCTAAACAACACAGCACACAGACGGCTGGTGTAATGAGCAGTACATTTAGACTTCAGACTGTATGCACTGTCTACGAACTGTCAGTCACACATCTATCAGAGGTAAGTGTTGCATTGTGAAATGTATAGGATAAAGTAGCCTACCTGATAGGGACATGACACTGAACTGACAATTGTTCAGGACACTACAAAATTGTAGAAATTCAGACAGAAAAATACAGTGAAATAGACTTAGGCCTACATTTCCCAGGTTCTTATCCTGTGTCCATATGATAACTGTTCCGCTATCTCCACAAGTAATTTAATCCATATTAAGTTTTAAAAGTATTTGAATACGACAATTCCTCCATATTTAGCAGATAATCTACATTTTTTTAATTTACTGCCAATCTACTGTTGCACACCCAGTCCAGTAGGTGGCGGTAATGCGTCGACAAGCTGGCTCTTCAACCGCCGGCAAATCTAAACAAAAATAAGTACGTAGTTCAAATAGACGGCACGTAGTCTACAATGCTGGTTAAAAGAAGTGATTTCGGGCAGTTAAAATGGGCGTTAAGAAGTAGAAATGTACCTCCTTTGAGCCACTTTTGGTTCAGTCTTTAGTAATAATGGTTGTGACACTGGAGCCTATTATGAGAAGTTTCAGTTAGCCTGCTAGCTGCAGCTAAGTGTCCGCGCCTCAGAGGGATCTCTCGGCAGATAAATGTCTGCTAGACGGGCTCTGGTGGACTGTGCTGTGCTGTCTCTGCAAGATGCCTGTGTGTTTTATCCGTGCTGTAAAGGCTGCTTCTCAAGGATTGATGTTGAACAGCGGGAGGCGACGAGGTAAAAACACACAGACCAACGATAAAGACTGAAACCTTGAACGCATCTTCAAAATGTTACTGTGACTACATACTCTGCTAATTGTAGCATACCAGTACTTTCTTATGTCAGAGCTGCAACTGAATTAGCCTATTGCACTGACGATGCAAAAACCTTAACCTACAACACAAATAAATAACTCCCCAGCACTCACTTTAACATACACAACCTCCTCTGTCTTCCTGTCCACCCACCGCAGGTGTAGATGCTATAAGTGTGGTTACAGTTGTCTGAGGGAGCAGGTCGACTACAGATACCGTCTCTCTCTGAGGGTGACCCGGGACGGATGCATATTTGGAGTAACAGTGTTTGGAAGCTGCTTGAACCCATTCTTTGGCATTCATGCCAGTGGTTTACAGAGGTGAGCACGGTAGATTATCTTTCATGCAACTCCAAATGTCTGCAGTTTAACACTCTGATGTATGAATTAGATTTTTTTGTTTTGCCTGACACATCTTGTATCAGTATAGGGTGGACTATACAATAATAACACATATTCAATATTTGGAAATTTGTGTTTCATTTAATGATTAATTAATTAATTTCTAAAGATGTTCGTGGAATTTAGCTTAACTCTGCTATAAAACATTGTGGGAATACAGTAATTAGCTTTAACCAGCGTTTAGTGTGGCACCTTTTAAAAAGCTCAACTTGTTATCGGCGTCTTCTTTTATTCCCAGTTAAGTGAGAGGCAGTGTGGCTCTCTGTTGTGTCTGTAATTTTGTAGGTTGGTGGAGAACTTGGATGGACCAGTTGGACCAGCAACCAGATCCACATTGTTGATGAAGGCTGTCGCGGATTGCTTCATTGGCAGACATTTCATCTTTGGCCTTAAGGTACAGTTGTGATTTGGTATTAGATGGGTTGTGGTAGGCATGTACCAATACTGATATTATTTCCAAGTGATTTGTGTTAGGTCATTTGTCAGATAGTCCTTTTAAGTAATTTTTGGTCTCCAAGCAAACTGAAATCTAATTAAAGGAGACCCACCTCTTTAATTCTTTTATTTGATAAAAATCTTTTTCATCTTAACAATATTATAATTACAGCTGGAAGTACATTTTCCCTCAAACCTGGTTATGTTATTTGTGTAATATCAGTGTAATATCTGTTAGGAAATTACTCAGTGTCTGTACCATATTAACTGACATAAATATACCTTTTCTGGTTACAATAAATAGGATTTTTGAGTAATCAAAAGACATGTTTTCCACAAGTTTTCCACATTGCAAATAGTACAATAGTCTAAACTAGTTTAGCCACTGTCTGCGCTCAGGCTTGAGGCTGCTTGCTCTCAACCATCCCTGGTCTTGTCTCTATCCTTCAGGTAACCGAAACACAAAGTGGGCCTTGGTTTGGGGGGCCTGTTGCAAATGGCTCCAGGAGTAAAGACACAGTCCACTTTATCGCCTATCAGATGATTCTCCCCAAAGCTGCAGGCCTGGGAGGCTGCACAGTGGTCAGTTATTATCGGATCCTTCTTCAGAAAGCTGCAGAATATGAGCTGGGATCGGCTGATTCCAGGAAAACCTCCAGGCCACCAGCAGCAACCCTTCTGCTGATTCCTCGTCATTCTCCAGCCAGTAGCTTCAGTAATGACACACTTTGTGCCTCAGGTCTTTTCCCATTACTGCAAAGGTAATCACATTAAGAAGCTGGTGATAACTATTGCCTTCTATTGTCAGCATTTTATATCAAGGGCAGACTCTGTAGGGGCCAAAAACTAGACAAGAAAATTAGACATGGATGGGAAATGGTAAGACTCATTTAATTGGAAATCAAAGTAAACACAACACAAATTGTTACAAGCTTGCTAGTTTGATTGGTAAGCTTGTAAGTGAGTCTTCCAACTGTGCCTTGTTCTCATCTGCTCACAAATTTGACTGCTTTTCAGTTCAGGGACTGTGACACGAGACTCTGTTATGGGCCAGACAAACAGCCAAAGAAAAAAAGATATATGTAACAAAAATGTCAGCGCACCAAAATTGTCTTTATTTTCTGAGTTATATCAAAACAATTTTAAAACCGGAGATGAGGCTTACAAGAGCTTGTACTGACGTCATGTTCATGTTCTGTAAGAGTCTTTTGAAACTCTTGAGCCTCCCTACATTATTAAAAAACAAGTATCTTCGTACTTCACATGTGCCTTCACATGTGCCTTTCATTTTTTAAATGTGTTTCAGGCAACAAGTTGCATTTAATTGGACTGTTTTATACAAAAGCCAAGATTTTCAGTGTAAATCTCCTGCGTCACTGAATGAATTATTTTTGACAGTTGTTTTCATTTTAGATCACAGTACCAAGACTGCACCCTTTCTCCCACCCCTCCATGGCAACAATCACTAGGACTAGTTACTTCATCAGCAGAGCAGGAGGAAGGCTGCAGTACCCAGGACAGTTGCAATGAGAACAGCAGACAGACGGACTTCAACTTCAAAACACCACATCACGCACAGAGAGGCTGCCTGGTGGACCAGATGGTCACAGAGGAGACCGAGCAATCACTTCTTCTTCCTTTAGAGTGCAGTTCTTACAGTTGTCCGTCGTTTGCCAAATACTCACACTCGGCTATCGAGAAAGCTGTTGGAAACATCCCCATCATGAACAATTGGTTAAGTCCCTCACCTGGCCACAACAGCTCCAAAGCGAAGGGGTTTTCTACCAGACAACCCACCGAAACATCTTTGCCAAGCTCCTTGGTTTGGGAGGATTTGCCTTTTTCTGAGAGTCTTACAGAGTTTTTGTGCAAGGCAAACAAAGATTTTGACATTGTTTGTGAAACAGAACCTCGACTAAACGTGAAAAATCAGAAAGAAACAACAAGAGACAACCCGGAAATCAGATCACAAGACAGAAACATATCAATTCAATCAACTTCTGTTTGTCAAAGTAACACACAGATGACAGACAGACACTCACGGATATTACAGAATATAACTAATACACCTGCAGCAAATGGAGGTGACAAACACGATTTATCTGACCAGGTATGTAGGAACCCTTCTGGATGTGTAAACAAGAGTGAAGCCAGAAACATTTATTCCCATAAGAGTAATCAGGATGAGAAAGATAGTTTACTATCTTTTGAAAACGATGAAGAAGAGCACTTTGAAGGCGACACGTACAATTGTTCAGCAGACCTATTCAGTAGCTCACCTGTGGTCGATATGAACAGAAACACGTTCAGCACACATGCAGAATCTGTCGGGACGACCCCAAAAGCTTGCCCAGTGCTTTTCAAGTCAGACAAATGGCACCCGAGGAGTGAGACGGCAAATGTCTCATACTCAACACCAGATGAACAGAAACTGGAAACGAATACATGCATAAACAGAGACGGTTTAATTTCACCTGGCACACAAGATCTTAACTTCATCCCTCCCTCGCAGTCCACTCCCATTGTAAAAGTAGCTGTTGTATCAGGGTCATATGCCTCCTCATACAGAACCATGACATTAGGGGAATTCAGTTCACAACCAGACACTCAAGATTCTTGTGCTTTTGACAGAAATCTGCCTGAATTAGTAAGTAAAAAGCCAGCCAAAATCACACCTTCTCTTTGTAAATTAAACAGTGTCAGAGCCAACTTGCTCTCTCGGTGCGGCAGAGAGTCTACAAAAGAAAGTGTGGTGTGTAGTACGAGATCAAGCAGACACAGCCACACATTTACCCCCAAAAGGAGGTTCTGGAAACCAGACAAACATAAACACCATCTGATGACTCAGCAGCACCTGAGGGGCCAGAGAGGGGTTCTAAACACAGGCTCAATAGGAAGGATCAATCACAGATGTGACTCAAGTGATAGTGATGTGACTGTGTGTGATTATGAGGACAGTGACACAGTTCTTGTTCCTCCCACCCCTGCTGCTAACACACGGCTGAGTGTGTTAGCAGCAGGCAGAAGAAGAAGGCAGCAGACTGATGATAGCAGCGGTAGTGTGGATTATACTTGGGAGGGGAAGCAGAGAGATGGTGTTGATTGTAAAAGAACTCTGTTGCCTCAAACTGTCACATCTTCACAGAGAGGTCAGGCACAAAGAGGAAACTGTGACAGTGGGACTATTGATGATGGGAGTCTGGACGGATCTAATTGTTACCTCCTTGATGATGAGAACCAGGCATGTGATTGGTCTAGAGATCTGTTCTCTGACTCAGTCTGAGAGGTTCTGTTCAAGATGGATTTACAAATTTTTTTTTTTTTTAATGTATTCAGGGCTGGCTACCCAACTTATGATTGTTCTGAAAGAGTACTACTACTACCACTGCTACTACCAACAGTACTGTTGCTGCTACTCTAAGACAGATCTAAGAATAGAGCACATATATTAAACACTAAAGATAGGAGAAAGGCTGTTTAAAAGCAACACAGGAGAAGTGTGAATGCTCTTACAGCAGCAAAGGTGGGGCAGCTCTTATTAATGCCTCTGGTTTTAAAGATATTTTTAAACAAATCACATGGGTGTAATGTGTGGATTTCCACATGCTTTTATAGATTTATTTTAAAATGAACAATTTTCTACACATGGTGCACTTTTTAAATAATCAATGCTTTTATTGTAAACTTAAATGTTTAGATCAGATGAACTTTTGAACATTGAGGTGTGTAATTTTTACCTTTTTAAGTTATGTGGGCCGTACTGTGATACATTAGTAATTATATATATCATACTTCTAAAGGTTTCCTACTGCTGCATCTTCACTGCCATTGCTGGCATTATTTACTGTCTGTTCTCCATTGGTTCTACAACTTTCTGAATGCTATTAAAGTAAGGTGACTGTAAAAGTATAATATGTGTATGACTGGGTAAATATCTGATAAATCAGTTGCTTCTGCTACATCTAATGACCATTCAGGATTAAAATATTGAAATGTTTGACAGAAATGTATTTAGTTTTGCATTTTGTCCTGAGGAAATACTGAGAAGAAATGGTTTGAGTAGGAGCAAAGGTCCCCCACTGAGATATCAGTAAATGGTATGCATCATAATACAAAGGCAAACAAGATGCTCCGTCACTCTTGAATGCTCTCCAGTCTAATTTGAACCTCCCTGCTCCCTGTTACTTCTGTTGGCAGCAGAGTCCTTAAGCTGACCCGCTGTTCTGGTGCTACTGTGTGTGTTTTTGCAGGGGGTGTTAATGCAGGGATGAGTGTGTACAGTGTCATGCCAGGGAGCTAAGAATAGCTGCAACCAAATATCATAACTACAATGTTCTGGATGTGTGAGTAAAAGAGAGAGGGCAAGAAGAAGATGATGTACATGTGTAAAAATGGAACTGGGACAAGAAGTAAACAGCTGGAGCTTTGTACTGTATGTGTTGCAGAGGCAGGGTTGGTATGTAGTCAGCTGGGTATGGCGTGATGCGTGTCTGTGTGGATGTTTCAGCATCCTGTTTGGTTGATCGTTTTTCATTTGAAGTTCCTTGTGTATATTTTTAGCATCAGAACTCTTGGAGTGCTCCTGAGGGTACACACGGAAAATCATTTCGTCATCATATGGGTCATTTACTGAGGACTTGGAGGCAGAAAGGCAGTTGAATTCTATCAAGAAAATGTTTGTTTTTTTAGCCAGCTTGCCTCAAGGGATGGCAGCGTCAGTCTGTCAGTCGTTTGATCCAGACTGAAATGTCTCAAAGACTGTCAGAGGGATTTCCATGAAATTTTGCACACACACGTTACCTAAGAGGAAGTTTCCTAATGACTTTTGTGATTGTGAGGGACCAAGCAGTTACGCAAGAGAAGTCACAAGAGAATTTCAAAAGGAAAGGTTTTTATTTTACCAAAAAAAAATCATTACAACAAAATGACAAGGTTTGTGCCCTTAAAAGAGACCAAACAGACCGTACTTAAACTCTGAACATAACAAACTCAAAAATACAACTGACCTACAATAAGAGAAGCAAAAGGGACTTATATACTGGCTGATCAGACCAGATTTGACATACAGGGGGAGACTAACAATAACACTAGTACATAAACTACAAATAACAAAAAAAAAAAAAAAAAAAACTAAACACCAAAAGAAATGTAATCTTAATTAACATTAACTGAATAAATATGCTTAATATAATATAAATCAAAACTCAGCAGACTGCATGCATCCTTCCAGGGTGTGGAATCTGCAACACTGGTAAGCTCAAAAGAAAACCCTTATAACAGAAAGACAATCCAAAACAGCTAATTGTGTGCGCTCCAAAAGATAAATGTTTGCAACAAAATGTATAACGTGTCTGAAAAGGTATATAAACCAATCTTAAGGAAAAACAGCATGAACTAAGGAAAGTGTAAGTGTATGAGGTTACCGCTTTTAAGATGGCTGTGTGGCCATGGCTGTGGCCATCACAGTTATCTCCTGACTTTTTATCTAGCGTCCCCAGCAGGTCAATATTTTGATTTGTCCAGTGAAATATCTCATCCATGTGATTGATTGGCCAAAGTTTTCATACAGTTATGCATGGTGCCTAGAGGCTAATCCTTAATGACTTTTCCTCTAGTGCCATCATTAGGTCAAATTTGTGTTTAGGGTTTATCTTTTTTATATTTTCTTTACATTGAGCATTATTAGTTCAGTCCATTTATCTTTTAACTTTGCCAAAAAGTTGGGCGCTTAAAGAAAAATCTTTAAGTTTCACTGTAATTTATTTTATTTATTTATTTATTTTTGTATGACTGTGCCTTCATATGCGTTTATAGTGGCTTATTCTACTGTCAGGGATACATAGAATAAAAAAACATGCAAAATCTTGCAAAAAAAAATTTGCTGCAACATAGCATATATGCCAACACATTTAACAGTGCTTCCTTTTCAAAACAAAATATTTTAAACAGTTGTATAAACACTATAAATGCTAAAATAATGAAATAACGTGTTTGAGTATTCAAAAAGATATTTCTCAAATGTTCTATTACACAATAAAGCAATGACTTAGAGCAGTTGTTTCAGCTAAGTGGTCGGGTAGTATCTGACAAATTCATATATTGGAAATCAAAACCAGTATTCCGATTAGTCTATATCGGGTTTATCACCAAGCACTGTTAAATATATAGCCCTTGAGCGATGTTACACCTGTGAAGAGCAGCCGTCCCTAAATATAATGCAAATGTCTCTGTGGTGGTGTGTTCTTGCGGTCCCTCAGCTGGCAGAGACACGTTGAATCCACATTTTGAAAAGGAAGACCCTGTACCTTGTGCTGGTAGTAGGACAGAACGTTGGCTATGGGAGTACTCAACAGCTCCAGCCTGCACCAGATATTTGGTGTGTGTATGCCAGAGAAGTTTGACTCCAGTTGCTTCAATAATAAAAGTAGTAAATATACCCTCCGATGCCATATAACCATTATAAGTGTCGGTTTATGCACTTGTAATGCAATCAGCCAATTTGAGTTAAATAAGATTTGAATACAAAGATGGTGGTGCTTAAAGAAAATACCCACACCTCCTGAAGAAATACTCTTCTGTCTAAGATTGTTGCCATTAGCCACTTTTTCAAATATTTTTTTGATTTTGGTGTTGATAATCACAATGTGTTTGCAGCTATCTCTTTGAACTATCTTTTTAACTTTTAAATGATTCAGTAACGATTAGTGGGAGGATTTACTTTACTCATTGAATGAAGATTGACATGACCATTTTTGTAAATTGGCCCTTAGCCTTTAGGTGTTTTATAAATACAGTCCCAGAGCTTGATATGTTTCCAAAGGTTGCAGCTGTGTGTGTGTGCCAAGGGAGACCCTCTCTCCTTTGCGTGCAACTAGTAGCCTACAGTACATGAGTTATGCCACCAATGGAAACACTCAGAGCCACTATGTGTCGAGCATATGTGCTTGACTGCTTGACTTTGTGTGTGTGTGTGTGTCATTACTGCCCAATTCATAGCATAATTTATTTTATTATTATCTTTATGTAGGGCAGTGCATCTTGGCTTTATTTGATAGTCATTGTTTGACAGTCACAGGAATATGGCTTGCAACAAAAGTTCCCCTGCTTGAATCAAACCAAATGTTGCAATTATGCACTTTGACCATTAGGTTACCGGGATGCCTAATTTTGTGTTATTTTGTTAAATTATGTAAATTACATTGCATTCTGTTATGCTGTACCCACATGGCACACTATAAAAGCACCATTGTACATATAAAAATGCACAAAAACACTATAAAATTTCAACTGGTACCAATATTAAGCAAAAGGCCAGTATATTCTATTCTATTTTATTTCTGTATAAATAATTAAAAGATAAAACCAAAATCAGTTGTCATTAACTTTACAGTAAACTAATTATTTACCCTGCTTTGTCAGTTTTTTTGAATAGATGGTACACCCAAAAAAATACACATTTAAAAAAAAAAACTGCTATATATATATTTTTATGTACATATTTTGGATATATAAGATATACACCTTATATTGTATTGAGCACCAAAATTAGTTGTGTAATATAAGTTATTAATGACTTGTAGTTTGTGCCGCAAGACTCATTTGAAATGGTTCACTGTGTGATAGCATGTGTTGCAGTAGTGTTTCCATTGCACTGTTTCCAGGGAAAATGTACTCCTGGGTTGTGGACAGCTAGTAGTGTGGCTGTAACATTAGAGGGCTGTAGAGATTAAGAGGCGTGACAAGCACATGGTGTGGAAGGGTGGAGAAATGGCTTAGTATGGAGTTGTCAACAAAGCGTCAGCCCGGGGGCGTCTCATGGTCCTGACATGGGAGAAGCTTCCCCTTGTAGAATTAAAGCAGATAGATACATCACAGATTTCTTCTTCGGTGCTTCTACGATAGCGTGTGTGGAACTCCAACAAATGCAGTGGAAGACTATTGGAGACTCAAAACCTGACAAATTAAGTAAATTAATGCCTTGATAACAAATAATGTTTGACACATGTACTGTTCTGTCAGCTGTAGGTAATTCATTCTTACCCCACAGTTCAAGCTCACTGCATACTGCAGACTATTCTGTTGCTAGCCATGACCTCTGACCTCCTTGCTGACCCCCCAAAAAAAACCCTTCATAAGAGAATGAAGTCATTATCATTAGTATGAATGACAGTCACTGTCACTTATTTTTTTTCATGGTGACGACATTTTATTTGTGCATTTTAAAAAATGACTACCCTGATGATAACATCTTCTTGTGATGTGAATGGAAATCTCTATTAGCTACAGTTCTGTGGTCTGCTGTTGCTACTCTGTGGGCTGGTCTCTTTCCTCCTCCATAATAAGACATGGAAATTCTGACGTTAGATGCCAGCGCTCCTTATAAGCACCTGTCCTTCCGCGTCACGCCAAGCTCCCAATATGAAAAGCGTGTGATTGTTTTCCGAATGAGAGTGTGCGTAGATAGTAGACTGGGACTATATATTCCCCATAGAGGGTCTTTTCTCAATTCAACTGCAAGCAGGACTTGGTGGGACACTACGCTGAGAGCTTCACACTGCACACTGCATAGTGGACGTTTGTTGCTCCTCTCACAATATAACATGGAGGTAAGATAATATTTGTTTCTACCTGAGGTACATGTTCAGACAGTGTGTCGCTGTAATGACTTCTATGACTACTTTAACTGATAAATTACAATAATCAGGTAACACTTTGCTTAAACTTTGTGCTTAAACTGAAAAAGAGTTTGTTCAAAGTAGTTAATTTCTTGTGCTTGCACCAGGCCAGTTGTATTCATTTGTAAATAAGGGAATAAGATTTTAATCAGTTGTATAATACATCGCCTTAAAGTCTAGTCTAAACACCTGTGAGTGGCAACCCCTGGTGCACATTAAGAGACTAAAGCAATCAGCACTAAATCTTTTCACCCCCAATACAATTAAATATAGAAAACTACTACACTTGAGCTTACCTGAGTCTTCTCATTGCAAGTCTTCTGTTTAATCTCGCTATCTAAGCAGCATTTACTGCTATTGACTGAGCTCTGTACTCTCCATGTGGAACCCTCTGTTCAGGAAGTCTGTAACCACGCAGCATCACTGCTGACAAGTCTAAACCTCCAAAGAGAACAAGCTCAATTCTGTGACTGTGTGGTCAGACAGAAACAGAGCCCAGGTCAGCTGTACCCTGCACACAGGTGAGCGACATAAGCTGGTTTTCTTATTCGCAAACAAACAAAAATGACAACATATTTAAATTCTTGTTTATATTGGTAGTTGTGTGTCATTTGCAGCACCACATATCTAGTTGGTCTTTGCTCCCCCAGGTGTGTCCTGGCAGCTTCTAGTCCAATGTTGGCATCTATCTTGTCCTCTTCTGGTGTCCTGGTGGAACTGCATCTATCTGACTCTGTACTGGAACTCGTCTTGGGCTACATTTACACAGGGGCTTTGCCGTACACTCTTAGCGAACAACAGTATTACAATCTGCTTACTGCTGCCTGCTACCTGCAGATTGATGACCTGCAGGAGGCTCTGAGGACTGAGGTGAATACTGCAGATAATACAAATGCCTCCACTGGAACTGAGAATCAGTCATATAGAGACATTAATACTAAAACTGACACTTGCAGTGCAAATTCACTGGAGAGAGAGCATCAATATTGTGATGATATAGATACACGTAGAAGTACCAGTAAAACTGATGCATACCACTGTAATAGAAAATGCACAAGCCCTTTAAGCAATGCAAGTACCAGTTGTAGTTTGGCTGAACGTTCTGGAAGGGTAAATGCAGGTAACTACAGACAAGCAACTTATCTGACGCCTCAGGATTTGATTCAAAATATCCCTTGCGCGGCTGAAGCACATGGGGTGTCTACGGAGGAGCCAGCATGGACAGCTGAGAACAGGAGGCATTTGTATTCACGCTGCACTGCTGAGGTGCAAGAGGAAGAGATGAGCAGAGCAGAGAAGACACAGCAACTGGGGTTAACAGTGAGAAGTAAAGCAGGGGAGAAGCAAACTAACAGAAAAGAGGAAGACAAGATGCTTCGCTCTCCCCTTCCTCATGTCTCGACCTCCCACCTTAAGGACAAGTTTTCTCCCTTACAGCACTCCTCCTCATCACCACATCTGTGCTGTGGGGCTGTGCCTGTCATCCGTCACAGCGGTAGAGTAGCTATGGCAGAAGTGCCTCCTTACCACCCAGTGTCTCAGGCCTCGGTCAACTCCAACAGGGCCCCTGACTTACGATTAGGAAGCACAGACAATGACAGAATTGTTGAAGGTATTACCACTGAACACAAAAATCATTATGAGGCACAGAATCGGGATTACAGTAACAATAAATACCACATTGGAACACAGAGTTGGGATTGCAAGGTTAGTTCAGATCAATGTGCAATACAGGATTTATGTTACAAATCCAATGCAGATGAATTAGACATCAAAAGGCAGGATTACAATAGCAGCAATACAGACAGTGATGAATATATGGGCAATGGATTATCCCACATTACAGATCATAATGATCACCATGCTCACTGTGATACATTTCGGAATAAGACTCCCACAAAACATTTTAGTGATGATTCAGTGCCGCAGAATAAGGACTGCAGCAGCTCTACCAGAGAGCGACTGGATTGCTCTGATTGCCACAATATCTCGAATGACCCGAGTGTTGTAGCTCCACTTCCTGTACAGGACGCAGGAACAGGAAGTGACTGTGAAGATTTGTGTCCTGAGGGAGAAGCGAAAGAGGAACAGAGTTACTCAATCGGGTGTCCAACTGAAATGGATAGACAGGACAGCCACTGTAACCTCTATGGACTTCGGTACACAAACTTGAGATATGAGACAACTAGCACGAAAGACGCCAACTCCAGCCAGCATGGACATGACAACAAAGACACGGCTATGGATCATAATACTGACTGCACATTTCTGGAACATGAAAATATGTCGGGCATTGAGCCACACTTAACTTTTACAGTGCCTGTGGACAACAACATGTCTGATCCTACATACAGTGTTGTGGGGCAGTCATACCGTGGACATCTTCATTATCACTGCCTATCCCAGGAGGACACACACTTATCACACCGAGACTCTGATCACAAACACTCCCACCCTAGCCACCCTGATCATTCAGACCAGTCCACTGATGAAGAGGAGGAGGATGATGGCAGTCCAGGTCTCAGTCCTCTGAGGCAGCACTTTGCTACTACAGATCAGGTTCTACTGCTGGACATTAGCGCCAAACCGGCAGAGTTGCTTGTGTCCTACAAACACAGATCTGATGAAGGGGAGAAATGGGTTGCATTAAGCCAAAAGGACACATGTGGAAATGGGTATGGGAATAATGATAGAGAACAACGTAATGAAGCAGCATCTGCAGCAGGGGTGGACAAGCCTAAATCTTGGGTTGGGGAAACAAATGTTGAAGAAAGAAAAATTGTTAGTAAAGAGAAAAACAGGCCTGGAGCTGAGGTTGTACATAAAGGTGAGAACCAGACCATTACCTGGACAGCCTGTTCACCTCCTAGTGTGCCAGACTCCGTACAGGCCTCAGTGTCATCTTCTTTGTCTGTGTGCATACCTTCTACCCTGTCAGCCAGCATGCCAACAAATATATCAGCCCATCTGTCAACTCCTGTTCACCACCCTTTCCAGTGCTCTCTGTGCGAACGTTCCTTCAGCCAGCGAGGCTCTCTGAATAGACATGTGCGGAGCCACCTTGGCGTACGGCCCTTCCCCTGCCCCCGCTGCCCTATGACCTTTTCACGACAGTACCGTGTCACAGAGCACATGCGTGTTCACCAGCGTTGTGTCCTTGGGAGCGACTTTCAAAAGCCTCCCGCCTCTTCAATTTGAAACCACAGAAGTGGCTGTCCTTTAATTGAGGGACAGTATCATTCAGGATTATGATAATACGTTTAAACATATCGAAGAAAATTAGGGCATTTTCAGGATTCAGGGTATCTATGTCTTCCAGAGGCCCAGCAGTGCAGTGAAAATTTGCCATTCCAAATAAGGAGTAAAGGGGAAAGGAGCAGAAAAAATGTAAGTAAATAATTTAAAGCACCAATCAATACTTTGATGTCAACAAAGGAACACATTCATAGTGATGAAACCACAGATCATTATCACCCGTTGCTTCTTCCAGCTCTGTTTAAGCATCTTTCAGCTCAATTGTTTTGGTTTTCCAGTCTGCAAATTCACTGTTTCGGTTCACTCTCAACTCTGTTTTCAGCAAAAAAGCGAGTCAGCAGCATTTAGCAGCTAAAGAGTTATTTCCCCTGTGACTTCTTCCCTCGAGAACAGATGAATGCTTAAAGTGGCTATAATAGATTTTTTTCATAATAACAATGAATAAAATGAGAAATAATGTGACAATGTGAAATGAGTCACTTGTAGTGATGAACCTACAAATAATTATTGCCTGAATCTGCAGCTCTCTTTTGGCTTCATAGTGAGCCCTTTGTTTAGCTGTCAAGTCCATGACTTTGCTGTTGTGGTTCACTCTCACCGTTCTCTGAATGTATTGTGGCCACAGCAGACAGCTGTTCTGAGCGAAAAAGCTCTTAAACGCCACTGTACACCCTGCTCAGCACCAAACAGCAGTCTTGGTTATAGACTAGCTGATGAACACAGTGGAGCATTAAGCAGCTAATAAGGATTCCCAAAGGTTGGGAGAGACCACTTACGGTCGCCATGTGGCTAGAAACACAACTCCAAATGAATGATAATGTTTCTCTGTCTGCTAGATGTGTCTGTTCACGAGTTCGCCCTTCTCAACTCAAAACATCAGTTATTGCAGGGTTAAGTTGCTCTGTCTCTGCTGGATGTGTAAATAGGCAAATGTCTGCTAACAAGTTATTCCTATGTGAACATAAAAAGGTGATAATATGAGTGTTGTGTTTTCTTTAGCGTTCTTTAGCGCTAATTCTTTCTCAGATTAACATTTTGACTCCATTCCATTCAGTGCTGTAGAGTAGGTGTATTCAACAGGCACTAATTAATAATGAGATTAAAGGCTGCAGTGACAGTTAAGAAGGTTTTGTACAGCAGTGACCTGTCACATGGGACTCATATTCTCTGTTTAGACTGTGTATGATGTCAGACTCTTTGTTTTCATGTGTGATTACAAACGTTTGTTTTGTTTGATTGATGAAAACATTATTTAACAGAATTTCCATTCCTTTAATAATGCATGTCATTGTTTCCCTTGTTCATGGGATGCTATAGGGTGTGTAAAGATTTAAATTAGAGATGAATTACTTTTGTTACGTTTGTAACACTGATGGAAGAAACTGAGCTTGATATATTGTTTTCTATGTCTAATGCACATTGTGTATATGATTGTCATGTATATGACAATTTTTGTTTTGTTTTGTTTGTTTGTTTTTAAACATCCACAACACTTTTAAATAATACAGTATTTGAATGAAGCCACTGCAACATAATGAACTTCATATGCGTTTGATTGTCGTGTGATTTGTGTTGTTGTTCTGTACTCAAAGTGAAAATGTTTAATATTGAACTTGTGTTAAATAAGAAGAAATATATGCCTAGAAGTGTTCCAACTCCTTTTGTACATATTTTTAAGACGGGCATATTTTAATTTGTAGCCTGTTGTCCCTTTGTTTTCCTAATTTGCAGTTTGCAAACTTATGGTAACAGTTGCACAGAAAGGGTACAGACATATCAGGATTTGAATAACATCTCACTCCCTGTTCCCTCTGTTAACAGAGAAATTTATTAGCAATCTGTCTTACATGCTGTCCTCTGTAAGTGAGGACAGTACATTGGGTGTCATAGTGCTTGTACTTAATGGTGTTGCTGAAACAAGAGCTGACATGGTAGGTAAAAAAAGTATCAAGGGCAGCCATGAGACTCTGTGCATGCTCTGTCTTGTCTATGCCAAACTTCTTCTGTAAGGGACAGAAAGGTGGAAATAGACTGCATCGTTCGGTGTCCAACACTTCAGACAGTAAAAACACAGAGAACAGTTTGCCAAAGGTTACATGTTTATGGTTGGATTTGTTGACATTACATTTTCACATTCAGATGTTTCCACTCTGTTGGAATAAAAATGGAATAACAGAATTTTTTTTTTGGAATTTACATTCACATTTACATGTGTGTTTACGTGTGTTTCCATTTGGTAATAATGCAGTTCTAAATGCAAACCATGATTAAATACTCACTTAAAATACTCAGAAGTATTAATACAGAATCAAGGTTTTTTACTTTTTAAGCCATAATTAGTCATTAATTAATAATAATTAAGCAGTATATTAACAAACATTAAGAAGTTATGTTCATAAGTTATTAGTAGTAATAGTTGAATTTGGGTGCAGGTGTTGTGTAACACTTTTCCAAAAGGTAAGTGGTTAATCCGTAACATGATCAGACTGAATTACCACATTTTTAATACACTATTTGAACAGTTGAATAAAATTAGATATGTGGTCAGTGATTTGTAGTCCTGGAAGCAAACTGGTTAAATGGTCTATTTGAATGATCTTCCTACTGAATTAAAGGTAAAAAGACAAACCAGAGGACAGCCTCAATCCAAAACTTTGTCTTATTAATGGTACATATATAATGAGAATATATTATAAACATTTCTAAATAGTGGTGCCTTTTTACTGTAACGGGAGCACCAGCGAGCTCGTCTGAGTTGAAGTTTGATTGTTTTGGAGAAATTAAAACAGCCCACACAAAATGTTTTTTTCAGCTATCTCAGACAGACATTGGTTTAACCCAGACCTTTGTCCCGTGGTGTAATAGTGCAAACATATTGTAGCGACAGCTCAGCCAGTGCCAGACTGCAGCGTAGCAGTTAACTGGCTACACAGTGGGGAGAGTTCAATACCATCTTCCTGCTGAATCTGGTGGCATTTGTTCAAAAAAGGTTAAAAAGTATAAAAAAATATACATACAGACATATTAACTGAAATGAATTTGTGCAACAACCACAACTCACCAGTGAGAAGTGGTTTATGTTTTTGAATCATGTATCTTGTTGTGCCCACAAAGATAAATACTTTGCTGTCTTTGTATGCTTTATAAGTCTTTTTTCTGCTCAGTCTACTCCACCTCAGACTTCATCATTATTCAACTGGTGTCTCAGTCGGCGAAGCAGTCATCATTACAATTACCTAAAGAGAAGAGAAAGAAGAGCACACTAATGCTTAACTGGTCCTCAGTCATGTTGTAGCTTTGTTTAAGTTAAGCAAATATTGTGAGACATTAGTGAGTGGGGACATGCACAACTCTCAGCAGACAGAAGTTGGGTGTGTGCAAGTGGGTTTTTATGTCTTTTTACCTGGTTCTTTGTTGAACGCAGAGCAGCCCCAGCCAGAGCTGACATTACAATGAGAATAACTGCACCCACAAAACTGTGGAACAGGAAGATCGCATTCATAGACTCTTCCATGGCCTGGAAAAACACATGTATACACATATCTCAAAAAGACTGAAACTGTGGAAGAAACTGAAATCAAATGTAAAATACTATTGATATGTAACACTCTCTGTTAATAATGATGTTATTTAATAAATAATTGAGATTCAACAGGATTTAAATTACAGCACATATCACCAAGTGAAGAAAATAATTGATGCAGTTTATTGGGGTCACAGCAAGTCGAATTGGTCGTCGCTGTTCTTTTATATTCTGGATAAGTGCCTTGACCCAACAATAAATCAAACATTTAAAATGTATTGTGTACTGTTTTCTGTTTCTCAGGAGTCACACATCCTAAAATGCTAAACCATTTGAGGAAGAAGTTTTCATTTAACATTTTAATCAATCCAAGACACACAAACTGTATGTTGCTTGTAAGATTGCTCAATATCATATAATGAAGCCTTAATTCAATGAAAAAAATTGACACCAACACACACAAAACAAATATAATCACCTCATATGTTAACCATGGTGCTTCGGACTCTGTGATATTGTATTCAAAGTAGTCATAGTGTCTGTAGTAGTGGGAGTGAACCAGTTCGGGTAAGATCTGCATGAAAGTCCAACATGCCCCAAGTATGCCCACAATGCTCAGAGCCAGTGATATGGTTACCTATATGTAGACACCAACCGAGAGAGATGAGGGAAAAACCGACAAAAAATTACAAATGGTAATAGTTCATATGGACAACAGGGGGAGCCCTGCAAGTGGTGATGAAGTAATCAAAGAAGGTATGATTAACATCTAAATAAACAGTAGAATCTGAGACTTTTACTCTTAAGTAATTGAACTTTTAGTGGAAAACCATATCAGACAGCAATCATTATTCCAAGAATTATTTGTATGTCATATGTCTTAAAACATGTCAGGAGGGGTTTGTTAATAAAACACTGTATCTTCAGGGCTCTGCTGGTCCTCTAAATACAATATTGCTTCAAGATATTACAAGAGAGCTTACTGTTTTCTTGGTTGGTTTGTGCTCTGTCACAATATACAGAATCCCACATACGATGAACTGCAAAAGGAATCAGAAAAAAGATGTTTTATTATATATCCCTCAAATGTTTTGGGATACTAATGCATGCATTAGATAGAGACGCAGCCTGTTGCTGGTGCAGAAATGAGTTCAAATTACTCTCAGCCCTCAATCAAATCCTTTACAAATGTTGATTATAGGTGATTTCTTGGTTTTGTCACTGCTGTTTAATAGATAGATAGATAGATAGATAGATAGATAGATAGATAGATAGATAGATATGATCCAATGATGAATAATTATCTTGTTGTGCTACCAACCATTGTTCCCAGTAAGAGGCCAGGTGGGATGACTGCCGATAAATGTTGAACAGAGGATGGCATGATGGCGATGGAAAGGATGAAGAAAGACGTGCCCAGGACCAGAACGATTATCTAAGAGAAAATCAAAAACAACTCTTCAAACTCTTCACATCTGTTTTTTTTAGTTAATTCCTTAAAAAACAAGATTTTTGATAAAGATTCTGGTTTGTGTGTGTCTCACGCCAATAATCTTGGGTTGGCCCTTAATGAAGCGATGTAAAGGTTTGACGCCTCCCACTGTGGCGCCTTGAAGACTTGCATTATTACCACTCGCAGAGTAGAGCTCAGCAGACATCTTATGGACAAACAGACACAGGACAGATACGTTATATGGGTATTCACTTGCTGCTTGTATGTTACACCATAGGGGGTCAAGTTAGGTGTCATTTTGATTTTACATCTGACGGATCTGAGTCTCTTATCGAATCCTGGTTTTTATTCTTGTCACATTATTATTTATTTTTATTTTAGGTAAAGAAAAATTCAGTGCAAACAAAAACTATCTTCAGCTTAATTTACTATCTTTAGCAGATTTATTTATTTTGTCCTACATGAGATGCAGATGTTGGATGTTTGTTTTTAGTTCAGTTTGATCTCTGTGACCAGTAGCCTACGTCAAAACACAGTGCACTGACTCTATGCTTTTTCATGCAAAAATACTCTTGGAAAGCCACAGGCGAGCCATTCCTATATTCTGGTAATTATACGCTAATGGAAAATTTCTGGTCAATATTATATTTAATTTCTGCCAATAGATTCTCCTAAATGTTACATACACAATGCCACACACATTTTATTTTCATTTATGTATTCAGTTATTATTGAACTTGAGCTGTCAGTACTAACTCAACCTGATGTGTAAATGCTTCCATCTGTTTTATTCATATTTCTATTCCTCTAAATGATACTGACTAGTTTTAAATGAGTTATTATTCCTGTAAAAGCCGGCAGTACACACCGTGGCATGTGCAATGCATTTTACACTACAGCGTCATAAGCTGCCTACTCACGTGTTATTAATTACAACAACTGCAACTCCCGTGAAGCTCTGACAGAAGGCTAATGGCCGAGAATCACGGGATATGTTGTGGTCGAAACCGTCCACAAACGTACAGTAGTAGAGGCTGTGCAGTACACGCTATGCTTACTAGAAGAGATCTGGGACTGCCTATACGTTAGATATCCCCACTAATCCTGACATCAAGCAGAACTGATCGTTTACTGAGAATGCATTGACCTGAAAGGAATGTATCCTCCACTGCACTAAAGCTGCAGAGAGCCTTTAAAGTTTAAGTAACACGGAGTGACTTTGATCTATCAACATTAGTGCGTAACTATGTAACGTAGACAGGAGTACGCTATTGTTAAAGTGTCAAGTCTCAAACTTAGACTCGTCCAAATAACAAACAGACTAGCTGTTAAAAGAGAAACGGAGAAGCAGACCTTGAGTGCAGTGCTGTGGTCCGAGCTGTAGTTAACTGGTACTATTGTAACCACTCATGTTCACATCTGGAGCAGCGTGATGGGGCATTTAGGGTCGATCCGTTCATTTTGAACATGACCCGAACTCATAATATGTGCTTGTTGTAACTCATTACTGATAGCATTCGCTGCAAGAGAGAGATTTATTCAACAAGGCCTTTTCACATTTCACATTTTTGGTGCGTTTTATGGCTGCAGTTTCTCCTTCGCACTTAGAAGGGGAGGGTGAAGCGAGGGAGTTGCAATCTGCAACTACAGTGCTAGATGCCATTAAATCCTACACAGTGGACTTTAAAACTTAAACATATGAAATGTCATGTTGGGGCACTTACTCAAATAACAAATTCTACAGCACTATTACTAAGTCAATGTTTACTTGACTACACCTGGTGGGAATTTGTGTGTGTCATTGTGTCTTTAGGGTGAGAGGTCGGACGGGGTTCTTCTTCTTTGTGAAAGAAATTAATTTGGCCACAAGCCTTTTTTATTGAAACAACAAACCAACAACATGAGCAAATTCTTCTCTGACAGTCTAAAATGGTCGACTCCTAAAAGAGACTCAAACTTCCCCTCACTCCAGCAAGAAAAGCAGGGGAAGGGAGGAGGAAGGATGAGCTGTGTGTGTGTGTGTGTGTGTGTGGCGCGAGGTAGCCTCATGGGGTTACAAGGAGGAAGAACTGAAATGGAGAAGTAGAAGGAATGTGATGAAATAGTGTGTGAGAGAGAGCAGAAGGGAAAGAGGGACTGTTTGCCCAAAACTAAACTGACACAGCTGTGTGCTTTTGTGTTGCTCCATTCACAAAATAGAACAGAGATCAAAAGGGCAGAGAGGGAATAAAAGGATTGTGGGAAGGTTATGGTGGAGAAGGGAGAACATCATTTTAAATGCCTTTTTTTTAACAAGGCAATACCATGAATATTAATTGTTTCTTTTCCTGCTTATCATTTACATATCAATATTAAAAATATTGTACACTTGAACTGATATTGATTATTTTAGGTGGGCCTATTTTTAAGAGGGCTAAAATACGGTTTGTTGCTGCCCCTCAGCAGTACGATGCTTAGCTTCTGTCCGCTTCTCCAAACTGGGGTGTGCTGACCGCTGTCTACATATGCTGACTATGCATAAGTACCTCACACAACTCCACAAAACTGCCTTATGTGGACCTCAAAGACTTAAATACCATAACCATGAATGCAAATTTGAAGATTTTTATGAGGGTCCTACTGCATTACAAAAACAGACAATAATACAGAAACAGTGAAGTTGGTTTGATTGAGGTTTCAAGTTTTAGGACTACTTACTAAAGTGTGTCTAAAAAAAGGAATGTGTGTTTCTATACATACGTATTATGTATATATACATATATTAAACTAAATTATGATCAAATATTTAGTTGCATTTTGACTTGGTGGGGACTAGACGGAAAGCAAGAAAAACAACAAAGACAACAATTGCATTGCCAGATTAGACAGAAAGTATGACACAAATAAGCAACCACCTTTGAGTTTATTGAAAAATGTGTCCATTGCACAGATTTATTCAAACTACATTGTTAACAATAGCTTGCACTGCACACTGCTCGGTAGGCTCCTGCTTAGCATAACATAATCTTTACACGGGACAACACACTGGATCGACATCCATGTCGAGACAGACAGACTGGATAGAGAGTTTTAATAGATCTTTCACAGAAAGAATTAGGTGATAATCATCAAAAAGATGATTTACTCTAAAAAATTGGGAAGAGCATTATGTACATTGAAAAAGACATGTCAGCTTTGCTTCCTTTGACTTCCATATTTAATAAATAAAATATTATAATAGATCTTTATGCTATAATTACCAGAAACTGTCACATAATCATATGAAAAGTGTTTTGATTATTAAGTGACACTGACCTCACATAGATCAGAGTGTGCTTTTGAACAGAATAATTATAATTTAAACCTCGTTGTTATAATAAATTATGTAAAAGCCTCAAACTGTCATAATAGACAGTTTTTAACTGTTTAATGTCTCTCTGTTATTTTAGGTACTTCCCTACGAACATCAGGTGGCAAGACAGTGACCATTACATCCATGTAAATGTGCATCTATCTTAACATTACAAAAGCATGCGTCTTTTCCTCTGACACAAATTACACTGGACTCACCAAAAGTCAACATCATGGTCAACATTAACAGTTTTAGATCAGATCAAGGGTTCATTCCTGATTAGTTTCCTTTAGGCAAAGTCAACCACAGTACAGCATGAAAGCACAAAGAGTATATAACAGTATAACATAGTCACACTCAGTCAGACTACAGTCAGATTTCATTTTCACAGTAATCTGCCATTTTGATTTTACTTTTGTTCAATATAGGATACATTAATATCAGGGTGCAAATATCCTTGTTAAATTCTAACAAAAATATGGGTAATTACTTTGAGATTTGTTTTTTCAGATCATTTAAAATCAAGATGATAGTAGAATTTCTTATTCTTTTTCTTCAAGAGATGTCATTCATTCAAAGCTGTTTTCAGCCATTCAATTTTGACTTAACATGAATAAAGGAGGTTTTATGTTGAAGAAGCAAGAATTACAAGTATTTTCAACCATATCGTAGTTTGCACTTCATGTAACTGGCGATCATGATGCCCATGATATAAAACAGAGGCACCGAATGAAACAAAATGATGTAGGATTAACAGCTGATGTTACATCCATCTATTAATCCATCTATTGGCTTTTCTAAAATACCTTCATGTTGATCTATTGCTTTAGTGGTCACATGGTGAAAACTGCCACCTGCAACAGGAGGCAGCTGGTTTAGAAAGACATTTGTAGTAAAGCATAAAATGACATAGTTCATTTGAATGAGCACCATTAGCAAAGTATTTCAGACAACATATCAGCCCTCAAATGTTAGCGGATTCTCAAAAAACAAAAGCCCTTCATTTTTTACAGTGGTTTCCCCCATTTTAAGTTATACATATGGTAAAAATAATCAGGCAGACAGGCATCCACTCACATAAATGAAGTACAGTAGATGTTAACAGATGAAAACATTTGATAAAAAATTTAAACGTACAAACAACGGAAAATAGGTGCGTTTGTAAAGAGAGATCATTACAGCATCTGAATATACTGCATTAATTCTCCACTATAGGACAGATAAGTGCTTTACACAAACGTATACTGATTTGTGCAGTAACATTACAACACAAAAAATACATAACTGTAGTCCTGTATAGGTGTGTACAGTCATTGCATTGATGAGCATCAGTCGTTAAAACACTCTGAGTGATTTACATCCTACATTCTAGCATATCACTGGTGTTAATGTATTAGGTATGTACGTATAAAAACAGACAGAAAGAACACAGACTGAAGTTATTTGCATTGTCCTGCATTTATCTTGAGTAATGTCAATGAACACTAGTTAGAAAATGTGCCAGAGCCACATCTTTCACAGTAAAACGGTCAGAAGACCACACACATTTAAATGGACCTGCAAAGGAGTTTGGCACAGAAGAGGACTGGATACACTACCTGTGCTGTTTTTGCATGTTCTGAATGATTTTACAATAATGTACTATAATGTGGTGTTTCTGGAGCAAAGTGCTGTGTCTACTGCACTTGAGGTCAGAAAAGAATACTACCACATACCTGGACCAGGTAAAACTTTAACCAAGTCAGTCTCTACTTATTAATTGATGAATATACTGCATGTGATGGGTAAAAAAGACAGTATTCTCTCCTAAATAAGATTTTAAAAAATCAGTGATGCACAAACAGGCTGTTTTGAAAAGCTGAATTGTATAATTTATATTTAATTGTCAAATGTGGAAGCCAGTTGTGTTAGGTAGTCTGGAAGGGCTGCTTGCATATAATCCAGCAGAATTTCACTTTCATTTTTCATTTTCATTTTTTTTAATCTAATTTAACACGATGAGTGCTTATGTTTTAGTAGCCATACGGGTGCAAAATAATTATTTTCCCGTGTGTGTGGCAGCCTTTCTATCCACTGGTGTAAATGAAGAGTGGTGTGGTATGAAGGAGAGACTGGTAACCAGTCAAAGGAATCTCTTAAGGAGCTAAAAAATATGCAGTGATGGATATTATACTTATATCCTGCAGTGCTGTGCGTTGGATATGGAATTACAAGTTTTACTTATGTGTATGTATGTGTGTGTGTGTGTGTGTGTGTGTGTGTGTGTGTGGAGTCAGTGCACTTGCAAAGGTGTGATATGAGAGAATTGAGCACTCCTCAGGCAGTTGTTGAAATGCATTTCCCCCCTTTTTTTCTCAAATCAATTCATTTGTTGTATTTTTAAACTTATTTGAAATCAACTCAAAGGTCTGCTTGTGTTCTGCTGAATGATGGGGATATTGAAAACACATTCATCTAATTTTAATCAGTAGTCGCTGTTACTTATCTTAAGAAACATGTTGGTGCCATGATTGTTGGCTACACAATGAATCACAACACCACTGACCGCAATGTGGTGCCTGACTGCGGTGTGTTGAAGAGCTGGAACACAGTGTCTTCAGTGCTGGATCTGATGGGGGTTTCTTAGCTTGTCTCAAGTGTCTGTGCGTCTCCTTCTTCCTGGTTGGTGCCATCAGGAATTTGTTCACTCCAGTAGTTGCACTGGCCAAAGGTGTCAGTGCAGGGGAGGTCTGCTCCCTCATCTCGAACTAGGACTGGAAAGACGTGGTCAACCACCTCGCACAGACGCCCAAAGCTGAGAGGGAGACACACATTTACAGACTTCAACTGTGCAAAACTAGAATTCAGACAGTCAGATATATGTGTACACGGATACAGAGTCAGATTAAATGGATGGAAATTATGTGAAACAGAGAATATAACTTACGAGGAGATATTGGTTTTGGCGTGCTCCTGTATCAGCTCCCCTTTGGGATTGACAGTGAAAATCCTGTTCAGAGGAACACCCACCTCCTTGTAGGAATACACATCCTGAAATCACACATAACATCAGTATCACCACCAAAAACAAGAGGTACCAACACTTTAAAAGAACACAATTCCTTGTGAAATAAAACGGCAAGACCCCAACAATTCCCCAACTAAATAATGCAGTCCTCTTGTTACAGAGAAAATACATGCTTGTTCGTGTGCAGTAGTCTCACCGTAGCTCTGTTGCCAAAAGCAGCGTAGAAAGGTTCTGTGTTTGGGTAGAAAAGATGCTTGATGTCTGAGAGACACTCGATCTTAAACTTCTCTGGTTTCTTCTCAATCACCTCCCTACACAACACGACATAACATCCAACACATGTTACTGGGAATTATGTTTTTATCCTTTTTTTGTAGCTTATCCATGATGCATATCTGTCCACATGCAATTGGGCTTTGAAAGAGATTTATTAGCTAAGAGATGCAAAAGAATGAGGGCAATGAAAGCATGAAAATCTCAACATTTACAATATTTGCATATGACAACAGAAATACGCCATAGGCTATGCCATTTCTATCAGTGTGTCATGTGTATAAAAGGCAAAGAAATGCCTCATCTTTGACTAATGGGTGTCTGTGAGCCTCTTTACATGCTATTGCAATAACAATATAAATAAATTATGTCATTGCTGTGTTGCTGCTCTTGATAAAAATGATCATTAACAAAATAAAATAACTATTATTCACTACTAATCCATATTTAAATATAAATATGAATATGAATTCTGATTACTTAATGTAGCTTGTTTGTACATGTGGCATGTGTCTGACCTGTGCAAAGCAGAAAAAAGGCTGCTGGGGCTCAGCAGCACTGGGCCCACTGGCAGCATGGTTCCCCTCTCATTGACCCAGTGCAAGTAGCCTCGAGTCATATCAGCCATGCCAATGGCCCTCGCCGAGCAGTACATGAATTTATATCCATTCCTGTGACAGAGAGCTTTTAATTAGTTGTACCCTATGGTTCAAATAAGAAATCATTAGAACGATGACCAGATATTACATATATATCAGTTAAAAGAAAATAAACAACGAGCCAAACAAAATAGAGAATAAAATAATAGAATAGAAATAGATTTTGCCAGATTTCCTTAGCTGTACAACTGTGTGCAAATTGTAAGGTAGCACTCACTGGCTGACTTTGTGGTAGAGCCGTGCAATACCCTGGTGGGTCCAGTCTTTACCCAGTGTGGGGAGGATGTGACCCAGGGTGTCTGACCTACAGCGTGACACAAGAGAGCAACATCACACAATCAATACTGATGCACCTAATTACAGCGGAGACAAATAGAGACATATATCCAACATTAAATCTGTGTAAAGCCTGACATCGACTGGTGAAAAGCTGAAACTGAACTTCCTTCTTTCACAGGCTCTTTTGTTGACGCACGTGAATTGGCTAATAACTGTGACAGCGGGACTATCTTTTCTATTCCTTTACCTGGTGATGGTTCCGTCTATGTCAGAGATGACAATCTTGTCATCCCAGCTCCAAAGATAGATTGTGCCATGACAGCGACAGGTGCCCTGATACTGAGTGGTCACACTGAACACTACATCATTAGGGCCCTCCTTCAGCTGCAGGCTAGCCTGTAAAGACAAACAAACAAACACACACACACACACACACACACACACACACACACACACACACACACACACCACAAAAGGGGGCGCAGACACACACAGATTGAAATAAGGAAGATTATGCTAAGGATGCTATAATCTGCTGCATCACATACATCACACGTCAGGTGGCGACAATAAAAAAACACATCATCCTGGTTCATTGTCAAAATGCAAGAATAATATCCTTCACTTGAAGATACATACACAGTGTTGCCAATTTTCATCTTTCATTCCAGTATTTTTGCGGCGATAGAGAATTTAATTCGTAAATGTTTTCATTCTTGGTGTCCATTTAAAGATTTATACCCTGTGACAATGTATCCATGTTTGTTTTGTAAGGAGAGACATTCCTTTGCCCACATTCCTGCTTTATCATAGTGAACCATGTGTGCAACATGTGCTAAGTCACTACGGAGCTTTAAAGCTGTTTGCATGTTTTATTCCCCTTAATGTCAGTAAATCCAACTGTTGGAATACGTACCAGCTGCTCTGAGGTAAGCCGAAGAGTCTTCTTATAACAGACGTTGCCAGAACTCATGAGGAGCTCTGACTGGCAGGATCCTGATGCCTGATTGGACGATCTGTGGTCTTCATCACTAGAGGATGACTCATCCTTCATCCTAAAAAGTCATAAGTATAAGATGAAACTATGGAAACTAATAAGAATGTGTTTGAGGGAAAAATATGGTGATTTGAAGTCTGAGGTCACCTGTTCACTGAGGGCATAGTGAGTGAACTCTCTCCTTGGTCTCCTCCTGCCTCTGTCACTGATTCCTGAAGTGCACAAAGGTCAAAGGTTGATGGTAAGGAACAAATATGGCTGCCAACCTTCTATCATTTCCCCCTCTGACAATCTTTATTGTAAAGTATATGAAGGATATGGACAAATTATACAAATTATATCAGTGTATCTGCATACTTACTGATTTGGAGTCACTGTTTCTGCTCCTCCATGAGAACCACCAGCGTCCTCCTTTCTTTGGCATCTTCTCTTTCATGATGTTCTCCACTGAGGCCTGGAGACAACCATGCACATACAACTCAAAAATGATTGAAAATGTAACTCAAAACTGACAGAAACAACTCAAAAGAAAGTGAAAACACATGTATACCCATAAACAGATGAACAGAAAGCACAAAAAATTAACAATCCAAAATGCAAAGTAAAACATAACAAACAGCACATTTCAAACCACACTGAACTCCAAATAAATTACCAAAATAAAGACAGTTACAGGAGAAAATCAATGGCACACAAAGGATGCAAAGTAAAACCTGAAAGGAAGAGACTTCTGAAGGTTGTAACAAGACACGCCACAAGGGGAAAGAGAGCGACATGCAAGACAGTTAACAATGGTGGGAAATTATGGTATGCAGATAGACAAAGACATGCCCTGACCAACATCCAAGCAAAGCCAGGAAATATCATACAGGCTTGGAAGGGCTGGAGCCAAACAGACCAGGGAGGCAGTACGAGAAGAGGCCAAAAGCAGAAAACACATAACTCAAACACCAACACTTAGCACACACAAACATTGCATGGATGACGGGAGAAAGAAAATATGTAAATAAAAAGTAAAAAAATAAGGAGGGGGATAAAGACATGACATTATTAAAGTGTTAGGGAAATAGTTAGATTTAAAGCCATATTTCACTGTGGTATAAGATTGTCAGCTTTGATGATTCCCCATTTCAATTACTGGCATATCAGACTAAATAGTACCTGTGTATCATGTGTACTGTACAACAGTAACTGAAATGGTTAAATATTGGTAATGAGAGTCGGAAACAAATGTAAACGCACATAATTTGGTAACATTTGGTAGAATTTTAATGAAATAATGAGAGGACGTTGGCAGATGGCAACACTAAACCAAAGTGAAACATCAGATTAAGAAGAATTAATTGCAAAATGCTGGGAGTGCACAGGAGAAAGTGATGCAGGACGGTGCAGAACACTAAAAGACACCAAACTCCACCTGACAAATATAATAATAATCAAAGCATTCTATTCTGTATAACCTTACCCTGAGGTACAGGTATGTTGTAAGTAAGTAAGTAATTTATTTTAATCCCATGATTAACTTGGGTATTTAATTTATTTTTCTTCCTAATAACATTTCACAAAGAAATATAGTACCTTTTACTCTACTGCATTTATCATAGTTTACTTTGCAGATTCAGATTTTAAATTATGATGCATTTTATAGATTAGTATATAAAGTACTACAACATAAGAATGCTGCTTACACACAAATGAACCAGTAATGATAATCCAGTAATATAATATATAATAATATAAAATGAGAGGGTCCATTCTGTTACACAATGAGTACTTTTACTTTAGCTGATATACAACTGAAATAAATCTAAATACTTCTTCTACTACCGTTGCCATAAACTGATAGTATGAAACATACATTTAACAGGAAACAAGGAGACAAATTTGAGTATTTATTCGTGTATCACTGTGGTGGTCTTACCTGCGGCAGTGGTTTCTGATAGACTTGCATGGCCAACATGACAGGAGCTGCTGTGTTCCAGTTGTAGTACCTACAACAGATGACAGAGAGCGCTCTTAGCACTTCTTTACACCTCAGACTTCTATCTGCAAGAGACAGCTGGCACATTTGATTCTTACTTTCTAGCCGAGAGTTAGATGAGAAGATCAATACCACAATCAGAGGCATCAATCTTCTCATCTAGCTTTAGGCAAGAGAAACAGGTTGAAGCATTTTTGCCAAAATGTCACTATTCCATTTGATTGTTTCTTACTGCAGCACTATTTCACCCTCCCCTTACAAGGACAAAAGCAGAAACTACAGTGGCTGTAAAAAAAAGCAAACAGCTCTTTCGCTAGCAAGGACCACACCATTAACAAGTTTGGTTTAACTGATTAATTAACAGAATGAAAAATGTTGTATTATGCTTGATAGTGACTGTCTTGTATGCTGTTGCATTGTGGGGAAACTTTGGTTGGGAATCCGCCATAGCACCCGGGCATGAGGGACCCCCTAGGACCCCTTGGAGAGTAGGAATGAGAGTAAGATATAATGAATAGAAAGGGGTGGGGGAGGGGCGTAGAATACAAGAGCAAAAGGGGAGGAGAGGGGTTAGTAGGGTATGTATGGGAATATGATTGAGCTGTGGTCCCGCTCCTGAAACTCCACTAACAGCTTCAAATCTAGACCTTAGTGTTTGGTTTGTTTGTTCTGGACAACTGTAGAAACATGGTGGTTAAACATTGCTGTGTGTCCATGGAAGGCAAACTGCGATGTCTAGATATAAAAGACACATTCTGTCAATAGATCCTCAAAAATGTTAACAATGGAGCTTCAACTTATTGTTGCCAAAGACATAAATATGCTTTTCATAAACACAGATCAGCCTATAAAATTATGACCACCTGGGCACACTGGTGGTCATAATGTAATGCAGCCGCATACACAACAAACTGTGATCCACTGTGTGTTCTGACACCTTTCTATCAGAACAAGCATTAACTGTTTCAGCAACTGTTTGAGCTAGAGTAGCTCGTCTGTTGGATCGGACCACACAGACCAGCATTCGCTCCTCACGTGCAATCAAAAAATCCTCATGCTGCCCTCTAACACATCAACTTGGGGACACAATGTTCACTGGCTGCCTATATCCCACCCACTGACAGGTACCATGATAAAGAGATAAACAGTGTTATTCACTTCACCCATCAGTGGTCATAATGTTATGGCTGATCGGTGTATTTTGTCATAGTTTCTAATTATTTATCACAATTTGGTATTAAATAGTAATAGTATAGTAAATCAGTACATACTTGTTTCCTATTTTGACCACCAGGTTAGGGTCATCAATTATTGAAGGGTTTTCAGAGAACTGCTGGTAGGAAATTGCCCTCTCCTGGAACTGCTCTGTGTCATAAAACATACACATGGTACATACAGAGGCAAGAACACACACAGATTGACAGACGTTTAAAAAAAAAAATTCTAAGAGTAAAATTGTCAATCTATAACAGAAGGAGACATTAGACAAGCTTTTTTTTAAAGTAAAAATTAAACAGCAATGTAAGCTTATTTTTTAGGCATCTGTTATTGCCTCCTTGTACATTCCTTAACCTACCTCTTGTGATCTCCGTATTGTCAGTGAGTCCTCCACACAAAGAGATGGCGACATGAGGCAGGTCCGCTATTTGGTCAGACAAACTGTCTACGCCGCTGTCCATCCCACTGCTGCCCACTGACTGTGGGGACTGGTTAGCGCTCCGTACTCCCATCATCATCATCTCTGAGTCTCCCCTCATGGAGCTACCGCCTCCATCACTGAGGGTAGAGAGAAACATATACACTCTCATACATCTCTGAAAAATACTGTTGTGATGGTGTGGGTCAATTTGATGATGTTATGGTCAAATAAACACAAGCCTCAAGTGCCCTAAAGTGTCTACACAGTGGTATAAAATGTAAAAAAAATTTTTTAAAAAGGCAGCAATGTTAATTTGCACATCAGCCAGTATAATTATTTACCTGTAATACTCAGTTACTGCAAAAAATAAATTATAAATAGTCAAAAAGTTATTTAATAACTAATTAGTTTTCAGAGAGTTTTCTCATCTCTTTTGAATCCTGCTGAGGACTTCCATGGTGGCCACCAGAGGGGGAACTACACCATATGACAGCCCTTTATACATTGTGTGTGTGTGTGTGTGTGTGTGTGTGTGTGTGTGTGTGTGTGTGTGTGTGTGTGTGTGTGTGTGTGTGTGTGTGTAAATGGGGTGGATTATGTTTTGTACTGGTATGAAGGCATGCACATACATGTTCACTCTATGTTTGTTACTGAACCTTTTAGGAAAGTAGAGAGCAGCTACTTCAGGCTCCAGCTCTGTAATGTCATCCAGGTATATGCCATCAGATCCCAGGTGTTGGCTTCTCTTTTCTAACAAGAGACAATATCACACATGATCAGACATAATAGATTTTACTGAAACATTTAGACATTGTATTTTGATGGAGCACTGTACCTTTCTTCTTGGAGGGCGAATCAGTTCTTCTGATGGGACTTCCTCTATTCCCGCCTTCATCAAGATGATCAGGGAGAACCCTGGGAGACACTGAGCAGGCTGTTAAACCCTCCATCTCTGCACATGATAACCCGACACTTTCCACCTCTCTCCCTAAGGAGAAAATAGCACGTAAACAAACTCATGGGTCCCAGGATGTACTGACACACAAGGTTAACTTCAGAATTTCCTGCTAGGATTCTACATCACACTTGAATCGTGGTGTGGATGCCTGTTGTTTGTTTACAACCTGCAAACAACTTCCACTGTGGTTCAGAGGGCATTATCCTTAAATAATGAGTTGATAAAGCAGACACTTATAATGAACAGTATGTGTCTAAATATAATGAGTGGCCGTATTTCTTGAAAGTTGGAAATGTTTTAGTCAAATATGTTAAATATAAATGAAGATAAATTAACAACAATACAATTCACTATGTCATTATGCACATTAAAAGCAATATTGTCCTCCATATATCTACCTTCATCTCCTCCAACCCTGTCCTCAGTCTTAGTGCTTAGTCTGACCCTGGCTCCATTTTTGCCTTCCTCTGTGTCCTTTTCCCCACTGTGAGCATCAGTCTCCCCTGGCTGGGGAACATAAAGAGTGAGGGAGGGGGGTCCAGTGTCACTGATGGCTCTGAAGTGAGTGCTGGCAGACATCGGGATGGAGACTGCTATGGCAGAGTCCTGCTTCTGGTGGGAAGTCAGGAAGGATGGCTGCGAGAGAGAGAGAAACAGAGATCAAACCTTTAATCTTTTTTTGGACTCAAGTATGTTTCTACCCTTCCTTGCCTTATGTCTGTTTAATTCTCCATTTTGAGAAATACTTTTATTTGCTTTCTTTAGATGGGATGGTTGATACCACTGTCAAATATGGCAAATATGTGGCTAGAACCAGCTGCCTGTTAGCTTAGCTAAGCATATAGACTGGAAACAGAGGGAAGCAGACAGCCTGGCTATGTCCAAAGATTATATAATCCACCTACCCTCCAAAGCTCACTGATAAAAACCATCTAATTTGTTAAATCTGTCCAGAAATCACGGCTCAAAAATTACGTTTAAGGTTATATACTATTATATAGACTATTTCCTGGTCAAGAACAGTAACTTCCTGGAGTATCTGCTTCTTACCTGGCATCAGAGGTGTTGGTTGGGGGATTTTGTTACTGTTGGGTACCGTTTCCAGAATTCATTCAAAGCTAAACTAACCTACTGCTAGCTTCATATTCAAAATACATGTGGTATCAATCTTCTCTTCTAATTCTCACCAAGAAAGAAGAACTGATGCTTTCAATGTAGTGACATTTTTACAATACATGTAGCAACATGTAAAGTGTAATAACATGTGCAGTGTGTGTGTGTGTGTGTGTGTGTGTGTGTGTGTGTGTGTGTTTGTGTAGATACCTGGGCAGCCTGTGGCAGCTCCCCCCAGGTCCACAACATCTCTGGGTTGTCTTTGTTCTGATTGGTTAGCTCTGAGTCGCTCTTCGGTGTTGATGGCCGTGAATCGTCAAGGCTGCTGGGAAAGTGACAGACAATCAGTTTGTGCTCTATATTTAAACAGATAAAGTACTTTTAACATACTTAATAAACTTCAAAATACTAGAATGAAATACAATATTTGTATTTCTGTTTCCTGCAAACTGTGTGCTTTTCCTTCATCAGTGCAGTATTTCATTTCCAGCATTCAGAAAGGGTTGAATTGAAGGTGATACCTAACAGCGGAAGAGAAGTGAGAGATCTGCTGAGGACAGGAGATGGACAGACCACAGGGGGGAGGGATAGAGAGAGTCTCCTTAAACACATTGCTACAGCAAGATAAAAAAAGACAGAAAAAGACAGACAAAAACAGAAAAACAGAGAAAAACAGAAAAAGGAGACAAAAATAGGGAAAGAGGGAGAGACAATGAATCATGATTATTATCTACTCGTTGTGAGCATACAAAAGATGCTTAGAACAACATGAACAGGACAAAAGAACTAAATAGAGATAACTAGAAACTTGAATAAAAATGAAGATAGGTTCATAAAAGTACCTCTGTGAACGGGTCCAATCAGTGCCGGGGCGTGTGCGAGTGTTGGCTGCAGACCCCTGATCACCATACACAGGTCTGATCACAAACACACATATAGAGGGAGAAGTCAGTCGTATACACATACATTATTTCACAACGTATGCACACACCTTCAATAAAATATCTATAAAAAATTGTGTTTAGTGATTTGTTTATGCTCATAAAAATGGCCTGAAACTCATCAAAACACCAATAATAGTCTAACATCCTTACTTTGAACTTTTGCAGCCTGTTTGACTGTAACCACAAACCAGCCTAAAACTTGCATATCAACTACAGTATTAAGTGTGACATGAGGCAGACACACATTCTTTTGTGTCTTTATGGGTTTCAGGAATTTTCCCGCCATGCTGTGTGCCAAACTTCGTAAAAACAAGCTTGGAACCCCTGCAGTAAGGATGCACTGAGAGCCATTATTTCAAAGAGACAGAGAACACTGTGGGAACAGGACAAATCCCTGGAGCACGTCCCAATAACAGCAGAGCTGGTTTCAAAGGGTTTCAAACACACATACGTAAACACAAACATGCACACACATGCAGGCTCTTACATGCTCATCTCACTTAATTGTTCCTAAGCATTTAATTTGAACCACTGACATGGTTTTACTGAAGCAGCGTCTTCCTAGTAATGGCTTACTACACAAACACACAATTGTCTGCCAAAGTAATACAATTTTGGTTATTTCACATGAAATGCCTAGATTTATATTTTTTCCTCTGGGTTCAGTAGGAGAAAGCTGATGTCAAGTATTTTGCACAAATTGGGATTTAGCAGCCGTTGAATCAGAATCTGATGAAAGTTGGTGGCTTGTTGGTAACTGTCAATCAAATCTGAACACCCACACAGTCCTGGTGAAGTAGGTTGGCTGAGATTTTGAGGATGAAACTATTAATAAATAATACCAACAGATGTTTTCTTTTTAATCTTTTTTTAAATGGTACAGAGAAATAATTACGATTTAAAGGCAAGTTTTAAGAGACACAGACATTTGATTCATATGATCAATCAAAAGTACAAATACTACCAAGACTACGAGTCTACAGCCATGCTAGTGGCTCTCTGAGGCTGTAGCCTACTTTGGCACAGGATGGCTTTGGACTAAATGATAAATTCAGCTCACTAACAATAATAAAGACAATGCAAACATACTATTATATAGCAGGTATATTGTTTCACCATTTCAGCATGTTAGCATACGATTTTTTGGTAATTAACAAAAAGACATGGCAATCCCAACAAATAGTTGTTGAGACACTTCAGCCTGTGAAGTAGAAAGTAAAGTAGACCAGTGTGGTTGACATGCCATCCATGGAGCCACCCTGCTAGTGCAGCTAAAATTGACATATTCCAGTTGGAGCATTAACAGAATGTCCTGAGCGGGAAAGAAAAAACGTTGCATGGCTTTTTTGTATTCTTTTCTTCTGATTCATTTGGTGCAAATGCACGAGCCCTTTTGTAGACAGCCGGAACCACAACTTACACAGTCATGCATAAAAAACACATACACACATACAGAGTGTCTCAATGCTTAACACAATTAGAGGAGTTATTGGCAGTAATTAATCTGTTCACAAACAACATTGTGACTGCTAATGAGGGTTGTTTACCACTGCAACAGAACAGACTGACTGGCATTTAATAATCTCTCTCTCTCTAACTCTCGCTCTTTCTCTCTCGCTCTCTCTCTCTCTCTCTCTCTCTCACACACACACACACTCTCTCTCTCTCTCTCTCTCTCTCTCTCTGTCTCTCTCTCTATCTCGAGCGGCTCAGAAACACTGGAAATACTAAGTTATCACTAGAAGAATGTTCAAATTGAAACACACACACACACACACCATGTGAAAACATTTATCATGTACACACACACACCTGCTGCCGTCACCCTCTCTCTCCTCATCTGAACTCAAGTCAATAGTAAACATGTCCTCGTCCTCCGAGAACTCTTCCCCGCTCTCCTCTCTCCTCCCTCCTCCTCCTCCTGCCTCTGGCCGTGCCTTCCTCCTTCTTTTCCTCCTCTTCTTGGTCATCCCGCCATCACTTTGCTGCGGTCCCAGGCTTTGGACGGGAACTGAGCTACAGGGGATGGTGTCTATGTGATGAGAGAGAGTAGCATGAAAGCTGTTCAAAAGCACACGCTCATTTTCACAAATTCCAAAATGTCTTTTTTTAACAGGGCCTACCATGGTGACGAGAGCTCCCCCTGCCCAGCTGGGACTCCATTAACTCCGCACCCGTTGATATGATCGGTGATGTTGCAAGGTGGGACGGAACAATTTCCTGTCAACAGAGGACATGATCATATGAGCTCACTGATATAATCAACTTCCTACTGAAATGAACAGTATTCGATGTAAACTAAATTAAAAATGTGGGAAAGTGAATGCAAAGATAAAGTGACATAAGAGTCTGCAGCCATGCTCTGTCAAGCGGTGCTTTGAGCTAAATGCTAATGTTAGCAGGGCAACATACTTATAATGACAATTTAACATATGTTTATCAGGCATAATGTTTACCATGTTTACTATCTTTGTTTAGCATCTTAGCATGTTCACATTTGCTAATTAGCTCTAAACACAAAGTACAACTGAGGCTGATGGGAATGTCGTTAGTTTAGCAGGTGTTTGATCATAAATTGGACAAATTCAAATTTAGATCTGATGATGGGGCTGAAAAGTTAAAGAATCACCAAAGTGATTACAATTCATCCAGACACAAATCTGTGTACGACATGAGACATTTCACCTTAAACCATAAATGAGAATGTGCTGATGCCAACAGATATTTCCATCAGAGCCACTGGCTTGGTTAAAATAAGGATATGCATATAGCCTGCTGTATGTGTTATATCCATCAACAGAATATACAGGTTATACCACAGAAACACAGTAGTGTGGAGTCCAACTGAGTGTTGCTGATTGGTGAGACAGATATGCTGTTTTTCTCCATGTGGACCTACATAATCTGATGGGAAACTGGGTTTGAGCTCAGATTAGCAAAATCACACAGATTTGCTTATAACAGTCTCACTACAATGACTATGCCAGAAAGAGAATTAGAGACACACCCAGACCGAGAGAGAAAGAGAGAGAGAGAAAGATAAAGAGATGATCTGAACAGATTCACACGTGCTTTGCAGTGCACGTGTCATACCAAAGTCCAACCCAGCCCAATTCATTTTGATGGGAGAGGAAAAGGGACAGTGGTCAGGATGTTCACTGCCAGGCTCCTTCTGCTCAGAGCTGGCTGGAAACATCCATCCCAAAACCACTTTTAAATTATTTAAATGTGTCTGGATGTTTCATTCTCAGTCTATTAACATAACTGTTTATATCAAAGCTAGACATGTTATTTCTGTGAATAAGAATTTCTGAAAAAATAAAAATAAAAGTGACATATCAATTCTGTTTTCAGGTGGATTATCTTTTCAGACAAACCCACACAGCCCAGCAACAATACAGCATTTGTTTATAGGCCTACACTGCAAATAGTGTATGATGGAATAACTGAGATAATTCGATTTCGCACAGCATTTTGAATTCCTTGGATTAGTCACACCGAAATTAAAGTTGGTTATACAGCACAATTGATGAGCTACACATTAAGTCACACTTAATTTTTTTGTTTTCACCTGTAAGGCACTTTAACATGACCAGTGTAACAACGTGAATTAGGCCATGTGTTTTGCAATGTTCTAGCCTGAAGATTAATTTCTGCTGCCACGTTTGGTTAATTTTTTTTATATGTGAGATCTATTTGCAAATACACAAGCCCCAACAAATCCTCAAATGTAACTTTACACCCTCGGGAACAGTGGGTGAGAGAGTAAAGAGGGGGGTTGGCTGGGAGCGACATAGTAGACTGGGCTCGATGCCAAATAGTTCCGTAAAAATGTTGTTGATCTTTTTCCATTCAGATCGGAGAGATGATAAATTAGACCATTACTGAAAGACAGAACAAAGACACTGCACACAAATCATTTGAAACTGAAATAATCCTCAAGCGGCCTTATCCAACAGTACGTATTCTGTGTGTGTTTATCTGTCTGGACTTACTGCATACTTCTCTTTACTACTGTACAGTATACAATGCATGTGATGTCTGCCTATCTGTGCTCCTGTGTGTCTTGTTAGTCCTGCTCCTCTTTCACTATCTATCTCCTCATCAGTTTGGACAGTGCACGGATCAGTGACAGCCAGTTTCTGAGTGCAGTCTGTGTGCACCCAACTGCACATGAAGGTGAATTTGGCAGAGCTATAAATAGCCCTCTGGTGGTTTTCCACTCTGCGGAGTTATGTCAAGGAGAGGATTTGACAAAAAGTCCCAAACACTATGTTAGACATGGTCAAAGAAAAATTGCAAGTAATTCTCAGTGTTCGAATTTGAAAAAGCTTCTAAGGTATTATTTGTTTTCCTATCCATTAAGGGCTGAGGCATTACAATATTTTTGTAGGACCCACTCTGAAGAGCACCTATGGCACCTACTGATGGACTGACTAAGTTGGAGAAAGGCTCCCAATCTTTAACTGAGACACTAAGTAATGAAAGGAGAATTAAACCAAAGTAATCCTTCAGATCAGGAATTAGAGCTTCACAGATTTATGACATATTGCTTTTAATTCCTGACTGGGAAACGCTGCCAAGAGTGCTTCCCCTCAACCAACCCACCACTGACCACCCCCAACTTCCCATGAACCCTTGCCTATCACTTTACAGATGTGGGTGTCAAAACACAAGGAAATGTTCCCAGGTCAGATTATTTTCTGCTACATTTACATTTGTGTTGCACATTCTTCCTAGAACATGATGATAGTGTGGATACATGAAAAGCAGTTCAGCTGGCTCTTTAGTTTTGAACAGTTCCATAAAATGAGTAAAACAATACAGAGAAAAACAGTGGCCAAAGGATATTTGTCAAGTGGTCTTTTTCGTAATCTTAACCAACACACAATTCACATTAAAAATCCCAAGAAAAACATTTATTCCATGACATCTGTTTCACTCCCTGACGACGGCTTGATCCAAAATGCGCCAGAGTTTGATTTAAGGTTTGACATGATCATACCATTACAATGAAGTAATTTTAATTCAAGAGTTTTCTTGTTATTCTAATGACTACATGTATCCCTATCCAAAGAGCGCCTCAATCAAACTCAATTAGAGTCCAGGAAAAAGTCCTGTTTACATTGTCAGTGACATTGTCACATTGTCACAGGACTCCAGAATGAAGCCCTGGGATGAGTGATACCAGCTTGACACATTACTTGAGTTCAATATGACGTTGTGTCTACACTGCAACTTTGTAATACATATTAATATGCTCCTTCTGTCCTTTCTGCTCTGCAGTTTTCTGGGTGCACATCTAGCACATACAGTAACTCATGTGGAGGATGTTTTATTCAAAGTGTCTCACGGTGCCATAAGGGCATACATTTGTACTTTGTGAATCCCTATTTAGGACTGAGCCCTGAACTTTGGTGCTGATACGAGCAGCGTAAAAGTCACATGCACATGACTATCTGTTGATGTATGATGTCAGTCCTGATGGTTTATTTCCAGGAAACTTCAGGTCATGCTGGCCAACAGGATGCCACAAGGGGACAGAAGCTTTTGTTCCTTCTTGTTGTTCAGCTTATATTTCAGCTAATATGCTACAGACTGTATCTGCTTTTCAGACCAGCAGATTGTTTTCCACTCAAAATAGATGGATGTCTTTGTCCATGTGTCATGTGGCTGGTAAGGTCATCCATCATTCTGTCAGTATCCATGTTTACATATTCATATTCTTGTGTTTCTTTCTGTTTTGAGGTAGAATAGAGTCTGTATAATAAATAAGGCCTATTTGGCAGCTTTACAGGGGGTATTTTCAAACTAACAACTGCCTTTGACTGGAAAAAAAATCTGGTTGTGCAGAAAAACAGTTGGTTCTAGCACTGTATTTTGCTGTAATGTCATCTGGCAACACAGTGCATCGGGCAGTTAAGTACACGCAGAATACACTGCCTTCTGGCATCTTGGTGGAATAAAATATTAGTGCTGCCATGACTTAACTTTCTAGGGTTGTAAAATCCAGCCTCAAAGCAGTATAAACAGCTGTGTGGCGTATCTTTGACAAGCTTTCAAACTTGACTACTTCATATCTCCTCCGGGATGAGGAGACTAGACATCTGCCTGATGATTAAAATGACGACATGTTTGCAGAGCCATTAGTAGGTGGTGAAATCAGTCAGAACTATCACAATGCAAAAGGCCAGTCCAATTTAAGCCCTGCCTGTATTTTAGTTCTGACTGAACAATTTGACTTCTGTGTCAGTAAGTTATGTTCCGTCCTATATTTGTGTGTGTTTACTGACTCAGGTTAACGACTCTGTTGATCATTACTCACCAGTGTGTTCTCAGTCTCTTTGACAAAGAATGCCTCTCCATTCTCTCCCAGCTTCATGTGCAAACTCACTGGCTCTCCATTAATCTCTATGTCCACCTATACAACACAAAAAAGAGTCATGTTTTAAACCTCATTAGCATTAATAAAACAACCTTGATATGTGGTTTTGTGTCGACATATTCATAAACTTTTAGTTTCATCTATCTCACCCAACCAATAACAACTACTGTAAGCCTCTTCTTGTATTTTTCTTTTATTTTTGTGTGTGATCTGTCACCTTTAAACTGCAAACTATTATCGGAATATAAGTGTCAGTGACAGCCTCTAAGCTCTCAAATAGCATGTTCACAAAATGACATACTGTGCATACAAATGAAAAAGCAGCCAATAATCTTACCACTTTCTCACGGGACCGCAGCACACCCATCTTGCCGAAGCGGACGTGGAAGGGGGAGCACTGCAGGGAGCCATCAGGCTGCTGCACCACGATGACATCTATACATCCAGACAGTGTTGCAGGGTTGAGTCCCCTGTACAGCTCCTTGACCTGCACAAACACCTGGCCCGCCAACTGACCCACATAGTTCATGGTCTGTAACTGGAGACAGAAAGGGAAGGAAAGAGAAAGGGTGAGTTTTTGTTGATTTCTCTCCCTGCAAAGATGTCTCTTATTCTTCTCTTCATTTGTAAACATATGCAGAGCATCACACTCTGGCAGGATGAATGAACTTTAATGGACTTATTGGCTGTCTGGGATCGAACTCTTGACAGAGATCTTTTGTGTAACCAAGGCCATCCTGCCACATTAAAATACATTATTGATCCACTGAGGTCCAATTACTGCCTACACAGGCCATGCAGTGAAACCATGAATAATGAGAATTTGTGGTATGTGGATGTGAAAATATTCTGCTTTCTGTTGTCTATTGAAAACAAAAATCAGAATAGAAAAACTCAAAAGTGCCTTTTCCTCTCTGTAATGCAAATACACTCCATCAGGGGCAAGAGTAATCATGTGGTGCTGTGCCAGTCTCTCTGATCCACAGCCTCTAATGCTCTCTGTCTTGAATGCCAAACATGGCCCCAGAAAGAGACACAAAAAGGGAAATGCATTCACTGGGCTGCGAGACGGGTGGTTGTTGATGGGGGGGGCAGAAAGAGAAAAGAGTATTCAACATCCAGGAGAAATCAATGGTATTGTTTAAAATACTTCTTAATAGATAAGTTGATATTTCATGCTTTCATACAAATACTTAAATGCAGGAAGACTATGAGACTGCTTCTGGTTAATGTTGTAAGTTAGACTATGTTGGACTTCACAGCCATGCTGCCTTATTCTTGGGTGGAACTGCAGGTACGACGTGACATGGTAAATAGATATTTTTATAGAGGACATTGCAAAATGTCTGAAGCATTTTTCCATCTGTTGCAACAGAATTAATTATGTATTTCTAAAATAAATGTATTTAAAATAAAGAAAGAAACAAGGTGACGGAGGACTCTTGAGAAATGGATGATGTTAGTTAATGTTAAGAGGAAACTGGGGAGAGATAAATAAAAACAAAATGAGTATGGTGAAGAGAGAGCTTTAGTCTGCGACACATTTTTCATTGCAAAAAGTTAAATGAATGAATGAATGCACACACACACACATAAACACATAAACACATGCACACATATGTGAGATCATTGTCTCTATAACAAACTCTTCCTTAAAAATCTCCACTTGCCACCTGCTTGTGCTGACTCAGATACTGGCATCCTCTCTCTCTCTGTCTCCACACACACACACACACACACACACACACACACACACACACACACACATACCCACACACACATTGTTACAGCGTGCCTACGGAACAGATGGCTCAATATTTTGGCAGACAATGTAAGAACATTCTAATGACATGGATGATTTGTTAACACCCATCAATTACTGTGAATCACAGACTGTGGCTCTTCTGCTCTAATGACCAAACATTATTCTGTTGTATATCAGGCCCATGTGAGACGATCACCACAGTCTTGTTATAACCTGCCCAATACAGCTATAAAAACTACAACTCTGTTATTAAACCAATGGATACAATGTGTACAGACTGAGCCTTGTGGTACCCCAGCTGCTTAATTCACATCAAATTAAATAAAATCCACTTCCATTATTTAGGAGTGGCAACACACCTTAAAATCTGGGCAAATAAAAGCAAAACTACCTGCATGGGTAGTGAGTGAAAATATGTTTTGTTTGTCATTAAGGGTGAATTGACCCTTTATGTAATCTGTTGGTGTGACTTATTGCTCAATAAACTGGGAGTGGGACTGTTTGACAGTGATTACACAATCATTTGACCCCTTTGTCTCCCTTGTGCCTTTATTTTCTGTTTCTCACAAAACACTCACATGGACATGCGCTCATTCATGGACATGCCACAGACCTGATATCACTGTCAACATAAACCACGTGCAAACAGTTCGGACCATTCATACATACACACACACACACACACACACACACACACACACACACACACACACACATACACATAGATGCACGAACACACACACACAGGCACAGACACACCAAGTTCACTCTTCCAGGAAATCTCCGTTTAACAGCCAATCACAATGCGTCCCCATTATGTAACAGCCAATCACGAGACAGTTCAGAGGGTCATTCAGTGTCATTCAATGCAACTGCTGTATTATTTTACTAAACAAAACATTAAAGGAACCTTTCTCTGAATAACTCATTTTATTTCAGATTCTGGTTAATAGTCTGTAACCTCAAACCCCACAGAGGGTTCTTTGTTCAAAGTTAAAGCTAATATAAAACTTCACTCTCACTCCTGCCAGCCACAAGACAGTGACATGACAGTGAAAATACCCAATTTAAACATAGAGAGGCAGACAGAGGTGACAGAGAGGCTGAGGGATTTGCAGACAGATGATGATGTGAAGGATTATCCAATTAAATCAATTTAAAGTGACTGGAGCAGCAGTCTGACACTCCAGGATTACTGACTGTTACAACTCACCAAGGACATACTGAGATCACTGTATTTCTATATGGTATATGATGTTTAGAATATAATTTGATATCATATGATATATATATATATATATATATATATATATATATATATATATATATAGAAATCATATAATGATATGACCTTACTCTATAAATAGGAAATCTATAAATAAATGGAATTTTTGTTGCATGAAAACATTGGTGTTGAATAACAAACGAGACAGAATGAAACATCAACATGAGCTCGATCATTTGATCGTAGTATCATGAGTGGCCTGCGAGGCGACATGTAAACATCTGCACACGGGGTGAGGCGGGTGAGGCTCCGCAGTGTGCACCGCAGCTCTCCCTTCATTCAAACAGCCGCACATTATAAAACGCACAACAAACAAACAAGCGTGAATGCAGTCGTTCAGCCTCATAAGCCACTGAGTAAATACTGAATTAATAGGCAGATAGGATATTTAATATTCCCCTAACAGAAGCTTACTGTAGCACAGTCAGACCAGCAACTCACATTATTTATTGATGTCGTTCTTCGTTCTGGGATCTTTCCGCCATCCAAATCTTCCACCGAGCGCTCAGTGTGTACAGTTTCACTCCACTACGTCCTCAAATGACATTGCCGGAACGATTTCCTAGCGTCTGATCTCAGATCTTGGGCTCGAGGCTGTCTCGCTATTTAAACCGCAGTTAAAATATTCCTCCCCCTCCTCCGCCGGACTGCAGATGAACAGCGACCCGATTGGCTGAGCCGCCGCTGACGTCACGCAATGTTTACTGAAACTTTCCCTCTTAAAGTCAGTTTTATTTATGGTTTTTGTCTAAGCGTGATTTTATCCTGTTTCTGTATTGTTTTCTGTTACTTCAACTGATGTTAAGCTAACAGGCCGCTGTGATCCACTATAAAGGATTTATAAGTTGTAATTAATGGCTTTATTGTTGGTTAATGGTTAATAAACACTACCTTTTGGTTTGCCATGTTATTTTCATCCAGACACTTGATTTGTTGTTCAAGCTTTAATGAATCAGAAAGATCCCTCCCATGGACTGTTTGACCTATGACCTTCTGGAAAAGAGCTGCAGGGCATCTGGACTCAAATTTAGGCTATTTACTAACAATGTATTAAAGTTTACAACTGCAGACTTGGACTAATATGAATCCCTTATTTATGATTTAAAATGCTTTGAAATTTTAACATTTCCAATTTTAAACTGTGAGCAGAATAGTAAAGAACACATCCAGCAAATAGTAGCAGTGTTCATAAGACAAATTAACAATCTTGCCCATGTAGAACACAGCATATGTTTGTGCATACATTTCTCCCTGTGTGTAACTGAGAGAGGAGCAACAGTAAACACGATCTTGTTCTTATTCTGAAGAAATACAGTATGTTGAGCAGAGGAGACAAGAATAGCAGTGACATTCAGAACTCAAAGGCATCTGTAGTTGTGCAATGTACTGACTGTGTCTCAGTTTTCAAAATGTACATCTACCCACAAGCCCTGACACATCGAGGCCAGAGCAAGATATTGTTGGCATGTTCATTATCCTTATTTTGCTTTGATTCCCAAATGGTGGACTTCACTTTAGTAAATTAAGAATGTAATGCTTATATGGTTTTTAACTAAACATAGCTTACCGTAAAACGTCTAATAATAGCCTGGGCGTTTTCTGCTTAAATCACTGAACTCTCCCTGGCCGGTAAATCTGAATGAAATATACTTTAATGCTCATAGTTTCTGTAAAATGAACCAAACAACTGAATTGTGGAGAATTGAATTGATCTAACGACGTGTAGCATCCACATTGACAAAAGTTTAAACATTTATATTTGTGTAGGCGATCTAAGCAGCTTAAAACTTGCTCAAGAGATTTTATACATCCAGATCATTTCTATAAAATCCAGACCAGGCCTTTAATTGAGACCTGTCTTTATTTGTTAAAACGTGTAGCCACACCAGGCTTGTTAAGAGACCTGCATCTATTTGGGACCTAGCTATGGGAGCTAATTGGAAGTTTTATGGGATATCTCTCTCTCCTTAGAACTTCTTCGACACTCGTATATTTGTATCTCTGTATACATTTCTCTTTTAAATAGATGATGGCGTTTTTGGGACCTCCAGTCCTTTTTAAGATCAACAATCATAATGCTATAAAATGATATAAAATGTTAAGTTAAGTATGATGTGAAATATTTTCAGAATATTGCACTTTCTTGTGGTATTTGAGTGGCCCTCCTATGAGATTACAATACTAGCAGTTACCCCAAGCCAATTTGAGTTTGAGACCCGTGAGCTATGCTAACTAGCTGCTGGCTTCAGCTTTAGCTTGAAATGACTATCAATCTTAACCTTTGGCAAGAATTAAAGCTCTAAAGAATTAAAACTTTTAAACGACTCCTTTAAGAAGGAAATATCAAAGGTTAAAACAACAGACATGTCATTCGACACATTCTGACATCTAATGATAGCAAGTAATAAAACTTGCAATGTAAGTATTTAGCATGCCACGTGTAATGTCCACACATCCAAACATTCCTATTATAAAAAAAACATGTGCTGCGTATTAAGGTACCAGTTTGCAACATGTAGAGCACTCCTGACACATGTACACATTTATATAGAAGACTGCAGACTAACAGAGATACAAGCACAGTGACAGTAAACAATACAATATCATGACAATGTGTCTGTGTGAGAAAGATACAGACACAGACAGACAAGTTGGCCAAACAGAGTGCAGCCGAGTATGATGGTGACACGGTTGAATCAGATTAATCAGAGCAAAATGACTAATGGCATCAGTTTTATGCTGGCAACAGACAAACACTTTCAGACAGGCTCAGATCTGCTCGAATGAACATGCAAATGTTGACACACAACACGCAGGGTTGCAAACCAGATTTCCTTCAGGATAACAATAAAGTTACAGTTCTAAACATTGCTGCTGCACAAACAAACACAAGTGATTTAGTTCCACTTGACAGAAAATTACATCAAACGATACCATTTTTAGTGTTTTTCTTAACTGTTAATATACGTTCCTGACTCTGTAATCAGATTATAGTAAGGTTATATAAGGTGCTATTCTCTGACCTCAGATTTGAGTCTGGACACAGAGTTTTCACTTTAGAAAAACAAACACAAAAGTCTCCCCTGGCTGAGTCTCATGGCTTCTGTTGATGTTGCTCAATGATTCTAAGAAGAAGTCCCCCTGAGTTACACTCACATCCAACTATTCCCACCTCTGTGTGTTACTCTAGACCTTTTTTAGAGGGAGGGGTAGTAATACAACACAGACACACAGTAACTTTCTCAACATGTGAGCACTGAAAGGAGAAGTAAATGGAACATCTCTTGAGGAATGTGGGTTTTGAGAAACCCCAGTCACAACATGCAATACAGTTCATGACTCTCTGGATCAATTTCAGCTGTCAATCAATATATACACACATATTTGCAATGTATCACTGTTGAACATGTGATTATTCCCTTTGTCACGGTCACTGATGGACACACACAAAGATATCAGCGCCAGGCGGCCGGAGAAGGAACAAGGAAACACGTGTTGGGTTTTCTAAGAACTAGTTATTCATCAGAGAGCAAAGAGTGGCCAACTGGAGGGGGGGGGAGGGGAGAGGAAGGGGAGAGGCGAGAGACAGAGAAAATATAGAGGAGAGTAGGATAGGGAATGTGCAGAATGTTGAAGTTTGTGTGGATATGGATGAGTGACAGAGAGGAGGTTGTAGCTGTGACAGTGGAGAAAAACTGGTTCATTTACACAAATTATGTTTTACAGTAAACACACACTTGTAATGTAATATCTATATTCAAAGTTAATGGATTTATAAATGCATTAGCAAAATAATATTTTATATTCCATTATAATTATCTCTTTATTTTGTCCCCTGCTTCATTATTTTCATTTTATTTATTTTTTTAATATATCAATAACAAAATCCACCTACCAGCACATCTATCCAATTAAAACATTATATCTTAGTTCTACATTAACTTCTACCTTCTTCCTGGGCTAAATCTCATTACATTTTTAGTGCGTCACAATGGTAAAAGTGTAGTAATGAGACTGTAAACACTGACACATACAAGCCTTGACTTCTGGGTGATTTCAGGAATTTCATTAATTCATCATTCCAGTACGTGTGAGGCCATGTGCTTTGCTTGTTTATGTGGGTGGGCTCTTTGTATGCATGAACTAAGTGTTTATGTGTGCATGTATATATGTATGTGTCTGTTTAGGATATGTCTGTGTGTGTTCTGGCTGATATGCTCTCTATTGCCCTGCAGTGTTACCTCATGTTGGACACGTGAGAGGGGGACAGAGGAAGGAAGACGGTGGTTTGCTAGGACAGGGGTAGCCTGATCTCTCCCAGGAACTCTGTGAGGTCAAGAATGCATTCATTTCATCGCCACGGAGACGGGGTGTTATCGGGGGGATGGGCTGCACAAGCCAATCAGAAGACAGTTTGAGCCACACATTACAACTGAACTATACAACCCGCCCCCAATGTGGAGTCCTACCAGACATGCTCCAAGGCTTTAGAGAAATCTGTATAAGGACCACAAAGTCACAGCCCCCAGTACTGTTTTGACATGTCTGACATATGATGGAGCAAATATCTGCCTTACGATTAATTAATAAAAGAACACATTACCTACTTTTCACCTTTAGAGAGAAAAGCACATGCTGTTAGCGTGGCCACTGGAGAACAGATGAAATACATCATCTTATATAATGTGCAGTAGTTGCTACATTCCAAGGTTTATTAGCTTAATAAATGGTTTTCATTTTGTCTTCCGCACATAGACACTGTGTTATCTTTAGCAATATACAACAAGAAAGAAATTTCTTTAACGATTGAATTCAACAATCCACATAATTAGAGCATAAAATGCAAAAGTGTCTTCCTACAGACTCACATTGACTTATATTTAAAATCTGAGGTGTCATCAAACATATAACAATTTCAGATATTAATTGAAGGACATGAAGACCGTTTTACATATAGTTTAAGGTTTCACAAGGTTCATTAATGTTTGTATTTATTCTAAAAAGGTAGTAAAATGGACATGGGGAATATAAAGCAAGTAGACTTTCCCATCCAAACATCTTGAAATGAACTCATTAATTAACTTCAGTTAAAAATCAACTTCAGGCACATAATGTAAAGGAGGAAGAGGAAATGTGAAGCTCTCTGAGTCCAGAGAGGCCCCTGCATAATGGAACTATTATGTAATAGCTTCACTAGCTGTGGTGTAATATGCCTTTATAAGTAGCTATGTGGGCTTGAGGTCATGTGAGAAGATATGAGCTGTTGATCTAGCACATGGTTATACCACCCACAAACACAGTTGAAAGAGCAGAACCAGCATACACACTGAGAACTGGCTGTACAACAAAGGGACACAAACAAAGACACACATGTTCACACTTCTGTTTCTCACAGATACAAACACACACACACACAGAATGATAATGTTATTTGACCACAGTGTTTTTAAGGACACTGTTAAGGACAAGTGCTTAGAGACCTTTTATGACGCAATATAGGATAGTAATGCCTATAGCAAAATATGGATTGGTAGAGAGAATAGATATGAAAGATAGGAGTGTAATTGCTTTTAAATGATTGCTTTCCTTAATTGATGCAGTCTTTGTCTAAAGGTTTTCTTAAATATTAATTTAAACAATAAACCCTTGATATAATACTTCAGATATAATAATAATCTGAAGTACAAGACACAGCTCAGAACAATGGCAGTTTTAATAACACTGTTTTTATCTTTACCTATATTTCTCTGCTTAACTCATTTATACAAAACATACACTATGAATATAGTTTGGTTACCAAGGACCAGCTGTCATTGGGGTTGTCATCCTCACTGTAGCTGCTGAAGTCTCGCTCTTGCTCTTCCATGTGGGTCATGGCTCCGCGTCCATGTCCGCACAATTCACAATTCTGAGCTCCTTTACAGACTCTGCAGTCTGTGTTGTGGAGAGAATCAGCCAGGATATCTGAAGCAATCCATGTAAGAAGTCCAGGCAGATATCTTCTGAAAGAGTTGCAGAAGTCACGCTGGAGAGAGGAGCTGCTCTGGCCTGTGAGATGTTTGATGTTTCAAAAATCTGCGTATTGGTTGTTGACTCTTTCTTGGGTCAGTTCTCTCTCAAATATTTAGTGTCCAACAATACTTCTCAACAGATGCAAGAGTGCCGTTTGAACTCTGTTTGAAGATCCTATTTGACTAATTTTGATTAAATTTCTTCAAGATCATGCAAAGCTCCTCTGGGTGGTTCTGGAAGAGTCCTTTGACTCTTATATCTGTGGGACTGTTTGAGTTGGTGGTTGCTGCTTGTGCGACATGCAGTGAGTGTTTTGGACTAAATTTATCAACAAGTGTGTTCTGGGAAAGGACTACTTGGAGGAAATCTGAGAGGGTCCAGAGTTGCTGGGCACTACCGCGTGACGCCACAATCTCCACACAAACACAGTCCGGATACTTTGTGGACTTGTGCCAACTGATGACATATGCCAGCAACATTATGAATTACACATCGAATAAGTTTTTCTGGTGGTGTTTTCCTTCAAAACATTAAAAGAAACTATGTATGTCCTTTGTGTTTCTGTTTTTATTGTGTGTAAAGCACTCAATTTGCCTTAAAAAACTTTTTCTGAAGCACCCAGACACCAGTGAACTTCCACATGAGGACGAAGGGGGCATCTGAGGGCAGCCAGTCATTAAAGGGTAAAGTTTGCCACTTGAATCTCTGTTTGTAATATTGAACTTTAGAGGCTCTGTTTGCAGTCTCAAATTTCTCCTGAACACGGGCACTACAGGACACAGCTCTGCCAGACAAGCACAATATCCTTTTTGGATATCTGGGTCTGTTTCAGCCAGGCTGCCTTTTACAGTGTAGATTCAAGCACTTCTGGCAATGTAGAGAATATGAGAATGTGTTTTATGCACGTCACAAAAGGTTACGCAAACTATACTTGGCAATTCAAGTTAGATAAATACGAGCTATTTTAGTAAGATTGGTCATCAGTCATATAATATTACGTCGAGCATAGATTAACTTTGTTTCTGCTGTGCTTCAGTGATAGACAGTAACAGAAAGTGTGCAAACAGAAGGCAATACAAACACACACACAAAAGAAATGTAAAATATCTGTACATTTATACAATTGAAGGCATACCAAAGTGTACATTATAAAATGCTGCTAACACTTGGTGGATTTGTGTTTCTTCAGCAGTTACAAATAAAATCCTCATGCAGTCTATGGAGCATAAAGCATAACAAATGTTCTACATACAAACAGAGTACTTGTACACACAGTTAATAAGTACTTTTTTTTTACATACTGCAAATCTGACAAAATATATTCAAAATATTTCATATGGAAAAACAAACCTCTACTTTTAAAATGTCCCAATAAAAATGTTTGTTGCCAAACATCGGCTACCATTGCACACAAGTTATTGTGTTTACCCTTTTTAAAAAGCTTCTCATATTGTGTGCACCTGCAAGCAAGTGTGCAGAAGACTGTGATATTGCAATAAAAACTTGAACACAGCTAAACCTGCAAATATACATGAAGAGATACAAAAGCAGCACCAGCAGTTTTAGTGTAGTGAGAAAATAATCCATTAAATTTCATCTTTCACCTCCAAATATACTGTACATGAAGATACTGTATTTATCAAGAGGTGTTTTTTATCACTGTGATACTCTTAAATTGGTATGTTTTAGGAAAAAGTCAGTTCTAGTGGATCAGAAAAATGTAAACAATGTAAACAAACTGGTGTTTCCTGAACAATATTTCGCTATCTCACGGGATAACCACGACTCAATAAAGGCCACACAAAAAATACATTTCTCAAAATTATTTTCCTCTTGTTTCCTTGGCCAGAACACATTAAATATTTTCAAAGATCATGACCTTTACCAGATGAATGTGTCCGTCTTGATGTTGGCAGGCTAGAACTGGAGCTCCCCTCCAAATCCTATTTGTGAGTGTGTGTGCAGTGATGTAATGATCAATGTTTCATATTCAATACCCATTCCACCGGGTATGGGTAATATGCATCTAACATGCAGTCTACTGTCTTTTGCATAACTTGCACTGTCCATTCAGAGTCTATGTTACGTACTGTCATGTCATAAAAAACACTATGGTACATTTCCTCTCTTTGGCACTTACAGTGAATTCAAATCTGACTGTAACTTTGTAGCCCACTGTATACCTGTGTTTCAACTATATGTGTTTTCCAGTCAGAAAGAAGAGTGGTCGGTCCTCCTTGGCGTTGGCAGTCTGGAATTCGTCGCTGAGCCTGAACCTCCATTCCTCCTCGAGCTCCAGCCTGCCCACCGTCTGCCTCAAGGAGCTACGATCTGCACTGATGACACACAGAGTCGCACCTACAGGGAGGCAGACAGGAGGGAGAAGGATAGAGACTTTAACTATGACATGGAATGCTTCTTCTTCCCGTGTGGTAATATTTTATTTTTGTTACAAAAATGCTACATGTTTCACATTTAGGCATTCAGAATTTGATCTAAGATGTAATGTATAGCTTGCTCTGTACGGTACTTTTACTCAAAAATATATAATTTCATATGTGCCACCTATAACACACAGGCCGATATATTTTTTCATTGTCTGCATGTGGTCTGCCTTTGTACCTTTGAGGAAAGAGAACTTCTTGAGGAACCCAGGAGTCACAAAGGAGTCGGCAAAACAGAGGAGAAGGCCACTGAACAGCAACCCGGCGGTGCTGATGTTGAAAGAGTGAGGCCTGGAACTCACAAAACACACCGTCACCTGCAGGATGCAAGAAGAGTGTGACTTTTAGATACTGTATGTTAGAATTTATTTGTATATGGCCCCTTCTGCTGTTCAGAGGTTAATAAGTTACGACAAACAAAGAGGCTGTGATTCTGTTTATCCATCTCTTTCTGTCTGTAACAAAGTCCATATCGAGATTTCCAACCATCTACATGCTTGTTGTGTGTGTGTGCTGTATACCTCAGGTCCCAGGTTGAGATAACAGTCCACAGACAGTACAGGATGTGTGTAGTTCTTTGTGCTGAGTGGAAACAGCTTCTGGCTGGTGTGTTGGAGGTATTTTTCTAGGAGGAGCTGAGCTGGTGTAGCCAAGAAAAGATGCTTGCTGTCTGGGGCACAGACGTACTGCGAGGGCCCCACTGAGGTGGGAACATCTGTCATCTGGAAAAATTTCAAATATTGTTTTTTAATAACTATTGTTAACATAAACCTTTGTACCTAAAATATCTTTAATTTACTGTCACATGCATTCATTATTCATAGCTATATTGATTGCTAGAAAGATGAAACCATATAAATCATAGAAGTGATGAACTGTTTTGGAAGCCTGGAGCTGAAAAAAGTCCATTAATTCTTGTATTACTCACATTTTATGTGGCATGCAACAATGTCATTTATTTGAACAATAATTTGTTTGTGAGGATAATAATTGAACCCGTTGTTGTTCCTAGCTGCAAAGGTGGCGTTATATATTGTGTAAATGACTATACAAGTAAAGTAATAATAATTTAATCAAATATTCTTTAAATCAGTTTCTTTATTCTGCTCATTGAGTAATATGAGATTGTGTTTTCATGTGCCTTCAACATCTACCTTGGTCTTGATAATAAATGTCCTGTATCCTCCTATGGCAATCTGCTTCTTCATGACGCTGAAGCTGTTAAACCGGCAGACGAGCAGTCCGGCACTATGTAGCCTCAGGGTTAGGTCCACATCGTGACAGGTGAAGCGGTTCTGGTCGTACTGGACATTCTGACTCCGGTCCACATTGAGGAGGAGGAAGTCATGAAGGTGACCTTTGGAGAAGGGTTCCTTCTGTTTATTACCTGCATGAAACAAAATTTATTGCAAATTTAAATTTATTTTAATTACCTTAGACTTAATTCTTCATTACATATATAATGTCAGCCTAAGCATTACATTTTGTTACAGGCTATGGGGGTTTGTTTAAAGATATGAGATATAGTTTGGATAATATCTGTAGTCTTTGAGGTTAAGACGTAAACACTGATGTGACGAAGACATAACAATCTGTATCTGCAGTTGAGATCTTAGGCATCTACAGAATACAGAATGACAGAAAGAACGCACATTGTTATTATCCAGTGCAGTCCAATACAACAGCCTTGCAATAGGTACTACCTCAGTGAAGCTTATATTATATATATATTATTATATTTTCACTCAGACTCTATGATCATTTTTGAGGAAGTAGTTGAGAAGTAGTGATATATTATACAATGTTATTGACATTATGTGCCATGAAAGGAAAATGTATTTTCTATTAATTTGCATAGTATTTACAAAGACTGACATGCAGTCAAAATGTTTCTTGACTTTTCAAGGCTTCTGACATTGTGACCCCCCTGACCTGTGAGTGCACGGCTGCTCCACTTCCTGATCCCGCACAGTCCGTAGTGGGCCAGTTCTGGACAGGCCTCCATATGCTGTAAGACCTGCTTCAGTGACACAGCATGCTCCACCGGACCACTAATGACAGCAAAAAGCAGTAGTTAGGTTAAACCCAATTCATAAAATGAAAAAACTAAGTTCTACTCCTAATTTGTCCTATACTTATTTGTATAAATAATATGTCTTTATGTACTTGCGTGCGTCCAGGTCCACTGTGTTCCACATAACACAGGAGTCATCAGCCAGGATGATGAAGGGCCAGACGTCACCTGCTGGGCCCCCACCCTCCAATCGCCGACTGCGTTCCAGCTCCAAGTTGTGATACGAAAGCTCTTTAATCAGGAAGTGAGCAGCACCTGCAAGACAATGGGGATCAGTTATTAAGGTGGTAGATTATGAAAAAACTGTTGACATTTCACTACTGTATGTGTCTGTGTGACTGATAGGAAGGAAGGAAGGAAGGAAGGAAGGAAGGAAGGAAGTAAGGAAGGAATGCCTACATACCTATTCCAGCTCCATTGAAGACAGTGGGCAGTACCAGCATGATGTGGTTGGGCCAGTACTTCTTATACACAGCCATCTCGTACTCTTTGACCACCAGGATATGTAGATGTGAGGCTCCATCCATAGCGTGGTATAGGTTAAACAGACCATGCTCATGACGGCCGGTGGTTGGGGTAAAGATTGGACTCTTGATGCAGTCTGGGCTCTGGCGAAGTGGAAGAAAAGAAGAAGAAAATTATATACTTGAAAGTATTTAATGTAATACCTTCATACATTTATACATTTCAACATGAGGAAGGGAAAAGTAATGAAGCAGCAGCAAGTCATTAATGGTAACACACATTTGAGCATTTGACTTTGAGTATTTAAAATTAGCTGCAACTATGATGACAATTCATCAAATTGTTGATTTTTTAATGAGAGAATCTGGGCCATGACCTGTAGGTTACAGCAGCAGTTTCAAAAATAAGATCTGGGGACCTCCGGGGGTCTACAAAGATACCGGATGCAGTAAGTGAACACCAGAGGAACGGTGATGATATGATCAGGTGTCTTGTGGCGCGTGTGCTGATCAGAGGAATATGATCAGGTGTCTTGTGGCGCGTGTGCTGATCAGAGGAATTTTTTTTGTGCTTTGATAAATGTACAAAATATGTTCTTAAACAGAAATCTGATGTGCACATATTTTTAAATGAAAATAAATAGGAACCACTGTGCTACAGTTATCCATTTACAATTTAAACCATAGTCTAGCCTGTAGCACCATCCAGTGGAGCTCAAGGATGTTGCACTGTGGGTCAACTCTGCAAATCACCACTTCAGTTCAACAGCAATGTGTTCTGGTATATGTGTTTGTGCCTAGGCAAGATTAACTCAAACAGAGACTCTGGTGAACAGCTAGTTCTTTTCTGGAATAACCAGCATAATCTGCTACTTTATTATGTTTCACTCTTTACATGAGCATTTGTAGTTCATTAAGGAAGGACTTACCCAGTCAGAGGTGAGAGGAAGCCGCATGCTCTCTAGCTGGCCTCCTGGTTGGCTGAAGCTAAAGTAATGCTCTTTAGACTTTGGGATGATGAAATAGAGCTGGATCTCTTCCCCAAGCAACAGATGGGTGAATGTGAAAGCATGCAGTGTTGACTCATACATCTATAAATTTAGAGGGGACATACAACATCAGCTATGACATTTACATTTCTATCGCAGTGTCATTCATCAGATTGTGTTTGTAGTGCTCTGGTGACCTGGTATCTGGGGTTGAAGCCCAAGTACTGATGACACTGTTCACAGTGGTGGTAGGTGTTGTAGGCCGCATATTTAGACAACTTGATCCGAGATGTTCGCCTACGTAGGTACACGTCCTCCTGGCGCACAGGGTTTCCTTGGAAAGACAACAGGGGTAAAGACAGATAAGGACACTTGCACAATATAAAGGTGACTTCTGAGGAAAGGTCTGGAATTGTTTTTTTATAAGCAAAACAAACATTTAGAGAATATATACTTGTAATTGTGTGTTAATATATTAATTTGTGTGTTTTTCTAACTGTGCCTACCCTCAGCACTGGGTTTATATCCAGGGCTATAAACAGAGCTGATGTCATCATATTTGGGGTCATGGATGGTGTAGTCAAAGGGCATCGTCTTCATAATGTCTGGGTTTGGCCAGGAAGCACTGGGTGGGTGGTACTGCACCCCCTCCACATGGGCACCTAAATACACAAGACATTCATATGAATTACATAAGAGTTAATGGCACGGTGAATATTGAAGATTAGAATCTATTTCTGACAAAATCCAAGATACAATCATATGATTTGAGCAGCAGTAATCGCAAAACATTGAAAACAGAAAAGGGTTTTGGAAAAAATAGAAAATGCACTAAGGTGTTTAAAAAGCCTAGACTCCGTGATTATCATAGTGCAGGGGGAAAACGGCAGCTGTTGCTGCACATATACACACTGTAGTTGATGTCTTCTTCATCATAGATATCCACCTCCATCAGCCTGATCAGCATCCGAGACAGAATACCCAGGAAGTGCAGGTACGCTTCTGTCTTACCCACCTGACCATGGAACAAAAAGTTGAAAGTCAATGTATATATACAGCATCGAGTTTGAAGAAGAGTAAGAAATTGAGACAAAGCACCTGTGGGGGTCCACTGAGCAGCAGCCTACGAGGGTGAAAGTTGTCACTTCGTCCTTCGGTGCAATTGCTGCTGTCCATGTGATAGGAGCGGGGGACCGTCCACTGGCGATAGTACAGTGACTGTTCTGTACATGTCATCATCTTACTCAGCAACGGCCTGCACACAAAATACATAGTTTAGAGTTATATTTCTATTTCTATTATATCTCTATACTTGTCATACTATATATAGATGTGTACAAAAAAACAATGTAAAAATTATATTGGTTTTACCTGAAGCTGCTTGCCCATGCGACAGACATGTGCGGCAGGAATGAAGTACACCGTGGAAGTCCGCTGCTGTCATTGGCTGTGATAATATCGTACAAGGCACGAGGTAGGAGCACAGAAGGCGGGCGACTCACTCCTCGCGCCCAGGAGCAGCTCAGGTGAGGAGAGGAGGCTTGTGGGGACAACGAGCCAGAGGAAGTTGATTTGGAGTGTTGGCGACGAGACTGGGCAGAGGGAAGCGGCTGAGGTTGAGGATACTGAAAAGACTGAGACGGGGGCTGGGGTTGAACTTGAGTCTGGGATTGTGAGGGAGATTGTATGGTGTCTGTAGTCCCTTTCTGGACATTTGGAGAGGTGGTGCTTTGGGTAGGGAAGGGATCTAAAGCTCCACTGTCTGGGCATGACTGGAGCTGCTGGCTGGATGACAGAGGGGAGTCCCCTGGAAATGGAAGAAGGAAACAGAGAGTAATAAGAAAATAATAAATTAGCCACCAAATCAGTGAACATTTCACACATTTTAAAAGATCAGCTCTTGTGCAACTCATCTCACCGTTCTCCTGTCCCTCCTCATCCTCATTGTCAGTACTGCTCAGTTTCTCTGCGTCACTCTCCAGCAGGTCACTTCCCGGTCCAGGGTTGTGTGGGGGTCGTGACTCTGCCCTCACTAGATAAGCAGCCAGTCCTAGCTCCTGTTCGAGAGTAGTGCGCTGAAGGTAGGAGCAGTTTATCACTCTAAGATCACAGTACTTCAGTGACCTGTGGGGAGAATAAATTCCGATTACTTTTGTTAAAGCTTCTGTGGCTTTCCTGCTTATTAAGTAGTAGATATTGATAATCTTATTATTCTTACACATCAAACCTATTTTCGCTTACAGGGTTGAGAACAAACTGTCAAGATTTTAGTTTACGCGTCAGGGAGTTAGGATCAGAACTCAGTGTGTGTACCTGGGCAGTGATTCTCCCAGTGGCTCAGCTCCTGACAGGATCAGGATGCAGGGAAGGGCCTCGAGTTCCAGGTATGTCCGAGGAACCCAGGCAGCATCCTGGATCTTCAGCCATGTCTGCAGGACACAAATACAAGTAACAGTAAACACACAAGTCAGTCAGTGTCGTCTTATATCTCTAATTGGGAGCTGATCAATCCATAAAATGATTTATCCCCACCTTGATCTGGTCAGTGAAGCTTTGCCCAATGTTCAGAGCTTGGTTTGGATTCCCTAGTATGATTTCAAAACTCTCCTCCAGACCCAGCTGCCTCCTAACTCTGGACAGCCGTCGGTGGGCCCATGCAGCCAGAGCCAAAGAGGGGATCCGAAGCAGGACCATGTGACCGTGGTGGGCGGGACACTGCTGGGCAGCAGTAAGCAGTGATTGTACAATCTCCATGGTCTCCACAGAGGTGTGTTTGTGGAGATTGTGGGAGCCTCCAATTCTGCCGGACGCAGCCATCAGAGCTACGCAGTAGTGTTGGATCAAAACTGTAGTCCGGATCACAGCACTGTGCAGCTTAGGGAACCTGTGAGAGAGAGATTGTAAGGTTCTCCTTGCTCCATTTATTGTGTCAGCCTGCAAGTAGTTCAAATTGATTTGTGAAGAGAAGAGTGTTTGTTTAGGTTAAACATGTGTTACCTTTCTTCCAGGGCAGATGCCATGCTTTCAAAGGAGGAATCATAACGCATCAGAGGCAGGCTGCTCCCTGAACGGGTTGACTCTAAAAGCTCTGACACACCAAAGTACCGCGTCCTCTCGTGATATAGGTCCACATCCTACACACACGTTACAGATAAGCACAAGTTCAAGCATAAACTCCCAATCAATAATGTATACCAACCCTTGAGATATGTGCCACTTGTGTGTGTTAATACAGAGTGTGTATAACCAACAGACTTCTGTCTTACATTACTGAATGCAGAGGGCCAGTGGATCTCGTTGTAGGGGCTGATGCGGGTATACTGTGTCTGCAGAGCGAAGGGGAAGGAGGTGACGTGGAGAATTAGGATGTTTGGAGCATCTCTGACCTGACGCGAGTTTAACAGCTGGTCCACCAGACCCAAACTACTGTCTGGGCCACTGCAGGAGCCACTGCATGAGAGAAAGAGACAGAGACTCAGAAAAAGGAGAAAACACACTTGATTGCTTTGTTGATGCTCTTGTTGCTCAAGGGTGTCTAATGGAAAAATAATGAGCCAACACAGTAATCATTCTGCTTCTGCTCTCATTTTCTCTCTCATAAACACCTGTTAATGTCCCAATGGGCGTGGTCATGGACCAGGATGTAGAGTGTGTAGGAGTTGCTGTGAGCTTCCTGGATGAGGCTGTCAATTCGTGCCTGAGCGCTCTGATCCATTTTGACCACGTAACGCTCAGCCTCCCGTTGAGACACACCCTCCTGATCTAAACCCCCAAGCTCCTCAAGGACACCTGAGGTACACAGCCAAAGAGAAGGGTATTACAGGTCAACATAAAACACACCAACATGTTATAGGCACACGCACAGAATAACATGAAAAATCTTCTTGTCTTTACTTTTTTAAGACAGTGATGAATAAAAACAACTGCTGACAAAAAAAGAGCCATGTAACTAACCAGAGCTGCAAAGGTGGAGAACGGTTTGCTGAAATGTGACCTCAGAGGGCGGGACCAGGATGAGGAAGCTGACCCTGTCGAAGGAGCCAAGGTCTAGGTTCTGTGTGCTGGAGTCTGCTATGGCACAAACATGGGACAGCAACTTTCTGGCCACTGCCAGCTGGATGGGCCGAACCTCACGCCACTGTACGGAGTATTCTGCACACATACAAACACCAATGCATATCATCATACATACATAAGATTTTTAAAAATACACACTTGCTGGCAAAAGGATAAAGGAACGTGAAAATACATGCAGATGTAATCCGATTACTATTTTTCAGTGTTCTACAGAAAAAAAGATGGATCCAAGGGAAGATTTGCATTAGCAAACAAACAAAAAGCAAATCAAAGGAAAAAACTGCATAATTATCAATAAAGCAAATTAGGGGCTTTACATGATATTATGTATATAGAAATGCGAAGCTCAAAGCTTTTGGATTACACCTGTGGGTAAACCTGATGTAACCTGTATATGGCATCTGCCTGAAGACAACTCTTAATCATCACATCCAAGAACTTTTTCAAAAGGTATTTTCACACTGTGGTGAGACAAGTAAATTAATTCCATATACAATGCACACTTCATCCTGTCTGTTTCTCACCTGAACATGTGTCTTTGGGACTTGGTGCTCTCTCTTTAGGGCTGGGTGATTCTTTTGAACACTGTGTGTGTGAATCCTTTGGACTGTGTGTGGTTTTAAGACTCCTCTCTTCAGCTGATTCCTGACTACTGGTTAAGGGAGATGGCTCATTGCTGTCCACAGTGGCACTATCCAGCAGGGAATCCAAATCACCATCTGAGGACAAGACAGGCCCACATTAATTGCCTGTTCTGCACACACAAATGTACATGTAAAAAAAAGGCAGTCAGACACACCTTGTCCGAGTGAATTGCAGTAGTGAATGAGTTCCTGGGCAACATTGGTGGATAGCTGGTGGTTGATTTCTTTCAGACCCTCACTGGGAGAGTACATACTCTCTGCCAAGGCACGACACTGGTGTTTACCTGCAATACACACAAACACACACACACACACACACACACACACACACACACACACACACACACACGCATAACCTGAATTAAAAGTCTGCTTTTTTTTGTTTAATTCTTAGGGCACGATGACACACCACAAACATATTGAGACACAACTCCCACCTGTGACTACCACACAGGATTGTGTTTCCTGTCCCGGTGCAGTGACAATAATGACCACGTAGTTGGTGTTTTCAAGCCGTCCTTCCATTAACCTGCCAAAAGTTTGCTGGATGCCTTGAGCCAAAGTTCCGATCTGCTCCCCCATCACCACAACACCCTCTCCACAGGAAGACGCAGCCAGCTGGGCGAGCCAAGGGAGTTGGCTGGGGGTCAGGGGTTGTTGGCTCTGGGGAGGTAAGGAGAAGTGCTGAGGGAGCCCTGGCAGGATGGATGCGGTCTGGAGAGTAGAAAATGATGAGCATTTATTCAGTCTTATCATCAGTATTTTTTTCTGTAATATTCTGCATGAAGAGGAGAGCACTTTAAGCTTGACGTGAAGGGAGACAAGAGTAACACTTTCTGTTGTGTTAAAAGGGCAGACATTGGGAATTTTCCACGGCCTTACATAAATATTAATGTATCCTAAATGCCTGAAGCATAAATTTCACTTATTTGAATTCATAATTTGCTTTAGTTCTTCTCTTCTTAAACTAGTTATTTTTCCTCAAAACAAAAATTTTGTACGACACTTTTCAGATGCCCTGTCTCACCTCTAAGCCATAGTGCCTCCCTTGGGTGGCTGGTGTTTGAGGCTGCTGGTACTGTCTGATCTCACTGAGGTGGGACTCCCTCCATGATCTCATGAATATCTGCTCCAAGTCTTCTATTAGGGGCACCTGGTCAGGGCCTTGGGATAATATAGATGACAGACAAAGAAAAAAGTGAGTGTGTTAAAATACAAAATACAACAATAGTTTTATGGAATAGCTTGGTTTGAACTTGATTTATCCAGTTCAAATCCAGTCTTCCCTCTAGTGGCCATTATGAGACATTGCAATGGTACCATGAAAGCTCAATCACTTGCCTCCTCTCTGCAGTCCTATTGAACTTTATTCTGGAAGAAGGTTTTACAGGTTTTACCTAGCTGAACAAGGTAGTAGACTGTGAGTAGAATCTGCATCTCAGTTGACAATGGCTGAATGGGTGATGGTCCATAGTGCTGGTAGACTCTGGGGAGTGTCTGGGAGCTCAGGTAACAGCTCTGGAGCAGAGAACTGACAAGCACTTCACTGACATTGCCAGTCAGCTGAGGGAGTGGTCCATGACCTGTGTTAATAGAGGTAGAAAATAAAATAGACGAACACAGTGAGGTGGTTGTCCACTTAGCCAATCCCTTCCTCCTCCTTCCCACTTATTGAAGTGTCCTTGGGTGAGATACTAAACTCCAAAACTCCATGTATATGGATGGGCAAGTTTTGGACAAAAGTATCTGCCAAATGATTGTAATGGATACAAATGGATTGAAACAAAGCTTTGACTTATGGTTGAATGTTAAAAAACACTTACAATGCTCAAATGTAGCTTGTGCAAACACAAACAGTTTTTATAATAAGAAAAGGATACATTTATTTTATGTTACGTGTTAGATTTTACATTTCTGTTCACAGGTATATTGTTTGTTTTTGTTATTGGTTTGTTTCAGTTGCTGTACAGAATTCTAATGCTGCAACAAACCCAAACAGATCTCAGTCAAGACTGGCAGAAAATCTAGAGGAACAATAGTAGTTAGTAGTAGTATACGTGATAGGAGGCACAAAGAGCAGCTAAAAGTGGAGGAAAAGATGGGAAATGACAAGATGGGTGGATGGTGAGGTGAAGGGCAAATGAGGTGATGAATGAGAAGTAAAAACAGAAAGACAATAAAAGTTACACCAGATATAGGAAGTGGCTGAGGGCAAAGAAGATGGAGAGGGAAGGAGGATGAGTTGACAGGTGATACAAATGGGTGAAAAGGGTGGAAAGGAGGGGATGAGAGGGGGGCAAAAAGGCTGAGAAACAGCCTCTGGTGTTGGCTGACCTCTAACCTGTGAGGAGAGCTAAAATGGCCATCTGTTGGGTGGATACTGCAAACCTCACCTATTCACCTGCTTGAGAAAGTCCAGTACTGACAGCTGGGTGGAAAATGATCACCAAACACCAGCTAGTCAATAATGACTTGGGTGAATTAGTCAAGTCTGTCAGAGGAACTAATGATGTACTTTGACAATCAAGTCTAAAACTACATATGGTGGCTGCTGAAGAAAAAGAAAGTGCATCATATCATCATGAATCACTAATGTAATTGGTCATCTGACCTTTAAAGATGACAGGTTGCAGTCTGCAGGTGTGAAGCAGCTGATCAGGAATTGTTACAGACAGCCCTGGGGGGGAGAGCGGGGTTAAGGACCCCTGCGATGAACTCAGCGGGGCTGCAGTCTCTAGAGAAAGCACAGAAATACATTTACACATACAGAAAAACTTCAAGACACACAACTGTCTTATTTACAGATATAACAATAAATAAATATCTCCAAACATAATCTTCTCATATGCTTCTCCACTGTCTATATGTGTCTGTTCTCTTTTTACCTGATCTGGATCCATTTGTGATGACAGAGGAAACTGATAATGTTGATAAGGCTGATGAAGATGGTGGTGTCTTCACACTGCTCTCTGGTAGACTGTTGGCAGATGACTCAGGCGACCAGCCTTTGTGCCTCTTTTTTGGAGGTCCAGCATTTGTATGTGGCCCTGCAGGATAGAAAAAAAGACCACATAGTGTATTAGCCTAAAAGTTTGTAGTTTACGCCTTAATGTGTACACACATATATATATTTTTTCTCTTTCACAATTGTTCTGCTCTTCCCCCAGCTAAGGGAACTTCACTGCAATTTCATTTGTTGTTGTTCTTCTAATTCTAATAACACACAAATCAACAGAACAGACACTAAATTATGTTTTAGGGATGGACTTCAGTTGATACAGTAAGGGAAAGCAGCTGTATTTTAGCCATACATTAACCTGTCTCTTCCTCTTCCTCTCTGTTGAAATGCAGTAATAGGGAGACACATAAAAGGTCCACTAGTTAAAAGGGCAATGAAAAAAAAAAACAACACTGACAGGAAGGAAGCTTTTCATTCAGTGAGAAAGCAGGAAAAAAGATGAGACAGATAGAGAATTTTACAACCCTGGTTAATAGAGGTGACAGACAAGAGGGAGAGGGAGGGAGAAAGACAGAGAGACAAAGGACAACCCCCAGCACACAATGCAGCTGGCTGGCTTGTGTATAGCAGGGGTGTTATAACACACACACACACACACACACACACACACACACACACACACTGCAACTGCTGGTGGTGGTAGGAGCTCTCCCTTTCAGAAGTGTGAAGATACCCATTGGAGGAGTTTAATGATAACAGACACAAACTGACCACGTTTACATGCTCACAAGAAGCCAGATAATGGTGAGAAATCCCAAAGTCAGACTATTATGCTATACATTAAATGAGCAACAATACCTTACATAAGTTAAGTTTAGGTTCAAATGGTTTTTGTATGTTGGGTGTAGTTTTGGTAAGACACATGAGGGCTAGCAAGCTGTTTCAACTATGTTTTTCAAATATTTAAACTAAAACAAAAAAAAATCTAATAATTAATAAAAGTGGATAACAGTTTGATACATAAATAAATGGTCAATAAACCTCTCTAATGATGAGTTCACAGGCACAATCTGTACCTGTAGCTGAGGGTCTCCCAGGCCCTGACTGATTCAAAGGTGGCTGGGCGATGGAGGGAACAGCATGGTTGCCGTTTGTCAGCGACTGGGGAACGTCAGCTATTTGTGGCAGACCAACTGGGTCCACTTGTGATCCTGCTGTTTACAGATAGAGAAAAAATAATTAATAATATTAACAACTGTGAGATTTCATTCATTATTACTTTTGGCCTTCATTCTCTGTTACAGCTGTTTTAAGTGAGATACGGTGTCTGTCAACAACTGTTGCACTGCCATAATGTTTGGCAGTCAAACTAGAGTCCTAGTCTGTTTGAAACAGTAAACATACATCTTTTCATTCATCTTGTGGACTCAAGAATGCAAACAAATAGCCAAGACAACAGAACAATATTCAATGAGAACCCTGGTATTAACGTGGCATTCTCAGATTGTAAATTCAAGTGTGTCCTGATTTCTGCGTGTTTGTGGTGTGTTACTTGTTTAGCTTTTGGTGTGTGTTACCTGTGAAGCTGCCAGGTGTGTGTGATGGGTGAGTCAGTGCCATGTTTGGTGGCTGTTCATCTGATGTCACATGTCCTTCTGAGAGGCTGGATGCCATCTGTCTCATCCTGCCATCTGAAACACACATAGACACATAATTTGATATCCAGGGTGACAGCAGAAACTGCACAGTTGCTAGCTTATTGCAATAACATGTATTGATGTGTGTCTGCATTCATACGTGAAAGCTCTGGAGTGATAGCAGAGGTATGTTTAAATGAGAAACTGAGTAAAGCCTGGAAAGACCTGTTCAGTAAAGGTATCCAGATAACTCAGTAAACCTGCTACTTGAAACAGGCTGGACTTAATAATACTACACAGCTCAGTGGTGTTAGATAGCCAGCAGATGAGTGAGTGAGTGAATGACTGGTTAGGGATTGATGGACATCTCTATTTCAATCTGCAAGAACCACATTATGAAAGCTAGGGTCCAGGAAAAGTTTATGTTTTTGTTTTTTTTTGTTGCCAGAAATGAGTTATTCTTATTAGTCTTTAAAAAGACAATCAAAGTAGATTACCTGACAGGTAGCATCATTTCTATTTATTATAGACATTAATATACCCTGAGTTCTGACTTCTTTTACACTACACTCTTAAGCTTTTTTTATTTTTCTCTCAAACAACAGCAGTAAAAAAAATTAAACCTTTATTTATTCAGGGAAGGTTCACTGAGAGAAACACAACAGGACACAACACTGAGAGAACACAATATCTACACGGTTAGTGTCCTCTCTAAGGCCTTTTCAGCAGGTGATGTCCTTTCACAGCATTTCAGTTCGATGGGTTAGCTCCAGGCTGGGGCCTATGTGGTCTCACCTTTCACCTGTCCTTAAGACTTTACTACTTGTCCATCTGGTCATACCCGTACATCAGGGCTTGATATTTACTTTTGTCCTCGGTGTATCGCAGCTGTCTCAAATTCTACTTTCAAATGTCTCAGACTTAACCACAACTATCCCAAAGTTCTTTTTTTCATTCTACCTAATAAACATAGTTTAATAACTTTGTTTCTGTATTCAGGTGATTGTACACTAATAAAAACATAGCATCTACTGCATATAATACTTGACAATACAGCCTCCTAAATGTTACACACTGGATTGGATTTTGAGCACTGCTTTACGTTTACAACTTCCTGATCAAAACAAGTCTGATTTTTAGACTTCTGTACTACTTCTGTTATTTACATCTACATTATTGTTCAGAACAATGCTGTTATACTATTCATAATGGCAATAAGGCCAAAAACGCAGAGCATGATTAAGACTTGACTCTTCCCAGCATGCATGCATGTATGAAGGTCTTTCCATTCAGTTAATTAACTCATCCCTACAGTCATCTGAAGGTGGCAATGTTTTCTATTTGCAGTCTCGCCTAGTGCAATGTCAGAGAGCGATAACACACACACACTCACAGTGGTTACCTTTGTTAAATTTAAGACAACCTTTAAACACTAGGATACATTTCATATCAGCATATTTTTACCATTCATGAAAAATGAGTGTACGACATTTTAAATCTGGGAACCACTTCAGTTGCCAAATACAACACATGTATCTCTTACCATGTCCCCTCCAACAGATGGGAGCTCCTTTCACCACCACACCCTGGTTGTTTCGGTACAGATGGTACTTCAAGTGCTTCTGTTTCTTGGGCTGGGTGCTGAGCTTCAGGTTAATGTGGTTGGAGAATTCTGTGAAATAGCGAAAGCCTTTCTCTCCACAGCCAATGCAGTTCCCAGAGAAGCCTGAAGAGAGAAAACATACAGAAAATGGATGATTACCTCACGCTGTGTTTTATGTATTGCTACAGTCACACATGTAACCATCTCGATAATGTCACAAAGGCATTGTTATCAACTTTAGCGTAATAGGCAGAAATAGGAGTGATAGTATTTTTTAAATTTGGAGCTGTCCAATCTCCTCTGTAATTAACACAAAGACATACAATAAAAAAATAAATGTAAAGCAGTAAAGATTTTTTTTCCCAAATTAACTATTCCTTTTTTTTCAGTCCTAAAATTATATTTCACTGTGTCTCTGTGAGTCTCCTGCCTTACCCAGCAGTGCATTGTGACCCCGTTCGTCTGGCAGGAAGCGGCGGTCCACGGCACACACCAGCAAGTTCTCAGGGAGGGAGGGGGACTTCACCCCAACTAACATGAACCCAGGAGGCACATCTAAGGGATCCGATGCCAGCGAGGACAGACGCAGGTCCCTTCCCGCTTGACAAAAGCCTGTGGGGAGGTAAAGATGAGGATAGGATTTTCACAAAACGATCTGGTAGCTTTTTCTTTTCTTCTTTTTCAATATATTTTTGGGGGCTTTTAATTGCCTTTAATTAATAGTGACCGCTGTAGAGTTACAGGAAAGGGTGGAGAGAGAGGATGACATGAACCCATGGCCGCATTACATCTTCTCCTCCCAACTACACTCACAAAACCATAAACCCGACCCTTGCAAATTGTGTGACTAAATATCCAGCAGAATGTGAAACCAGCCACACTCATAATATCTCCCTTTCATCATTAGCATGATGGCCAGTATGCCTGTTTGAAAATGCACATCTCCCGGTGCCAGTTGTGATTGTAATGCAGAACGAACTCTCAATAAATGTGTCTCAGGGGATGTATGATTTTTAGATTTTTGAAGCACATACTGTATGTGTGTATGTGTACAAACCATCTGTGGTGCAGCATCCCTCAGGTGGGGGCTTCATCTGATAGGGTATTGGAGGGCTGTTAGACTCAGAGCCATCTTCGTCATCCTCATCATCATTCTCTGTACGGCCTGTTGGGCACGTACACAAAAAACAATTTTAATGGGAAACAAGAGCCACGAGCAGATACAGATGCATTAAATGAATAAAGATGTCAGGAGGAAATAAACTCTTTTGCTGAACTCATTATCACACCTTCTCCTTTGCATCCATGGAACCCACCATCATGTGCCAATGGCTGCTCTGTCTCGAGGTATAGCTGTGAGAAGACAGGTCGAGGCACAACGGTGTTTGACCTCAGTGACGCTTCAATGGAGTTATGGAGGACTTCCTCAAAGCGTGTGGTCCGCATCTGGCCCGCATAGGAGTTCCCCATTGGTGTCCTGTAAAAACGCAGTAACCTTTTGTTTGTTTGTTGTTTTTGTTTGCATTAATCATTTACCAAAAGTCATACTTTGCTGCTTTCAGTTACGGTACTGTAAGTACAGTTTTGCCAGCCTTTCCATTATATTGTATGATTTAGTATTAAAACAGTGGCAGCTTCAGGTTTGAAAACAAACAAGAAAAACAGAATTTATCCCAGTAATATCTGATCAACAAGGTGCTTTGTGGCAAAAAAGACAAAAAAAATATGCCGGTAAAAAAGATTCAGTATGTGTGTATGTGTAAAACAGACTGTTTACACTTGTTGAAGTCCTCTGACAATGAGAATAAATGTGCTGCTTAATACTGTCAAATCTAAACCACACACAGGCACATTCACATTTTATGCACCAATGAACAGACACAAACACTGAAATCAAGAAACACATGGACTTACACGGAAACACACACAGGCTCACACACACATAAACAGTGGTTACTCATGGATGGCATCTGTCCAGACAGCATGCCATAAAATCATGCACTGACAGCGTCAGGGCACTCTGACCTAGACGCTACTCCCTCTCTCTGTTTTTCTACTTTCTCTCTCCCAGCATCTCTTTCTTTCCATAATTTTCCTCTCTCATCTTGTCCTCAAACAGAGGAGAAATGCCCCAAGAAAGTTGTTGTTGTTCAGGTTCAACATAACACCATAAATACATTTGCTTGCATTTTTCATATTTTGTTTTATTTAATTTTATACTCTTACTATTCTTAAAAAGTGTTCTAAAGAACAATAGAAAATGGAGAGACAGTGTGTTGTTGTGTTGTATGGCAAGCAAACTGGGTCAGTGAGGAGGGAAATAACAAGCTTGGATTGTAAACACCAACTTAATCCCCCTCCTCTAAACCTTTGACTGCCCATATGCTGGCTACTACACACACACGAGAAGTTACAAATGACTGACAAACCTGGAAGCACGAGACTCTGACGAGTCAGCAACCTGCAGGTCGGCTTAATGAAGAGACTAACCTGTCAGATTACAGACTTAAAGCTGTGTGTGTCTTACATTTCAGGTTAACAGGACAACAGCTTCCTCTCGGAGGGATGATCTTTTCAAAACTAACAGCCTTTTAGGTTAAAGTTAAAGACAATGTAAGCCAAACATCAGCACTTTGATAAGACTTTTTAAACATCAAAACACAGATAAATAAAAGAAAACCAAAGCTTTGTCTGTGTCCAAAGTGATACATTGGTTTAGACACATACATTTGCCTTTTTGCAGCCTGTGTCTCCATCCTTCAGCAGGAAACATCTATTTAGGAATCACTGGAGCAAAGGAAATCCTTACATTTTATCTTTCAACAACAAAAAAGAATTTTCTTGAATTCTTGGTATAGCCATGCAGGTACATTGGCCAAAACAAAATAAGACCAGTATTGTAAAAACTTTCTTCAATCAAAAAACAAGATGGTTTAATTTGTTTCAGTTTCACCCTGAGCTCATATAAATTCAATAAAATTATAACAAATAAAATCAGCATGGCCATCTGTAGTGAGAGACACTATCCGCAGAGTGCATTAGAAGTGAACACACACCAATCTTGGTCCTTAAATTTACCCAAATATACCCATTCTGTTATACACTGCATTTTATTAAAAGTTGTGGAATTTCTTAACTTTACTCACCTTTGGAGAATTTAGTTTTGTCTTGATTTCTGCCAAAAAGGTCAAAGCACAGAGTGAGCTACAGACTGTACCAGCCACTCTGGTCTAGACATTCATACTGGAGATGAACACACACTGAACCACACTCTCTCCTTACCTCTCTCTCTACCAAACACACACACACACACACACACACACACACACACACACACACACACACACACACACACACACACACACACCTTACCAGCCACCTTCTGCTGCCACACTTTCATATGTAAAGAAGCAGTGCAGACTTTTAAGGCCTTGCACCACTTTGTAGAGAGACAGAGGATGGAAGACAAAAAGCCCTGTCATAACACAGCCGGCACTCACAGGAAGTAATCACACCTTCTACCAAAGAGCAGACTGATCTTTTTACAACCAGAGACAGAGGAGACAGGGAGGGAAACAGAGAGAGAGGAGATGAAAGAAGCGAGGTGTATTCCACCTTTTACTGAATCCTGACCAAAATCATAAACTTCTGACAAACTGGTAATCAAATACCCAAGTACTGTAGGTCAAAATCTGAAGCCATTTATGTATTTTCTTTTTTTTACTGTAGGGCTACTAATAAAGGCAGGCCTAAAATAAAAACAGAATTGGCTCATTTTTAGCTGTCTTGCATCGTCTTGTAGTTACTTGGTACAGAAAACAGCCTTTCTGCCAAATATTAATTTGGCTCAATATTGTATAACATCAAAAAAATTTCTTCTGCAGGTACTGATTCAGGATACAGTAGATGTAAGTATGTCTACTACTTATAGTGTAAACCAATGTGCTTTCAAATGTAAGGGCTATTAGGAAGCACTCAAAGGAACCTCGTGCTGTGATTTGTATTGTTCAGTCGAAATGTCCATTTTGATCTCTCACTGCGTGCACTTTTGCAGTGATATCTGTTCCTAACAAACCCAAAATATCTGTAGCACATACAAGAAGATATGTAGCAGAGATGAGACAGAAATGAGCAGAATGTAAAACTTTTAATGAAGCTTTGTTGATCTATTCTCCTCCCATCTCCCCCTCCTTCCCCTCTCCTTTACGTGGAAGTGGGAGATCCTTTCATCTCCCCCCTCTTCTTCTTCTGTCTCTGTCTTTCTTTCACCCTGGGGAGAGAGACACTATTGTGGTGTTTTATGACCCCTTGGACCCCCTTCCTACCACCACACTCAAACACACAGCCTCACACATACAAACCTGTGGTTAGGATCCTTTTAAACCCTGAGCCCCATGCAATCCACCAATAATAGTAGTAGCCTGAGCTTACATAATACTATTTCTATACTAGTTCTAACACTTTTAAGGAGTTCTTATGAAAATATTTTTTCAGGATGTTTCTTATTCACTGTCAAAAGAATATAGCTTCTATACAAAAACAAAAAAAGTTAAATCAGTGTAATTCTGGCCAAGATATTTTGTAGAGAAGGAAGTGTTAGGAAGAGATTTGCTGTTTAGGCCCCCACACATTATCTATCAGGCCTATACATTACGTCCTGCTCAGCTCCTTGCTAATATATGCAAACCCAAATATGCGCTCTCTGCTTTGGATGTATTAGTTGGAGGGAGATCTCATGACCGCAAGGTCAAAGGTGAGTCCAGATAACAATGGTTAAGTAAGACTTTGATGTGGCCTATACCTCTAATACGCACTCACACAAACATATGTTGATGCATGCACACACACATACGCATACACACCCACACACACGCTCTCCCATGGGCTCAGGCTCAGTGGACACAAAAGGCTTGTCTTGAGGGGTGAAAGGTCATCCTGGGAGAGGTCAGATAAGAACCCTGGGCTCTTTCTCTGTTGGCTTGGCCCACATACCAGTCGTACACACACACAAACACATGCAGCATCCCTGCTATTCTTTCTTTCTGTTCAGTCTGACAAGCAGGGTTGCAGCCTTCAACCTCCACCCCACCCCAGCTTCAATAGCTGATCATATTACACAGTCACACACACACACACACACACACACACACACACACACACACACACATCAAACAGAGATACACTCACATGCAGACATGCACAGTAAAGTGAATGCATGCGTACAAATATGGTAAAAACTCTTGTTAAGTGGTAATGTTTCTGTGTTTCTGTGTGTGTGAGTGAGAGAGAGAGAGACAGAGAGAGAGAGAGAGATAGAGAGATAGAGAGAGAGAGAGAAATGTTGAGCAGTGTCAGCTGGTCAATGCAGCATCTCTTTCAGCCGTGAACAGTACAATTAAAAAAGAAAAACTTCCAGCATTGCAGATGCTCTGTGACCACTGACCTAAAGCACCACATATGCAAAGGGATGTCAGTTATACACATACACATGCTCACACACACAAACACACACAGTGGACCCCCAGATGGGCTCATCACTGACCAGTGACCCACATCAAATGCTCTCATTCACAGTTTATTCAACAGACACTGGATCGATAGTCAGCCAGCCAACTGGCCAACTGCTCAGGCAAACCCCTCAGCTGGCCATTCACCTACACATCCACACACTCATCCACACACACTGAACATTTACACAGATTTTTTTCTTCCCATACATGCCTATAGAAAGTTGCAGTCTTTACTATTTGAATTTGTATAGCATGCTATAAAAACACATTGTCAGCTGTGAGCTACTGTGTCACAATACAAGCAAACAGGGTATTCTGTGTGTCTACATACTGTAAAGTATACTATTTGGCTGGAAGGCACTACAAAGTTCCAGCCCTGATATTCAACGTCTGCTCCGCCTGTTAGTTCGCTATCATGCTCCACGTCCTTGAGCAGTATTTTTTTTTCTTCTGCTCTCTCTATCTTGCATAACTCCTGGGGAACTTGTGCTGTCTACAAGAATGCAAATCTGGCTAGAACTGTACCTTATTGTAGTTTTAAACCTTTTATTTGCAGAAGGTGTCAGAAACTTAAACTGGATCATGAACTGCAAGGTCCCCATAAGCATGAGTTTCACTTAGCAGTCCAATCCTTATTAACCTCATATTGAGAAGTGAAATGTTCACACTTACAACTCAGCATCAATCATTATGAGTACAGAAGGTACATGCACATACTGTCTATCTACACAAACAAACTGCAGCAACTCTACCTTCCTCTCTGCGTGTGTCTTTTCAAGACAAAACACTGGTGATACTATATGTAAATAAAACAATATTCTATGACCTATTATGTACTTCATATATTATAACACATTTCCACCAGTCACCAGTTTATCTGTTAAAACAACTTAGAACTCTTTTTTGTTGAACCGGTAAATATATCGAAAAGCAGTCACTATTCTGATTCGCCTTATAGTATAGTAGCCTTATGTAACAAACAGAAGGCTAAAACTTCACTAAAGAAAACTTAATGAGGGCAACACTCATTGAAATCACTGTAAACGTTTCTGCTCTAGCTTTCTGTTGCCACAATTGCTTGACCAAAATACATTTCATAAATACATTAATACGTTATAATTTAAATAATAACCACTAATTTAGGAATATGAGTTAAGGCCGTATGTAAAATATTTATGTTACATCTCCACTATCAGACAAGGCACAGAAAATAAATCCACAGTCTGTATGACATTGGGAACATCTATTGTTGGTGGAAAAAGACAGACATGTTATCCCTTTACGACAAGTTAAAAAGCGTTTGAGAAAATGTATTGTAGTTTTCAGGATAGAAATTAGCCACATGAAAGAAAAATTGGGGGTATATTGTTGTCAGATCCTCAAACTGTCCTTAAAAGCGTAACGACCAGCAGCAAACAAAAAAAAGGCAAATGTTACAGCTAGCTTCGGAGTTTGAACCCCTTCTCAAACATTGTAGCAGTGATTATTTCCTGTTTCCGAACAGCATCAGCAACAATTGAGCGGACAGTGAAGGTCTGCTCTTCATCATGAAGAGGACATGGGATGGTAATGTGCTCTACCTGCACAAAATACTACAGTAAATGCGAAAACAACGTACCTCTACAATCCAGCGGGAGAAGCCCGGCAGCTATTCTTCATGAAGAGCCTGCAAGTTGATCCAATGCGCTGTCACCATGTCTGCGGCGCGAGACCTACGGTGGGACTGGGAGTCGCGCGTGTCATCACCTCTGATCCTCAGCGACGAAAGGTCCCTCCCCTCTTCCTCCACACCAATGGTATGGTCCGAGCGGCCGTCGCCTCTTTGTCGTTTTTGTGTGTGTGGTTTTTTTTTAAACAGTTGTGGGATGCATCAGATTTAAGCTAAATCAGACGACACCTGAAAAATAGTCAGATTCAGTCAGCGGTCTGCGGTGTTTACTTAGGTATATATGTATTTCTTATGGTAGTTTAGTCAAAGCATGTAGGCCTATGAACTAAGTGGAGGGCAGAATTATTTTCTTCTAACTTTCAGCAAAATTGTCAGTTTTGTCCTCTTAAATTAAATTTGAAAACGTGCTAAAGATGAATCAGACAGGACTCAAGGTCCATCCCTGGCTCACAGCAGAACTAAAGTAACGTAGAAACTCCTCTCGGTAACAGCGCACATGGACAGCCTGCTCACTCTTTGGGGTCTTTTTTTGGGGGGTGGAAAAAATACTTCGTAGCCATAAACCAAGTACCGCTTGACATGAAAATGGAATTATAAGTAGCTGGAAGCGTTAGAGTTACATTTAGCTAAATTATTTATATATTTTTTATATGAAAGGTAATTTTGTGAAATGCAATTATAGTAGGACTAAGTTTAATCAAATGCAAACATTTGTTAATAGTAGTAACAAACCTGACATTGTTGGGAAAAGTAACAATTACTTAAAATAAAAGCTGTACCACTAAATCTTAACATTATATATGTGTGTAGCCTATATACATGTGTATATATACATATACGGTATCTTTGTGTGTGTGTGTGTGTGTGTCTGTGTGTGCGTGTGTGTCGCCCTCTCCTGGACTGAAAGTGGACTTTCAGTGTACAAACAGGAGAGGAGAGGACACATACTGTAAATGAGTAATTCAACTGATAATAGAACATTGTTTCACACTAACAATCTAGTAATGTGGGCAAGTTTTTGTCATGGATATTTTCATTATTTTAGAGTTAAGGCACATTTAATTGTTATCATTTAACATATGAGATCCATCCTTGCCAAAATTTTCTACTTAGAGTATAAAAGGAAACATTCCCACATGGGCAGAACTATGAATATGTGACAAGAGTATGTCACAGCCACAGTGGAAAGAACCCAACTATGAGGTGATGCAAATGTTAATTTCTCATTCAGCACCTTCCCTCTCTCCCAGGCAATCAGTCATGCTGATGGAACAAGAGAGAGAGGCCACCTCAAACCCCCTGTGCTAAATGTCCCTGTAGCCACAACAGATCAAACAGACAGACAAGTGAGTAAGTAAAGGAAATTACAGAAATAATACTCAAGTTCTCCAATGAAATCCCCCCCCTTTTTTTGGGGGGCTTTTATTGCCTTTAATGGATAGTGACAGCTGAATATAGACAGGCAAGGGGGGAGAGAAAGGGAATGATATGCAGCAAAGGGCCACAGGTCAGATTTGAACCCTGGGCGGCTGCAGCAAGGACTCAGCATACATGGTACATGGCGCCCCTCTCCATGTCATATTGGTAGAAAAGCATGGATGGTAACTGATTTTATATTCACTTTACATTGCTGTAGACTGTAGTGCATTTATAACAATGTGTTTGATGTGGATGCTAATATATTAAATAGCACATTTCACATTTTCCAAATTGTGTGTCTACATATACATATCCCATAATTCCCCTACTGTATCCCCATCTGCCACATCAAGTCTTTGTGCTATAAACCAAATTATAGAGAGAAAAAGATCATTAAAGGTTACCAATCAGTGATTTAATATATGTGAGAAACCATGACTTTGTCTTGCACGGACGTAATTCTTTAGAACTGAGATTAACTTCTTTTTCAAGTCCTACCCAACACAGACTAAGGGGTGCACTAATTATAGTTTTACTGTAGATACATTTAATGTTTGCAACTCTGTCCTTTCTGCACAATTTGGGAGTTTTACAACTAAAACTACAGCACAACATCGGATTGAACTGCAAGATAATTCAATAATTTTGGTAGTTTTGAGTTAGTCTTAGTTTTTTTTAATTTGTCCTTTATTTATGTCAGTTATGGCAACATTTTAATTGATTTTGGGGTTGCAACAACTCCACTAGAAAATAACACAAGTTGTAAAGAAATCTTTTGTATAATCATATCATTTAACCATAAAACTTAACTATTAAACTTATAAGTAGGGAGAGTTTAGGATGAACTAATTAAAGTTGAAGGTAAACTATGAATTATTTACTCAAGTTAAATGCTAAAATTGTACATCATAAACATATAAATAAATGACATAAAATATGTAGAAAATTTATTTTAGGCTTTATTCATGTGTCTAATGTATTTATAGTGATTTAAATCATACTCACTATCAGACATTTTTCTCTAATGAGAATATTGTGCAAATCAGATCCAACAGCAGTTGAAATGGTTCATCCATCTGCTAAAATAATAATGTAATTTAATTCATGGTTCATTTAATTAACGTATTGGTTGTTAAGACAGTTATGACTTTTATTCCAAAGTGATACCTAAATCATAAAATGCAGGATATTTATAAAAGTCATGATCGTTTCCCACTGTGGTCCTCCCTCCTAATTACAGCTTACATTTTGTCACTGGGAATCTCATACTTCATCCTTTCCGCTGCCCCAACTGGGCAGTGCCAATCTGTACAGTGGCATAGCCATGCCACGCCAACACAACATCCCCTGATGGGAGAACAGGTGTTGGACAGGGTCCAGTGGAGCAGAGCGGAGTGGGCTGCCATGATATATCAGATGAACCGGCCAGCACCGACTCCTCTGGCCCGAGGGAGGGGGACCCAGCCATTTATTAAGTGTGTGCTAGTGTGTGTGTGCGCGCGTGTGCAGAGGTTCTGCGAGGGCAGCAGCAGTACAACAATGAGCCCCAACAAAACTGATTGGGACCCAAAGACTCAACAGGGAGGCAGGCTAATCTGGGAAATCCCTGGACAAAAACTATATATTTTAGCTTGAAGCAATCCAAAATTTAACAACCCACAAAGGGCACACTGTTTTGACATTATGTACCATAATATGAGATATATGACATATAGATGCCGGATTAAAAGATTGCAAACTTTTTGCTTCAGCCTTTCTATGTTTTAGATGAACTAAGAACACATAAGTTCTCTTAGCACTGCATAAACAGAGCAGAAGTTTTAAAGAGAACCTATCTATTAACTTAACTCCATCAAATGAAACACAATTTTTCCTAAATTGTGGGTGTCCTTTAAACAGGTCCCCATGACCCATTTCTATTTCCTGACTCAGACCTTAAGAAACTGCATTATTGGGTTTTTGGGATCTGTTTCTCAAGTCCCTTTACTGCTAATTTTACAACCAAAATGACACTTGGTATGATGATTTGCTCATTCGCTGTGGAGCCATATTGGCCAAGGCAAGGCTTGTAGTTCCTGTTAATGGGTCGAATATAATATTTTATGTCCCGTTGCTATAGCCACGCTGCTTAACTTGTGATGTAAAAATAGTCAGGCCCATTCATTTTAGTATAAATACTTCACTTTGCTTCAAGACACAGACTGAACTGTGTGTAAAACATGTCTATTTGAACGTGCCCCAGCAGAGGGAAAAGGTATTGCTACTTTATACATAATGACGGCCCAGGTCGTTTGGCTGAGAATAATGGTGGTTTCGCTGTAAAGCATATCACTCTCATTAGGTTTTTACACACTGGTTGTGCCTAACTGGAGATGCACTTGTCTGGACACACACATGCACGCATTATCACACACAGAGTGTACTCACACACACGCACACACACACACACACACACACACACACACACACACACACACACACACACACACACACACACACACACATATCCATCTCCAAAGTCATTAAATCCCTTTGAAAAGAGGCCTCATTTGAGAGAAGCAATAAAATTTTTAATCATTTTATTACCAAAAGAGTATTTAACAAGTGGGTAATGAAACGCCAAAGGCAGGTTAGCTGAGTTTAACCTTCATAGAGGAAGCCATGTATCACATGCTGCCCTGAGGCATGGTGGGACAGAAATGTCATCCTCCATTATCCACCATACCTGAAGTGTGGTGTTGCGCGGCTGGCAGGCAGGCGTCTCGCTCTGCAAGGCGAGGCTGACGGGAAATTAGGGGGAATTCAATTAATGGACGTTTTTTACGCACCAGGGAGAGGGCACAGCTGCACACACACCTTAATGTGTGCTGCACACACATCGTAACAAATGTAACACACTTGTGAATACACACACGCGTACCTCAAAGCATATCCTACGCATCTCCCACTGTGAGGGGCTACTGACGGGACAGGGGAGCAGGAGGAACACATGTTCTTCTCACAGTTTACAATCGCTCTGTCTCTTTCTTTAGCTCTCTTCAGTGTTTCAGTCTTTTGATACCTCTACCAGTTTCTGTCTTCCTCGCTCTGCTGGTAGAGAGTTGGCTCTGGTGAATCTCCTTCTCTCTGTGTTCTCTCGCTCCCTGAGGTGATAGTATAGCGGGGTCGCTCCATTGCTTTCCCTCACTGGGTCAATTAAGGAGAAAATGAGGCAGAGGGGGACACTCTCAGTCTGTCACCGTAAAAGAACCATACCTACCTACCTACCCGCCTTCCAATTGCTCATATAATATACCGTTAAACTGCCCTGCAGTGTAAGCGCAAGTCTGGGTGTGCATGTGAGAGGAAAAAAGAGTAGAGAGGTCGAAAAGGGAGGGGTAGAATCATATATGTACCTGTTAGAGAATGAAAAAAAAAGTGGTATTTCCAGAAAAGCAATCGCCAAGTCCTTAAGGGAGGGGAAATACACCAGCCACCTCTGGAAGCACCAAATACAGGCCCATACATTACATCTTTCAATTTCTTTGACATGCTGGAATAATTTATGGCTGATAACAAAAATACTCTATTTTCAATAACAAGCTTCTGCGGTACTTAGAGGGACTGGCCCCCAAAGTTAATTGAAAAGTGTCCTGGCTCTCATTTGCATAAGAAACACATTTAAAGGTGAAAAATTATAA